CCTCAAACTTAACATATTACAAAGCTAATAACTTTCTAATATGACTTATTGGCAATCAGCACAATGACATTTCCCTGTCATGCAAATTTATGGATAGCTCTTACCTTATGCTGCATTCCATTTACCCCTGAAGTTGGAGCTGGGAATGACATTACGGCGTTCCAGTTAACAAGTCGGAAAACCAAGATGGACGCCTACTGTTAGCTGTTGTTTACAATTGTCAGCTGTTGTTATCCGTTTGTGGTTGTCAGCTGTTGTTAGTTGTTGTTATCTATACCAGTTGTTACGCACAACACAGTATTTTACTCTTACAAACACCACAGATCTGTGTTCACAGTTAGATGTTGGGCAGTACAACACTTACCACTTATTTAATTTCACAAAAACAAAACAGAAGTGCTAATAAATAATACATTACAAGAGCTTTCACTGTTACTCTTTACTGTTGATGCACTGTGCTGCCATCTTGAATTGTGATGTTGTCGTCAAATCGGGGTTGGCTTTCTGAGTCGGAAATCCGACTTCAGGGGGGGGCGTTCCAGATATGTTTCCGACTCAGAGCTCAGAAATCCCGACTTCCAAGTACAACTGGAATGCAGCATTAATCCTGACAGATGCATCATTGAAAAGTTCACCCCCATAAAATATGTGGGAATAAAAAAAATGAGCAACATGCCTGAAATCAAGTTGTGAACCAGGCTGTAAACATTCCGAAGTCTGCTGTAAAAATGGACATTTCAAGTGGGACTTTATTGGGACTGTGGTTTGTACACCTTCATATTGGTCAGTCAGTGAATTTTTCTGGTCTTTACATGTAGCTCAACACATCACTCTGCCTATCTAGTATTGCCAAGGTGCTAGTTTTCTGTAATTACAATTCTTTATGTCGTGTTTCATGATTAAAAACTCTACTCTCAACATATTCTTGTATCATGCCAGAGGTAATCATATTTTTATTAATCCACGTGGTTCTCCAGCACAATGGGAAACCCTTGGGAGTGTTTAAACCTGAAATGAAACTGCCACTTCACCATTTTTGTAGCCCAATTACACAGATGGATGTCAGAAATATCTGTTACAGGTCTCTCACATGTAAATTCATGCTTCTGGCTAATTACATTTGCTGACAAAGTGTAAACCAAATGTTGGCATGATGTATTGTAGCCTGCTAAATCCCCTCACCTCTCCCTCCATGCATCACAGTGATTGAATAGGTTTAGAGGTATCAACAACATTCACCAGTGGCGTGTCTGCCAGAAGTGAAAGTCAATGACATTATAGCGTATTTACGTGTTTTGATTAATTGTGAGGAATTGCCTTCTCAGAGTACGTGTCCCTCGTGTTTGTGGGAGTAGCTGTTGGCAGTCATTACCATAATCATGTTAGTGTTTGGCTATGCCCTTGTAGTGGCTCTGTCCCATTATGATTCCACACGGTAATGGATGGACATTGGAAATGAGACTGTGACGGCATTGTCCTCTACAGGTGAGGACGCTGATCAAAGCAGTGTCCAAACTGCTCATTGTGCTTTTATCTTATCAAACCGGACACTTAATATTCAGACACATGTACATTGTTTAAGCCCTTAAATGCTGTTATGTATGTAAATGTGCCTGTCTTACAACCTTGGCAGTGTCTGCAAAAAGCTCTGCTATTAGCACGCGGTTAGCTATCTGACTGAGACATCTTCTGTTCCATCTCAGCTGCCACCGAAAGCTTCATTTCCCTGCCTGTCAGTGTCCGCCCGCTCACTGTCAGTGTCCGGGACACACAATTTGATAGATGCCACTCTGCCGCATATAACATCTCATTTCACTGTGCACTGGTTGTGCACCTACGATGAAGGACCTGAGCAGGCTTTGCCCCTTGACCTTACTTCATGAGTATAATGAAAACTGCAGCTGAGAGGAAATGCAGACCACCTCCCTGCACACAGACACACACACACACACACACCTCCCAAAGGCAGGAAAGAAAAAATGCTGAAAGCTGTAGTTGTTAAAGCGAGCAGGGTTTGTTTAGCTCAATAAGCATGTGTCCATCGTGAGGACAACAGGAATCCAATAGCCAGGTTTGCCCCAAGGATGATATCCTCTGTTTTATTGCCTATTTATGTGTGTGTTAGCACAAACTTTGTAATGGAGCTCATAAAATGTGCATACTGCTTGAAGGTACAGATTTGGTCACAGTAGGGGCAAAGAGCACCTGCGATGGAAGGAGCGCTGAAGCTTGTGCTGTACAAATGTCATTTTTATTGCTTTCATCGCCATATATTCTTCCAGACATGACACAAAACACGATTATTTTTAATAGCTTGGATTTTACAACAATATAATCATTCATAGATTTTCACACAGCTCCAGCTTACATCTGTTTAATGTAAAGTGTGCAGATAGAAAGCGGGTGGAGTGTCTCTGAGGGTGATAAAAAGTGATAAAGTGTGTCACAACAGTCTGTTGCCCATCTCACTCCACTGACAGCAGCAACATTTGAATAAATCCACTTTATCCAATAAGAAACATTTTATTAGTTTAGTCAGATTTTCTGCTTTTATTGGATTTTGTATTTCTTAATGACCGTGAGATTTGTTCTGCCACTACGGGTTCAACCTCAATTTGCTACAGTGCAACACAACTCAAATTGAATAAAAGATGAAAAATAAATTGCCTTGCCTGGTAATGCTTCACCTCTTGGTGCTGCTTAATCTTATTGCAGGGAAATGAAAAAAAAAAACACACACACAAATATACATATCTGTCCAACCCAATGCCCATATACACACCCACACACACACACACACACACACACACACACACACACACACACACATATGGACAAATACTACAGCCTTCGCACCTCTTAAAAAGACAGTTCACACTGATATATCTTTATAAGCCACTTAAGTTTTTAGAGGCTCCATCACCTGCCATTTAAATTTCAGTTATTGCACTGGCGCCACAGTTCTGCCTTCATAAACCATGTACCACAGCAGAGCCCAGACCCTTCTCAAAGAAACAAGTGTGTGTGTTAAAGACGACGGGCAATGGGTCAATGAGGGGTGAGGAGAGAGAGTGATCCCAGGAGACCAAGCGAGGGATTTTCACTGCGCCAAATAATGACAACCAAGGCAATATCGCTCTGCCGATGTGTTACGACGACAGAAACGACCGGTTGTGGTTCATTTTATAAAAGCTGACCCCTTTGACCTCCAGGTTGCCATGGAAACACACACTTTGTACGAGGTGATAGCTGCCTATTGGCATGAGCTGACGTTGTGTTGAGAGTGACACCCATTACTCAGGTCAGATATCACTTATAGATAATGTTATTGTGAGTGTCCTCTCCTTCCTCTGTGTCCCACTGAGAGACAGATGAGCGCACACACTGAAGGTCTCCACAGGTCAGCCTCTTTTTCATTATCACCAGTTTAACCTCACCAACAAGCTCAAGTAATGTAGTGGTTCAGTCATGATGAATTGCATGATCAAATATACATGCAGAGGCATATTACACACTTTGGTGCCTTTTGCAGCTTCCATAAATGGAAATTGACTTTGCTGTTTGTGCTGATGTTAGAGGAAAACACTCCACTTTTATATGAAGCATCCTTCTCCCCCTCCCCGTCACACCCTTCATCCCCTGGGGGGGGGGGGGGGGTGGGGGGGTCACTGTGTGTGAGGATACACAGGAGCCTGACTGAAGCCACCTCAGCAAAATATCTGATCAGAGCCAGGACAAATAGCCAGCTTACATTACTCGAGTGATTTCTTTTCTATTGAGTGTATCTGTGCGTGAGAGGCAAGAAGAAAAAGAAACAAAAGGAGGAAAAAAAACACATTGTATCATGATGTCACCAAGAAGGAAAGTGAAAGACAGAGAAATAAAGAGAAAATTAAAGGTCAACTATACTCAACGTTATTCCAAAATCCACAGCCTTTAATTGGATCAACTTCTGTTCTCAAACCTGATTTCAGTGTCAAAGGAAAAATTGTAGATTATTGTAATTATTATAATTGCTAGATTATTCTAGCTACAATAAATTCAGACAGGACACAATAACTCACATATATTTGATTTAAAGAACAACCTGGGTTGCCTCAGGTGACCCGAATTGATACTAAGAAAGATTAAATCAGACAAAAGATAAGCCTGATGATATCTTGTGTATTTCTTCATGTCCTTAAATCCCATGAAAAACCAATAAACTAAGATTGATCGAGCTGTGTGCATAATCTGAGCATCTTATCCCCTTGGTTACTTCAAGCCCTTTTGTTGTCCTCAAGCTCTTAAAATCACATTAGTGGGCCACCTGGAAACAAAGTCCTTCATTACTTTAAACATGAACTTTGTTGTTTTGTTTGAGTCTGCGCCATTTAAGCTTTCCTTATTGTTGAAATTTCGGTGGCGAAGGAGGGTTAATTCGCTGCAACAGCCAAAAACATGCCTTTTTAGAAAAAAAAAACAGCTGCACTAACAGAAGCAATGCAAACTGAAAACAAACAGAAACACACTGAAAAGAAAAGAAAAAAACATGATGCAGAAAGTGACATCTGCATGAGAGAAAACATGCTGCAAATGTTAAAACTGAGCAAAGTCAAAAACGTGTAAATTAGGAGCCGAAAATTCATGCCATTTAAATCAGCTCACAGAGTTTCTTCACACCTGTTGGAGGCTCAGCAGATAGGCGTCATGTCAGGTGTAGTGTGACTGCAGTGTGTTTCATTCTAAAGCAAAATGTACATGTACTGAGTTCAAAGGGGTTTTACATTGGTGCAAAAAAGAACTAACTTAAACATTTCATCTTATTTGAACACAGATCCCTTGTTTCCTGTCTCATAGGGGCATGTCTTGATTAAAGAGGGCTAAATTATTCCAAAACAAAAGCCTGCTGGGGACACAAAGGGAGGTTTTGGAGCCTGCCTGTTGATATTGTTCTGTCAGAAAGCTCGAAGAGAGGAAGTCTTCTGTCGGAGCTGCCAGGCTGGACTGTTTTTGGGGTGGAGGAGGGAGGGTGGGGGGGTTGCAGGGTTAAGAGTCCGCCCTGTTATCTTTGTGTAAAAAGGTCACACAGGTCTGGCGGAAGAAGCAAAAGCAACAACCATCTTCTTACTGCCATCCAGAGCACACATAGCTGAGCTGGGCAAACCCACACAAGTGCACAGGCATCACATCGTTCACTCATATCTGTGCACACAGGTCGAATGATGAAGGATGCATTGTCAGGAGAAGCTGGAAACCCCCCAGATATGTTTTCCTTCTCGCGATCCCTGCATATGAGGTCCATTGTTTTTGTAGCGCACACAGTTTGTGCACAAGCTTTTTCTCAGAATAAATTGTACTGATTTATCAGATGTTTGACTTATGGTTTTTGCACATATTGTGTGAATGTTTTTGCTCATGTGAAAAGCCACAAAGGATGATATTTCATTTTGCAACTCTGACGTATCACAAAGAAATAAATTCTGAAGCTTTACAGGTGAATGCTCTTACAAATAACACACACACTTAGACCTTGTATTAGACTGAAAGACGAACTATCTTTCATGTCAAACACCACATTTAAAATATATCTGTACTTACAAAGACTGTTAAACTATCAGCTATTTCTGCATCCCTCCAGTCTCACAATCACAGAAAGAGTATCTCATGAACCTCTATTTTTCAATTCTTTGTCAGTATCTGATAGCAAACATATTTGCCTTGCACATTCATAAACATGCACCTTCATGGACACTGATAACACACAGCTTTAACGCTCAGAGCAGAGCTCATACTGGGAACTCATGTTATATTGCAGCAGCAAGGGACCTGATTGTTTGAGGCCATTAAAATGATAAATGAAAGCACACTGCAGGAGATTAAGGAAATATGTAGTATTAGTGGTAGTAGCAGGAGAAATAATAACCAACAGGGACATATTCCATACAAACTAAACAGCCTCTTACAATCACACCTATGATGCGAAAAGCCACCATATGCTGTTTATACTCTGCTATCGTTTATCAAGAGGACATGAATCCTTCTTTTTCAAGTGCAAATGAGGTGTGTTCGTCTGATTCTCTAACAGATTCCCCCTTCATAGCCTCCGCAGTAAATGAGCAACAAGATTGGCTATTTCTTCACTTGAATTTTAGTGCTTGGGTTGTCTGGGAAAGAGCAGGACAACAGCAGGAAAGCTGAGTCAATATCCGACACTCACAAAGAAATGTCTGTGTTTACAGTAAATTCAGTCAGTGAAAAGTAAGTAAGCAATTAGGAAACATGTTTGGATACTTATTTTAGATCATGTCATGTACTCAAAGCTGAATGTAAACCAGGATAAACAGGAAGATGTACATTTTCTGTAGAAGTATTGTTTAAGATCGAGAAAGTCTACAACCAGGACTTAGTGGGTAAAGGAAGAAAATGGAAATGAGCTGTAATCAATGTTAACACCAGTGTGAGTGCATATCGTGTTTTTGTCAAGTATAGTAAAGTGGAATAGATCAGTGTTTCTCTTTAAATTACTGAGATCTTTCTGACTCTGTTATGCTATCAGTAGGCTACTTCTCTGTCCACTCTCCTATCCTCTCAAACTGAGGGTTAACAATAGTCTCAATCTCAAAGGCACGGGCAGAATTGTAAACCTCTCTTCTGCCAAATTTTGGGGCAGGGGTCTAGAAAATATGTGTCTTTAAATCTATTTATTTTCACTGATGTTTTACTGCTCCATAAATCTGAGCCAAGTTTTTTCTTTTAGTTTTCTTTATGAGCCTCCATGTGTTGATTGTATTCACTTAACTGTTGTTGACTATTATTAGTATTACCTTTTTTTTTTCTTTTCTACCATTGTCTTTAAAGGTCCTGTGAGGAACTTTCAGTTTGTGTCTATTTTGGTTCCCCCTGTGGACAAAGCAGTCTTTGCATATTTTGTTCTCCTCGTGCTAAAGTACTGTTTGAGACAAACAATATCATCCTGCTGACTTTTGACAATCAAATGTGTCATTTATTTTGAATATTTCACATAGAAACTGTAAACAAAATAAAAATCCGTCTGTTTCTGCTTGTATGACACCAACCCCTTTGTACTGACCTCAGTCATTAAAAATGATGATAAACCAAGTGTCGGTCTTGTCCCTGGTGGTCTTGTTTGCTCTTGGATACCATGAAAAAACAACAGTATGCATTTCAATCTGGTTTATAAGCATCAACAAAATTCCTCATAGAGCTTTAAATGAAAATCATAACAGTAAAGAATTGGCTCACTGTGGTAATTGACAAAAGAAGTCATAAATAATAAATGTTGGAGATTAAATTTTTAAATCTGACCAATTCTCTCAGCGTGAAGGTCCATACACACCGGGCAATAGGTGGAGTGACGTGAATTAGTGACGCGATCTATTTTTTCTGTACACACCAGGTGCGGCACTATTATGCGGATAAAATCTGCCAAGCAAATAAAGTTTGGCTCTTCTAAAATATATATCTATAAAACCATATACTAACGTTTACTGGACTTTGAAAAAGTTGCCCCGAGCTGGTTAGTTAGCTAGCTTAGCTTCATTTTATGCTAGTTAACTAACCACATCTATGTTTGAGGATTAATATAACATCAATATACTCACCAGGTAAGTTGAGGTCTTCCTTTATTTCCTGCCCTATATTTTCTTCGAGGAGAGTGTCGTGGAATATTTTAAGGGACGCCATCGACATACCAACATCATTTGGTCAGAGGTCTGGCTGTTCGCCTTCTTACCTCCATAAAAATTAGACACAAGAGCGAATAAATAACAGTTGCTTTTCCGGGTGTGTAAGGTCGCATTGAGTTCAATATATATATATATATATATATTACTTTTAATTGGATTTTTCAGTCACGTGCAACAATATTTCACAGATACAATGTATACAATAGTAGAAGAATCTTGTAGAAGGTTAGCAATTAATGGTACTACATAATGTATGTAGAAAGCTGAGCTGGAGTGGCTTCCACAATGAACCATAATTAACCTAATCCCTTCCCACCACTGTAAGACAAATAGGTACTTCAATAGGTTTTTAAACAAAAGCGAATTATTCGTCTCGAGAATTCAGTCCCAGAGCTGTACGGAGCTGGAGCTGCCGCTTTTAATTACAAAAACAAAAATACTTGATTTTTAGTGATGGGGCAGTGTTGCAAGGTTCTAAGTAAAGGTAAGACCAAGCACTAATACTGACATGATATTTTACTGTTAACCGATGAGCCACTGACTCACCAGTCAAAGAATATTTGGAAAAGTTGGAGTCAGGCTTGCACCTGCAGGGAAAACACATACTGATGACTGAAAGCACTTTGATAATCACATAAACTAAACATGTTTTAATATGTCTTTGTTATTTGACTGAAACCGGTGTCTCAGGCCAGTGTCATTGATCTTCTTTGCCGTTTTGAAGGCCCAGTGGGAAATGAGATCTAGATTTGTACATCTTGATGAAGTGCTGACGTCCATCATCCACCTGTGACTGCAGAGCTCTGCTCTATGTGCACGTCTGAGTGAGTGCAAAGCTACTTATTCAGCGTTGTTGAGTATATTGTTGTGAGAGTGGGGTACACTCTGCTGACAACGGGGATTTTCTCATTTTACTCAGTTAACATAAAATATTTTTATGCTTACGGAGGTCCAAGTTCCCCGACTCTGTTAAATCATTCATCCTTTGTCGTCTTTGTTAAAACCTACTTATGCTCTTTTGGTACAAAAACATACTTAACATACTTTAATTTTCTGACCTTTTTAATACAGTCTGCTGTCCTGTTACAGCTGTATCCTCTGCTCTGGTCATTCCTTAATCAGAATGTAAAGCTCGGGGCAAACACAGCCAGGTCTCAGAGGAACGCTGTAGAGCTTACTGATTGTGCACAGCTGAGAATCAATAAAACATGTCAATAATGATTCGATCCTTTACAGCAGTCAAACGCTTTGCCATCCAATTACAAAGGTGTTTGGGTCACTTTAAAGAGTAAATGACCTTAGCTTGATTGTACTAGATTATGACAAAAGTCAATACTGAACTTAATACACCTGTGCAATCACATTTCTTAATTGTGTCCTTGTTTTTATTACAGTTTCACAAATAAAGGTGGACAGTACAGTCGAATGTTCAGTTACAGCAAAGGACATGTCTTTTTCAACTGTTTTAGATTTCAAACAATCTCGGAGAATAGTGTACAAGAACGGGTAGAGTCTATCATTACAGAAGCTGAAAACGGCCATGGATTTGTCTTTTTTTTAATGCACTGTTATCTCATGATAACGTCTTATTTTCTCGTTATCTCAACATAACGAAATTTGTTTTCTCAAATGATTTATTTTCATTATCTCAACATGACAAAGACCCTTTTCTCATGATAACAGAAATGGCGTTTTAGCTGACTTCAACTGTAACTTTTAAAAATGCCCTCCAGATTAGGATATTTCTGAAACGCCGCAGCCACCGATGTCAACAGCAATTTAGGGTTTTCAATGAAAACGCTGACATTATGCTCCAGTTTGCGCAAGCACATCACACCTTCAAAGCGGGAACAATAACTGCCATGCGTGAATTATTGAAAGTGTAATGTGCGTGCTTATAAAGGTATTAATTTGTCTACAGGGACCCCAGAGCTAACACCCATTTTTTGTATTTTCTTTGAATTAAATGTCTACGCTGCAGGTATCTGAAGCAATCACAGGCTGATCAGTTGTATTCATGCGACGGCTTTTATTATGAATGAATTTTATGGCATTGCACCAATTGCTGTGGAGAAAGAACAATGCGTGCATTAATGGGGCAGAAAACAACATTTGTTTTTCAGTGCTCTGCTTCACTGTTATTGTGATGCCACATTTCTGTAGTAGCAGGGGGGAATAAAAACAGTCAGTCCAGATCTTATTGGCTGGTGGGGCAGGTGTTATGGATTGTCTCAGCTCTGGGAACGAGCCGCTGACCCCTTTCCCTGATCTCTTTCCTGTTTGGTGTGGTGTGTGCAGCCGAGGTAAGGGGAGATAGAGTGGGTTTGTTCCCTGCCACTACAGCATGTTTTTCTGCATTCACTCTCTCTCCTCTTGTCGAGTCGTGTTCCAGGTGGGGTGACACAGCGCAGCACGCTACTACAGGCAGTCCAGGAAATTTGTGTCCTCCGTCCAAAAACATGTTTTGACCGTCTGTTCCACATCTGGAGGGATATTTACTCCTAAAGCTATTCTTTCTCTGCAGCCGCATTACACAATACCATTGACAGGATCTATTTGCACACCCTGCGAAAGCAAAACATATTTTGTTGAAATGAAACAAAATAAAAAGTCATATGTAGCGATTGTGTGTACAATTCTCCTGAGAGGCGATTTGGCACTGCCTGAAGACCAGTGGAGCTATCTTTAGTCGTGCATTTCCAAAACAAAAGACTACTTTATGGCAGCTATAAATGTGCTAGACTGACACATTAAAAAGTGTCTTGGCTTCAGTCCTCCATAATGGTTCTTACAGTATTACACTGTAACAAGGGGAAGAAAAACAACTGAGTCACCGCCATTTAATTGTCTTGCTGGTGTTGAAGCATATTGCAGAACGCATTACTCAGCATCCTATTTACTCAGATAAACAGTTTAATTACTGCAGCAAACACAAACACTCCCATCTCCAACAGAAATGAACTCATATTTAAGACCATCCTTAGTGACTTGCTTAATAATTTATAAGATTTATCATTATATGCAACAAATAAGCCTTATTAATTGGCATTGCATGATGCAGCTGCACAGATAACGTGGCGTAATGATGACAATGACATTTCTTCACCTCTGAGGGTTTAAGAGAGTATTGCACCTGCTGCACAGCTTCATCTTTTCTGCAGCAAACCATCTGGACTTGGGGGCTTATGCTGTGTGTATAATGTATGGGTCTGTGTGCCTCTGCAGCTGTAAAGGGTCAGAACCCTGCAGTGATACAGCTTTGGGTATTTCTTTTATTGTTCTTCTCTACTCCATCACTGTCTTCCTCAACTCTGCTGTAAAAATCCCTAAGGTCTGCTGATGTTTGACCTTCAATATGTGTGTGTTAAACCAGCATCGGGAGCTGTCGAATCTAAGACTCCAAGTGGGCGACAACCCCCCCCCCCTCCACACCCTCCATCCTCCACCCTTCCCTCCTGTGTTGTACAAGGTGCTTCTGTCCTTGAAAGCCCACCATGAGTCCAACACTGAAGCTAAGTTTGTCTGATCTTCGAACCACCAGGCTCTGCACAGCTCCGGTCAATCAGCTCACTTAGAGGTTACCTAAGGGGTTAACACACATTGCAAACCTTTCCCATCTGTTGCTAAGGAAGTGTTGTGCAGGAAACAGGGAGAGCAGTTTCCTGTTATGAAGAGAGCTTTTTTAAAGGGGTGCATTCATTCAATCATGCAACAGATGCAGAGCCAGGAAGCCCGGCCAAAAGCAAAAGCTTTGGTGTCTGAAAGAAACTGTATTTGGAAACTGTTTTCAGGAACCTTTCTATGCACTGCTCTAATTCAGGAAATAACCCACCAGTAAAACATGCTGGAGAAAACACAGAGAAAAACATGCTTGGTTCTGGGTATATGCTGTGAGGTATACTGTCTTCATAGAGATAATTCCATCAGTAAATGTCCTGACACTGTGTATCTTTGTGTGTTATAACTGATATCAAATGAGAGACGTGCAAATGTGATCCAAATTTTTATAAAATGGAAAAAAAAAACATTGTGCAAAAACTGTGACTGCATTCTTTAGCAATCCATCAACTCAATGACCTGCGTTTTCTAAATTCACTTATTTATAGTCCAAATCTCTCATGGTGAGTGGATTTGGTCTTAACCCCCTGCCGTCTCTGGAGCATTGCGCACATCTGTGGAGCAGTGTCCTGAAACACAGCATCATCACATGTGAGAGAAACAACCAGCGGATGCAATCTGTGCAGAAAAAAAAATCTTCCTCACTGGAAAAGGTATAGCTCACAGTATTCATCAGAAATATTAAACATAGAGAGATAAGTAGGTTTGGTTGGCGCGCCTTGTTCAAGGTCTGTAGTCCAGCCCCAGGAAGCGCTGAACAGCACCTCCCGTTTCCACACAGGAGCGCACTAGTTTCACTGGAGCATCAGGACTGGAGACGCACACCGGTTGGAAGCTCAGCTGATACTCTGCGAATACAGACGTATTCTCCAGGAGGCTCTCACTTGGGAGAAACATTAGAAAATGCTCCGAAAGTCTCCGTTTACTATTTGATTCTCATACAATGTGTTTGTGTTTGGATTAAGTTTGCGCGTCGTTTCGAGGGGGGCACTGTTGGTGTAGAGGAAAATGGGGATAACTGTCGGTGCCCGCAGATGATGACGTCCCACCATGAATACAGGTTAGATGTTGTTGCTTTTTGTATCATTTCTTCGGTAGATTCCAGGAAACTTACTTTGAATAGTTGAAATGGAACAAAGAGGTGTTTGACTTCATGCTCAAGCGTAGGATAGGATCTGGGCGGCATTAGTGAATGGAATCGTTTAATTTGTCCCAGAGATAAAAATCATCTATCAAGTAAAAATAAAGGTAAATTAATTATCAGTCAGCTCAAAGGACCAAACCCCTGCTGAGGTTTTTACAGGAAATAACTGTTACTGTCTCCCTTTCAATACTCCAATTCTCATAAATTTGGAATAAGTTGAAATCCATGGATCAAGTTGCTTCCATGAAAATCTCTCCTGGGAAATGTCCAGTTCTAGGATAAAGGTTTGACAGGATTATAATCCGCTACCATGCCTGTAGAAAGCTGACATTTTTTCCATTCAGATTGTCAGCTGTCTTGCAAGAGAAGTATCATATTAAGGTAGATAAATCATCCTTTGGTGAAATATGATTTCTTTGTAGAAGGGAACAAAAGAAAAAAAACTGAAGATCTAAATGAGAGACAAATAATGCGCCCTTGTCTTAGTTCTGCAGTCTTTTCACTTTTTTAAATGAAGACAGGTTGTCAAGTCTGAAGGCTGACATTTCATGATGAGGACAAAGTGTGAAATCATATCCTGTGAGTTTGGCACAGCCAAGGTCCCAGTGTCTATCTCTTCCTTTGTTTTTTAAACATTTGTTGTAATTGAATTCTTGTTGCATAATTCATATCCTGTTGTTTGCAGTTGGGTGCTTTGTCAGGCTGGGACCCCTGTTTTCTCTCCCAGTTTTATTGTTCTTTGATGCACTCAGAGGACCTTTTTCAGTAAAAAAAAAGAAAAAAAATAGTGTGTGCCAGTATGTGTAGTTGCGTGTGTGTGGTTGTGTGTGTATGTGTGAGTGAGTAAGTGTTTGCATCTGTGTGAAGCGGTGCAAGTACATTTCGTGAGAATGGGGGAAGAATGACGAGAAGGAAGTCCATTTGTGTTGTGAAAATGTGAACTCCTAGAGGTTCATGAAGGAGTGATGGGGGACCATGCTGTTAGTGTCCTTCCCCCCATGGACATCCTGTGTGAGGTCCTTCAAGAAGGCTCTGCTGGAGGACCTCATCAACCTTGTGTCTTTAAAAATACGCTGCAGTGATATCAATTAAGATGAGGGATAAAAATGTGGAGGACAGGGATTTTTATTACAACGTGGGGCAGTTTGTTTAAGAAATCATGTGAGACTGAAGTCAGGAAAGTGTGTGTGTGTGAGTGAGAGAGAAAAAAAGAGAGGGAACACTCAGAGATAGCCAGAGTGCAAACAGGGTTTAAAAGGATGTGCGTCAGGGCAGGTACTAAATAACAGGAAGAGACAAGGGGTGTACACACTTTGTTAAGTACGGGTGTGTTTTATGACAGTTCTTCATGTTATAAGTGGTGTTTTATGACTTCACACCTTTAAAACTTTACCATATTCAGAGTTTGAACTCAACACAACACACAAACACACAGTGACACAAACTCTCCAAAATCAAATCTCTTATTGTCATTTTTCTACCAATCAGAATTTTTGCAGTTTTAATTTCATTTTTTCAGTTTTTGGTTCCACTTTCTGCCTAAATCTGATTCTGCTATGAGCGTTCTACCTTCATGTGTCATTTCCCAGACAGGGAGATGTTATTGTTCCTCCTCTAAGTACCCTGTGGCTCTGTTGTTTTTCCTGCTGATAATGTCCTCCACAGCATTCTGCTTGTCACTGAGTATTGTACTGGACTTGAGAATTTTGTAACAAAAACAGGACCCTCATATTCACCTCTTTGTAAGGCCAGTAATAAGATATCGTGGTAAAATATACCCAAATATTGAAAAGAACACCAGGTTTTACATTTTCTTTTTTTTTGTACCCTCTTTCTTCACAGATTTTCAAAATCCACTGCAAGTCCCTCGGCCAAAGATCCGCAGTCACCTGAACATCAAAGTGCAGTCCAAACTGATGTCCAGACATGGTCCAAAGCCTCCAGTGGCCCCCAAACCTAGACCCATCTATAGGGCTCATGTACAGGAGGAGCCCTGCCCCCCACAGAGCCTAAGCAATGGAGACCTGGCTCACTCTGACGGGGAGACAGAGGATATCAATGAGATCGCTGAGGAGAACCGGGACTTAGAGGAGACAATTGAGGCAGAGGATTCCCTCGATGGCAATGACACAGAGCACAATGACGGAGAGGACGCAGTCGCAGAAGAAGAAGAAGAAGAAGTCAAGGAGGTAAAAGATGTCAACTGTTTAGAAAATGATGGTGACGGGATTGACTCCGATGACACAGTGAAAGCAGATGAAACTACTGATGATGAAACTACTGACAATGACTTGAACCAGACTGAAGGTGGCAATGACACTGATGATGAGACGAAATCAATGGCTTCACTTCCTGCTGAAATAAAGAAGGATACAGGAGAAGATGCACAAGAGGAGGAACTGAGTTGCACTGAAAAGACTGAAATAGAGTGTGAATCTACAGGACATATAGAAGAAGAAAGCGCTGATCAAACACAGTCACTCGGTAATGGTGATATGGACATTGATCCGGGACTGAATGAAGGGGACAGTGAACAAAGTGAGGGCAGCTTGCATCGTCCTCATGACACCAAGCTGGAAGCGGGTGGCTTTGCGTTTGGATTCAGCGTGCTCCCAACTGTTACTGAGGAGTATCCCTATGATGTGATTGGCCCAAATGATGATGCTAGTGATACATGTGAGTCATGTGACCCGGCTGAAACAGGAGACACAGAGGTTTGGCAACCAGAAAGGGCCACCAAGGACTTATCTGGCTGTTTCAGATTCACATCCAGCACTGAGGATGTCTTTGGGCCTTATTCGGTCATCGAAGCTGTCCCATCAGACGTGAACAGGACTGCTGATCCTGAGTGGTGTCAGGATGAATCTGATGACACACCTCCAGACAAACTGCAAACAACAGCAAGTGCGTCTAACCAAGAACCTTACTATGTGTCATCCGATGATGTGGACAAGCTTGAGGATAAGCAAGCCCTCTCTGATCAAGGTGAGAGTGAAGAGAGCCCTGAGCTGTCCAATCAGCACAAAGACAAAGCCAAGGACTATGACTCAGCAGATGAGTATGCAGACATTGAGGATTCTCTTTGCAACAAAGCAGATGACTTTGAGCAGTTGGAGTGTGTTTCCTCTGAGGATTATGTAGAGATTGGAGATGAGGATGAAGAGGAAGAAACGGAAAAGAAGCACATCAAGGGGAAAAGTGCAAAAGAGAGGACACTTAAGCGAGAGCAGGCTTTCCCCAGCAAGCGCTCAAGCTGCCAGCCTCGCCTTAGGCTTTGTAACATCACAGTGCCAGCTGACCTGGACCTGGGCCGCACCCCAGAACTCACCAACAGGGTGGTGTTTGCCCATACTACTGAGGCCTTTGAAGAGGACATTGAAGAACTGGACTGCCACATTGTGCCTTACTATGAGGACACAGATTCAGACAGTGAAGAGCATATATACGAAGAAGCAGGGTTTGACTCTGAAGGGGAAAACTTTGTAATACTGGATAGGAAGACAATTGTCACACGATCACGCTCTTATTCTGGGAAAGTTCCTGGTTATGTCCCAGAGACTGTACCTGAGGAGACAGGAACAGAGTACCAGACTCATGATTACTGTACAGTGGCCTTAGAGAAGACCAATGAACCATATCAAAATTCACAGCAGCCTGGGGTCAACTGTTTGATCCCCTCCATGAAGTCTCGCCGCTTCTTGTTGTATTCTCGGTCAGCAGAGGGTCCAGAATTGTCACTGACAACTCCGACAGAGATTCGCCAGTCTCTGAAGAATGACATCAGGATGAGGAGGAAAGATGACACCCTGTCACTACCATGTGTTATAACCTCCTCTGGGAGCTTTTCACAGCGGAGCCACCAGTCATCAAGTGGCGTCTCCACTCCAACATCTCTAGTGGACATACCTCCTCCATTTGAGCTGGCATACATCACCAAAAGACCAGTCACCAAGAGTTCCCCATCACTTTTGATCCAGCATGAACCCAGCGACATACCCAAGAAGAAGAAGTCCTCTTTTAAACGCTTTCTGGCTCTTAAGTTCAAGAAGAAGACAGATTCAAAAGGTTTCAGTGATGGAAGTGTACGCTCTTCACGCTCCTCCTCTGAGTCCAGCCACCATGGCCCATCACGGGTCATAGATCTTGATCGCAGGAGCACAGGCAGCTCTCCCCAGCTTCAGTCTCGCATGGTCAACCCCCAGCAACGTAACTCAGACTTGCCATCAGCCTTTGTCCTCTACAAAGACCACCAGAGGAGGAAAGGTGACCCAAAAGCTTGTGGCAGAGGTGTTTCCAGAGTGGAGTCCTTTGAGGAGCGTTCCCGGCGTTCTGCCATGCCATTGCCTTTGACCAAACCACGCTCCATCTCTTTTCCCAGCGCTGACACTTCAGACTATGAAAATATCCCAGCTATGAGCTCGGACTATGAGAACATCCAGATACCAGGTAGACCCATCAGATCGCACACTGTGACTGAGTTTTTCGAGGACCCAGTCCGCAGTACAGCTCCCTGCAATGAGAACGATGGGTATGTGGATATGAACAGTTTTCCTGGGATCGACAACAAGGCCGTGACACCAAAAGACGACACTGAAAGGTAAAGGAAATGCATAATAAGTACAAATGGTTGTGTGTCATTGCTCTAAAACCTTAAAGGGCCGAGTGACCCAAGTTTTACACAACCTCGGTCATACTCCTGAGTGGGGGCTGGGACACTTTTGCAGAGTTTTTGACCAGAGGTAATGTTTCCCCTAACTCAATTTCTTCCACTAACTAAACTCAGTAGAACTGTAAGAGCTTAATACTCCATTAGTAACACAGTAAATAGAATTTTGGGAGCAGTGTAGTTTACCTCAGACATATTTATGTTTAATGCCACAGAAAAATATCTCAAAATCTCTTGTCATGCTGGATATCACAAATCTGGATGTAATTAAATAAATAAAAATAATGCATCAGATTTCATATAGTGCTTTATCAGAGACCCTCAAACTGGTGGTAAACTACCTTAGTAGTCACAGCTGTCCTGAGGCAGACTGACGAAAATGTGGCTGCCAGTTTGTGCCTACGGCTTCTCCGACCACCACCACCACACAACACTCACAATCATACACCAGTGGAGGACACACAGTGGGAGCAAGGTGGGTTAAGTGTCTTGCCCAAGGACACAACGGACAGACTAGGGACAGGGGGGAATCGAACCGCCAACCTTCTGGTTATTGCTCTATTACTGCTCTACCTCCTCAGCTACTGCCGCCCCAATTGAACTCTTTGATCAGAATATGTAGAACTCACAGTGTCAAACAATTGATCATATGATTGCATCTCTGTTATTTAAAGAAGCAATCAAGACCATCAATGACAAGACCGACGATGTCTATAATATTTTGAATTCCTATAACTGCTGTGAACTATAGATAGGTACAGCTTTAAATGCTTTTCTTACAGCACGTACTCACAGTACGTGATAAACTTTACATTAAAAAGACAGCAGCTTTATTCCACTTTGATGCACTCTTGAAACCATGCAGCTTTGTATGTTCACTTTGTAGTGAAGAGAAGAAGTGAGAGTGTTTATCTGGAGAATTGGAGAATTACTCTTACAATAGTCAGCTGTATTATTAGTTGTGGACCCATCTGCCCAGCGGTGCAATCTTGACCCCAGAACAGCTGACAGGTATTCTCACACTCCACCTCAGATGAGCAAAGGGCACCTGGATGAGTAGCAGCAGCAGAGCTCCCTCTTGTAGGTGAGTGTACGGTGAGAGATGAGCAGCCTGCTGCGTCAGGCACCACTGGCTTTGCAAAGATGGACAACGCTTGAGGGAGAGCTTACTCCTGTTTTTCATTTGGTAGATTTAGCGGTCACATCTGGTGTCGCTTCCACTCTGAGCGTGAGAGGTGAAAGAACAGATACTTGCAGTCAGCTAGCTCAGTGTTAGCATGTTATTCAGATTAAAGAAAGTCGTCATGGGCTGCAATTAAAAGTGCCAAAATCCTGTAGGAGTTCTTTTCACACGAGGAAGCTGAGCGTAGTGAAGGAAAAGGTGAGAGAGTGAGGGGAGGGGATGTGTTAATAGAAGGTGCAGAAGAGTAAGAAAACAGGACTATGGAGATAAAAGAGGGGGAGGGGGAAGTGAAAAGAAGACAAAGAGAGCAAGCACAGTTCTAGTGTAATTGCTCTCCTGTACCTGACACTTATATTTAAGTTTAGGAGTGCTTTTATTAAAGTAGCCCTCTCCTGAGTGCTTCCCTTTCATTAGACCCTGGAGGGGCTGCAGAATTTACTGCAGTGTGTGATAGATTGAGGAATCACCACAGTCAGACTGTACCAGATTACCCCGGCCTGTGCCCCGGCTACAGCCACCGAGGGCCACAGTCTTTCCCCAGTCTTAATAAAACAGTTGCAGTTTATGTACAGTTCAAGTGGCTTATTGGCTTCTTCAATAGCTTCTGCTTCGATTTGTTTTTCATTCTAGTTGTATTGATATGCAGCTCATTTTGTGTTTTTATTTGTTTTTTAAGAAAACTCTCCAGGTTTATGAAACTTAAAACACATAAAGCTTATAGATCGCTCTCGATCAGACTTTCTGAGCAGCAGCAGACACAATGATCTCTTGACTGTTTATACACTGATGCTTTAAACTCTATACATTTTTCAACATTTGAAACCCTTCCACTTCACAGACAATAGTCTCTTGGTAAGGGCTGTTTTTCACTCAGTGATGTTATCGATGTGGCTCATTGTGTGTCGTAGGTCTCACACTGCTCACACTGATGCAAATAACCTATCTGTCCTGTCACCTCGCCTTCGCTGCATTCCCTCTGGAGATGCTGCTGTTGCCAGGGGCTGCTCTTTGGTGTCTATACTAGGCTGGTTTATGTTTGTTTGAGTGTCGGTGTATGTGTGTACAAGTGTGCCCACATTATTAGACAAGTGTAGTCACTGTAGGTGTTGTCCACCACTTTTGTGTCTCTGCTCAAAGGATGACATTGCTGGCGTCCCAGGCCGCCCGGTTGCTGGTGACAGTGATTTATTGAGACCCATTCAGGAGTCAGCATGGTTTTAGACTCACAAAAAGTAGATTTTTGTGTGGTGAGGAAAATGACCAAATTACCCCAGAGAACTGCAGGCTACCGCACTCAGTATCAGACATGCATTTTAAGGAGAGCTCACAAAGCTGCTGTGCTACAGGCTTGGCTTGTTTCCACTTGTGTGATTAATGTATGGCACCATTCAGACCCTGCGTCTGCACATGTATTCAGGCTAAGCAAAGAGACATGTTCATTAGCAGGCTAGAGAACAATGGAAAAAGAACGTATGCTAATGAGTTATGCCAGACCAACCTTTGCTGTTTGTTTGTAGGTGTTGTGTGTGATAGTGTAAATTCATGCATGCGAGCTAAGTTACAACTCAGGGCGGCTTTATCAAAGATGAGGCTCCAGCAGAGTGCAGTCTCAGCAGGAGTGTCCTTGCCAAGAGGCTGTGAAGCAACAAATGAGTGTTGAAAAGGATGTTTTAGCAAAAAACAGCTCAAGATTTGTGATTGTGCTGAACTTAGAACCTATTAAATGTTGTTTGTGTCAACTTTAAGTAATTCCTTGTAGACTTACAACACTCGTGCAGATGTGTTGTTGCCCCTGCGCGCACAGTAAAAGGAGCCGTAGAGGTATATTCTGCTAATGTATGCAAAGTCATACAGCTCTATTTTACCCTTTGGCGTCATTCTCACATCGAACTGTGCATGGGCCTCTTCAGAGTGATGACAAAGCCCTGCCATGGCCTCTAAAACAGCTCCTCCACCCACTGTTATGTTAGTGTTAGTAGTGATGAGGGAGCCATCTTAAGTACATTGTTGTACAGGGTGGTGGCTGTGTGCTGTGTGGCGAGCTGGTGGACAGGGCGTGTCGTTGGCTCGCCAAGCCCAGTGCCTGGCGCTCCGAGGTCATTGCCAGGTCATCCCCGGGGAGGAAACATCCAGCCTAGGAGCTTGCCACCGGCCTATTTACAGGAAATGCAGGACGAGGGTGAGGCTCTGGCGGGACGCAAGGAAGTGGGGCTGGGAGAGGATAGAAAGGATGGCGGGAGAAAAAGGGGGTCACCATGGTCGGGTGGTGGTACCTAGACTCTGCCTCTAACAATGATGTTAGGTGTGGTGCAGTCAGGAATACCAAGTCTGTTTTCACTGTTACTCTCATTTATCAGGACAGTCTCAGGGGTACATGTAGCGAAGGACGACAAACCAACTAAGGCTCTGAATCACTGACAGAAGACATCAAAACACAAAGCCCTTCAGTAATGTCTTCATCAAAAACTGTCACAACAGCCACAAGCTAAATGTCAGTCATCATCACCAAAAGCAGCAAACAATTTAAAACGGCTCCAGATTTCAAATTCCCTCATCAGTACCCCAATTACATATAGTTATCAGTCCAATGAGCCCTTTCAGCCTCTCATATTCCCTGTAATAGTGCCATTACTAGTAGAAAAAGGCATGTGGGACTGTTTCTAATATATATTTAAATACCCAGTGTTTAGCTCTATTGAGTTATGTATTACAGGCATCATCAAACTCACAGGAGACCACAGGTCTTTGTAGAGAGTCATTGTGTTCTCCTCTGAATTTGACACAGTAAATTTAACTTTGCTGTGTTATAAAAGGCACTGGCTTTGTGAGGTGTAATAGCATCGCCTTAATGGTCTCAATAAGGGCGTCATGCTCTACCATACTATAAAAATCACATATTCATAAGTTTGACAATATATATGGTGTTGATTATAGCTAACATTAAAGGGAAATTTAGGGTTGAAAGGGGGGCTGGGGTATGAGCATTAAACTAGTAGATGTTCACTGACCAGATGGACTAACAATCCCAATTTTTTAAATGATTTCATGTAATTTTTACTTATTTGTTTTTTCTTCCATATTAAGACATTTTTGGGAGAGCCTTCTTTCTAGAATTGAAATAAAATCCGTAAGCTATAAAGTACTGATTGTTGTATTTAGGTCATGTTATTGATGATTGAGAGTCACTTGTAAAGGTGAGAGTCCACAGAGTGTTTGTCTTGGACAGCTGAAGGAATTCCCCTCACTCAGTGAATAAATCAGAGAATGAGTTCAAAGAAGACTATCCCTCTTCTTCTCTATCCTCTCAGGAGCCCACATTAGGTGCACCTGTCTACTTTGAGGTCAACCATGAGTAATGGCTCATAGGTGTTTTCTGAAGCCCACCCAATGGAGAAGTATGTGTGTGGTGTGTTTGTCTGAATGGAGATGAAGTCCATCGAATGACTTTGTTAACCTTTGATCTTTAAGAGCCTTCTACTCTCAGCACTTACAGGGGGATGTTTTAAAACCCGAGTCCATCAGTCATTGTTATCTGTAAAAGACCTGTGAAAAATTAGAAAATCACAGTGACTCAGAATCTCACTGTCTGTTAGCTCAAGTGATGTCTTAATGTTGTTTTTATTGTTGCCCAACAGGACAAATCCAAAAAAGACAGACATTAACATTATAGCCTTTCTATGACTCACAGAAACAAACAAAATGATCATCAGAATCAAGACACAATCTCAGCATTCGTAAAGAGTCTTGAGGTAACAGTTGTTGGGAATTGGCACTATATAAAATAAGACTAATTGATTCAAGATAAGAGTTTTTCATCTTGTTAATTGTAATGTTTAAAACTATTAATGCAGGGTAGATCTCAGCTGAGCTGATCAACCATATGCTATGAAAATAGCCCATATTTTTTTATTGCAAAAGTCATGACAAAATCAGGAGAGAGAGAAGTGGTGTTCCCTTTTGTCCACAGGGGGTGCCAAACTCGATACAGTCTAAAAGTTCCTCACAGAAGCTTAACATTTTTTGGTTGAGTCAAGCATTGTAATTTGTTACAGAAAAGGGAGAACTTTTGATTTTAACCCAGAATAGACTCAAGTCATTGGATAACAAAGCAGCTCCTTGAGGGTTTTTTTTTTTTTATTCACTGTTGAGTATAAATTTAGTGTGTGTGTGTGTGCGCGCGCGTGCGTGCGTGCGTGTGTGTGTGTGTGTATTTATCAAAGGATTTTTTTCCGTGAACATTAAACATCACATCAAATTAACATCAAATTGACATCAGTATCAATTTTTTGCACATAACATTTAATATACACTTGAGTCTCTATAAATCTCTATATGCTCCATGGTATGTGACAAAAGATTCACCTTTAACTCCTTATTCCTAAATGGTGATACTTTTGCTTTAGAGAGCTTGCTTCTGCCTTTCATTAGTTTTAAAACGTACTAAGAGTGTTGAAGGAAGCAGCTGCATGACAGAAGTATGACAGCTAAAGGTCGAGCTGTCTTAGAGGTGTCATGTAGATATTTTGAAAATACCCCACTGATACCCTGTTATCATCCTCTTTGTGAATTTGATCAAACACACTGAATGTTTGCTTTAATGGGTCAAAGGACTTTTGCGATTACCACAGGTAGCATTTAAAAGGATTACAAGGGAAATGACCAAAAGCGGGCTCCCTCGCGTTCAACAACACACAAAAGGATTACCTGCATAATAACATGACCACGCCATCTGTGGAGGAGAACCAATCATGAAGGAGATTACAGTGTGCCACCAGAGGACTCTGTATAGAGAGTGCAAATGTTCAGAGACATATAATGTAGAGTTATTGCTCAGCGCTTTGAGACAATGCTGCTGCAAAGATAGTATACTGCTGCTTTTTACTGTAAATGGCTGCTTGGAATTCAGGTCCCCAATGCATCTTTGCCTTCCCAAGTGAAAAATGCTCATTGACTTTCTTTATGGGTGAAGCTTTGCTGTTGAGCACATAAAATAGCGAAGATTCTGACAAAATATCAATTATTCATATTCACGTATCAGTGCTGTTCTGTTGAATTAATGCTTTGGTTTCCTCCCCTGGCAGTGCCTACACTGAGCCTTTCCCGATGAACCCTGTCTCTGCTGGGCTGTCAGCAGACGAAGACCACGGGCGGACCTCTGAGGAAGAAGAGGGGGCTGCAGAACAATGTTACGACAGACAGGTGAGACAAAGAAAGGCAGGGATGAAAATGCAGTCCTGGAGGATACCAATTTATTCAAGGGATCAACAAGAGGAACAAAGAAAGTCCCAAGGGTCCAAGATTTCACCTGCAAGTCTTGTGGATCCAGACAAAAATGGCACTTTCTCTAGTTAAGATAGAACACTTTAAACCCTGCAGACTTCCGTACAGTTAGAAACAACCATTTTACAGTTGCTCAGAGATGACCTCCTCCCTTCCTGCTGCCACCACATAATATAAGAATCTTTCTCCATGGTGGCACTCACAGTTCCTTGTTTCCTTCTCTTCAAAGAAAAATACGGTAAATTGAAATAAAACTGTGGAGGATGATGATCAGAGCGGCCGGAGTCGGCCTCTGGAACAGTTTCATTCAAAGAAAGTGTGTTTTGGTTGTTTTTAGCGGAAACGAGGATCAGTTTGTCTTTGATTCACTGTTTGTGAACCGCCCACACAGGAAAAAATAACCACGATACAGAAGCTTTGCCGGTAAACCCCCAAATGGCCCCAGTGTTATGTTTTAGTTCGGATGTTTGGAGTCCCTGTGATTAGCCTTTAAATCAATGGGCAGCATTGTTGTCACCACACACACACACACACACACACACACACACACAGCCTCTCATACATAATGCATCTGAATTTAAGTCCCGTATTTGAGAAAGCCCTCGTGTCTATGCCGGACTGTAATGAAACAATCAGTCTTATTTTGACAGCAGAATCTAACAAAAAAAAAAAAAAAAAAGTGAATTTGCTTTTTCGCCACTCTCCACTCTTGGCTGCTGCTTTGCTGTTGCTATTAATGTTTGAGAGGAGTAAGTGCCCACAGAGAGCCTTTGAACATTAGCTGTGTTCATTCATCTCCCACTGTTCTCCTCCCTGTCACGCAGATTGATGGCCGATCCCGAGCCTTCTACATTGCCAAAGAGCTCGTCGACACAGAGAGACTGTGAGTATTCGGCTTGTGGATTTCCCTGTGTGCACATCTCTAATGCACATCAACATACACAACAGACATGCAAAAAAATCATGTCCGGGCGTTTAGTCCTTTTGTTGCCCTTACACTGCTGTACCCTCCAAATGTATCTTGTCTTCTTCTTTGCTGATTTGTGAAGCTGCACAGAGACAAACTGACAGACAATAACACAAGCGTCATCATACTTTTTCTTGCCCTCCAAACACTTGATTTTGATGTAGTTTTGACACCCTACAGAATTAAAGTGATTAAATAGACAAATTAACACAGCTAAAGGGATATTGCAGCGTAATTCCGGAGTTAGACACCCCGTCGAGAGATGAATGTTGCTGACTGTTTGCTTCTCTAGTTATACCAACCAGGTAACGACCGCACTAACTTCATCAACAGTACATATACGGTCCCAGCCATAGCACTAGCCACCAAACATCTTTTTAGCTTTGCCTGATTTCTTTAGCAGAGAGACTAAACACAACCCATCCACTCTCCTCCAGCAGCTGCTTGTTTGTACGGAGATCTCAGGCGAGTCCATTTCCCCAGCGGGGTGACGCAGCTCAAGGAAGAACATTTATGATCATTTCTTCATGGAAATGCAATCAGACCGAAACGCTAAGAAGAACTACCGCATCTGCAAAATGATTAGTATGATGATTATTACTTCAAGGAAATGATAAAGAAATGATCATAAATGTTATCATGCCGTAAAGTTGATATAACTAGAGAAGCAAGCGGTCAGCAACATTCATCTCTCAACGGGGTGTCTAACTCAGTGTTTGGCCCTAACTTAATTTTACGCTGGAATACCCCTTAAAGTTGAAGGCTGTAAATCTGTATGTCACCGTTTGACTTATCTCTTCCCATTTGTTTTCCAGACATGTGAGCGCCCTCAAACACCTTCAAGAGGTAAGAAAACCTTTTCCCTCCATAAAACGAGTGCACAATATGAGCTTTAATTGTCTCCTGCTTAAAGGCCTACTAAACTTTCTGGAGACCCTCCTGATAATATCACATCCTGTGTGTCTGCTCCCCAGTCTCTGTCTCCGTCTTCTCCTCCTCCCGCCTGTTGCAAGGCTCTGCTTGGGTTTATCAATGTTGTTGCAGCGAGATCTACTTCCTGGTCTTGACAAAGTTGACGTGTCGTACTGTGTTGTGGTCGGTTGTAAGACGACAGCGTGCGTCCACCAGGCGCTCTCACTGATGCAGTCCGTGTATCTAAACTGATATGTGTACTCTGATACCCAAGCCACTCAGCTGGCTATCTGCCATCTAAAGGTTACGAAAAGGCTGTGTGCCTTTTATTTTGGTCGTACTTCACACTAACAAGGAGTACCCTATGGCCGGGTCATGAAACTGAAAATGTCATGATCAGCAGTATGGCGAGAGTGTGGTGTTTGCAGGATAGAGATTTTAGTTGTTAGCTGTTCAAGTTTTTAGAGGTCAGACATCACAACCAGGTGTTGTCATCCTTTTTATAATGTCTGCTTGGCTGTTAGTCATGGCAAGACCTCAAACCTGCACAGTAAAAGTCGAGACTTTCTAAGGCCATGACTACAAATACATGAATTTGAGAAAACACAGTTTTCCTCTGCATTTTGTCCTTCCAGTTACACAAAAATGTAAATTCGGTCACTGACAACTGAGTGTATTCAAATATGCCTTCTTTGAAACCCTCATTTTTGTATGTATTCACATGGACAGTGAACAAGTTTTGGGAAATGCTGATGTTATTTCATCTTGGGCATTGCAATTTGTTTTATTGTGCATGCACCAAGATAGCGGGTTATGTCTATGTCTATGTTTATACAGGCATGTCTTCAAGGTTCCCCATAGCTGTACATCAAAATTGTACCACATATATCAAAATATACCACACTGTAGTGTTTTAAATTCCCAACCCTGTACAAAATTTATGAAGGCTTTGCAAATGCCCCTTACTGAAGTAGACACTCAGCATGTGCCCTCTGTTCTTGTATGGTGTTTGATGGATTGTGATGGACTGATTACACATTATCACCACCTACTGGCCTGGCATGCTTATGTTGGCATTTTCAGCTGTGTGCATTGTGAGGACAGAGATATATGCAGGAAAACATCTGGTGTGGACAGGATTTTGCAATCATCATCAATCATCAGGCAGTGCTTTGCAACATATGCCTCTTGGGATTGTTTGCAAAATTTTCAGCGGTCAGTGTTCAACAACTTCCAGCCGAAATGTCTTCTTTCTCGTGGCTTTAATATCTAGAGCCCTCCTCAATCCTTTCTGTTTGTGTTTTAGGTGTGTCCCGGTTCAACAGTAGACATGAAACAGAGACTTCACTTTGGCTTATGACAGTGGTTTAAGTCCAAAGAAGAAACTTCATTCCTCATCATTGAAATGAACACATGAAAATGAAAACTTATATCACACCGTTTCCACCTGTGTTTGCTTTACGCACAGACACATACTGTATTTTAACTATTACTGTCGGCATCATGGCCGTAAATCTGTGCGGTCAGTTGTTTTAGGGCTCTTTATATCTCTCTTTATACGTATCTTCCTCTCCCACTCTCAGCTCATACAGTTGCAACAGGTGGCTGCTGACAATGTGTCTGGTTCTGCTCAAGGTTTCTGCCTGTCAAAAGGACAGTTTTCATGCCTTTTTTAGCTAAATGTGCTTGCTCATGATGAATTTATGAAGGATCTTTCTAAATAGTGCCACTAAGAGTACAATCAGTATTAAAAGTTTTTGTTAAGATTACTTTTGTCATGATTTGGTTCATAAATTTGATTTATATGGCAATGTAACTAAAATGCGGTCTTTAAATTGCTGCTATTATTTAAGCATTGTAGTATAGGAGCTAAGTTATTTGAAATGGTTTGATTCATTGGCTGATATCTACCTAAAGATACCACAAAAATCACAGTGAAACAGTTCAAACAGCTTCATAACTGAAAAGGAAATCCCCAGAAGAGGTCACATTGGCAGAATCTGCAGATTGTGTGTAATGTCGCTCTATGGTCGATGTTTTCAGTACAAATCTGACAGGAAGAGGCATTGATGCTGTAAAAGCCCATCAGTCAGCCTGTAACCTTGAACAAGGTTACAACCTGAATTTCTTGAGTCCCTCCCTCACCGTGATTTATGAATGCCTACTGGCTGTATAAAAAGCAGCTGATTTGGGTAATGTGTGTAATTTGATGCCATTAAACAGCAACTAATGCAAATATTATACAATGGACCTCTCCAATATTCATAAATCTGCAACCTCATCATGATGCTCAATTATAATAATTAGCTGCTACATGCCAGAGTACAGAGAGAGAGATGTACGTTGTATGATAAAGTGGGCATTAAACACTAATACTGAAGTGCTACTTAAACTTTAAAATATATATCCAAGAGTTATTGATCCATTTTCTCTTCTCCTTCCTTAGTGATACTATTACACCTAATGTAATATTTTTGCTATAATTCAGAGGTGACACTGACTTTTTTTCACCATGTCCCTGAATTATGTATAAGCAGTGTTAGCGATCTCGTTATACTTCAAACTTAATACAGCAATATGTCAAGGTACAGGTTACTGTTTGACACAGACTCATGTCATAATTAGCATGAATCTTAGTGGTTTAGCTTGGAAAGAGTCCAGCATCACTTCAATTTGAGAGGAGAAAAAAAACAGCCGCAGGAGCGTTAAGTGAGAGGCGCACATGAGCTATTGTTCCATTGTTTGATAAGGAATAACAAGAATACAAAGAATTTCCAGACCCCGTGTCCACATAGGAAGGGAGGCCGTGCTCCTCTTTTTAAGGCCTTTCCCTCAATCAGCTACATACGAATCTCAGACTTCTTATTATTTTTTTCATGTTTGGAGCCGCTGACCTCTGAACAGATTCTCTGGGCTGAGTTATGACCAAGCATGACTGGCTGCTCAACCAACTGCTTAACGCCGCTTCTTGACCTGCCTCTCAAGAGGAAAATAGGGATAAAGTGGAGAGTGGAGGGTTGAAATAGAAAGTAAATCTCATTCACTGATCGTAGTGTGTGTGTGCGTGGTCTGGGAGACAGCTAGAGTTGTTAAAGTAGCAGTCCAGCAGCAGACATGATGAATGTTAACTCATACACAATCAATTGCGCATGATGAACGGCATGTTCTGAAGCACCAAGTGTCACTGCATTATCTCACGGTCGACTGGGACAACTCTATTTGTTTTATGTATGTGCTGTACTCGCACAAGCTGCAGACATTAATCCCTTACAGATACACTCTTGGTGTATGACATTAGCTTGCCAGGAGGCTTTGCCAACAGAAGAAACATGTGAACAACTTGTAACTGACCATATGACATGACACTTTGGGTAAGCCTGTGATCCATCTTAAAATTATACTTGTGTTTTCAATGTGTTACTTGCTATTGGACAAAACCTTTAAATGAACATCTATCAGAATGATGTGAAAACTAAAGGATAATAAAGAGAAAAATAAAGCAAACATCCAAATATTTTGAATACTGTTAAGAAATGGATAAGAGAAGCTCATACACACTATAAAGAAAGTACAGTGCAGTGTAACCTAGTGTGTGTGTGTGTCACACTCTAAAAACTCTTATTTCTTCAACCCAATTCCTGGGTTATACATGTTGAGCTAAATTTCTGGGTTATTTTTAAGATCCATCCCCATTTCTTGGGTCATATGGATTCTATTGTAACCCAATTTAAGTTTTTTTTTTGAATGGGTTAATAATTATGGGTCATTTTTTTGAGAGTAACCCAATAATTGGGTCAGAGCGTTGGGTTCGATTGACTCTACGTGGTTTCTACATGGCTGGGGTAGCTCAGCGGGTAGAGCATCCAGTTCCCAACCAGGGGGTTGGGGTTCAACCTGCATGAGACACATCTGTAAGGGGCGAACTACATCTACCTGTGTGGGTCCTTAGGCAAGACCCTTAGCGCCATGGCCTACCTCATAAACATGAGTGTGTACCATTGAAAACTAAACTGGCTCAGACGGTACAGGTTGTAAAAGCAAAGCTCCTCAAATGCATATATCAATTTAACCCAAGTTCATGAGTCAAATTAACTCGAAGGTTGGGTTAACTTGACCCTTAATAAGAGTTATTGAGTCAACCCAAAACTTAGGTTAGTTTGAATAACCCAACATTCTGGTTCAAAATAACCCAATAAGTAGTCAGTCCCTTTTCAGCCCTGGTGCTGGGGTTTTTAGAGTGCAGGAAATGGCTACTGGGTAAATAAATTTTAAAAAAATTCTCCTGATTTATTTTTTTTCTTTTGGTCTTCATTTGCTGAAAAGAGTTTTTTGACTTACATAATTCCTCATCGTAGTCCACTTAGTCTCTGACTCTACAGCTAAAAATACCTGTTGCCGATGTTTAATGCGGGGCTGAACTGTCTGTATATTAGTGAATTTCTTGTCGACAGAAAAGTGAGGAGTATGTCCACAACAACATTGTGTCAAAGTACCAAGGTCATTATGCAACAACACCTGGTGTGTAACTTTTACAAGCAGCACCGCCTTTCCTGAATGCCTGGACAGAGCCCAACATGGTGGGCTGAGGTGATCTGAAGGGTGGGGGGCAGGAAGGATGTTTAGGATGTTTTGACCTTCCTTCTTTACATTCTTCTCCCACCCTTCATTACTCATTCCTTTCCATGCTTTCCTTTTCTCCCTTTGCACCCCAAAAACTCCTTCCTTTGTGTTTTTCAATCTTCTACAACCCCTCACTTTTACTCTCTTTTCAAATCTGTTTCCTTTCTCCTGCACAGGACTTCAGGTCAGCAGTGACAGAGGCGGAGGGTGATGATGGGGAGCCTGTGCTTGAGGAGCAGAGGTTAAGGGAGATACTGGGAGTGCTCCCCCAGGTTTACACCCTCCACAGTGATATCCTCTCTGAGCTGGAGGAGCGTGTCAGTCAGTGGTAAGAAACACCTCAGACGTTTACTTTGCTTAAGTTGTGGACCATCAGTTTTCCTAATGGTGTAATCAACCAATACAGATACAATAAACGCAGCATAGGGTATTGAAGGCATGGTTGACGATTGGAGAAGCAGTTGAAAAAAAACGGAGCTGTTCAGGCAGATTTGAAAAAAAGCATCCCTCTCCCCTCTGTGCTCCACGAAAACCTGTTTTGCCCTCCCCAGGACACACCCCTCTGGCAGAGCAAGAAGCCGGCAAAAGATCCTACGCTAGCTTCAAATCGGATCCACTATGTTGGATTGCTAGTGACTAGCAGCAGTGCTAGCTCTGCTAGAGAGCACCGTCTGCAGCTGCCTGGACAGCTACCATGTCGACATTGGAGAGACAAATAAGAGTTATTTATGAAAGATGTGCCACAATTGAAGGCAAAAATTACTCGTTCAACAAAAACTCTGCTGTATCGGCATCTGTTTTCAGGCCCAAATCCTGGCGGAGCTTTCTCCACCGCTCGAAGGATGACCCGATGTTTATTCGCGTTAGATTCCTCACTTGGTCACATTTCCTCCTTGTCTCTGCCCTTTCTTCTGTTGGCCTGTGTTTTCTTTCCAGTTTTGGTGGTGGGGCATGCATAAGTGGGTTTTTTTTGCTTCTGTAGCTAAGCTGCTATGCTACTTTTAGCCACTCAGCGGAGGGCCGGGAGAGTGGGAGGGGACGAGTCGGAGCTACTCAAGAGGGGTGTGTCGAATAAAGCGAGGTGATTGGATGGAGAGACAGAGCAGGAAATTGACCAATAGGAGCTGTCCAGGATGGATGGCTCCCATTGGTCAATGTTTTTGCAGCCCTGCACCTGCTAGGGTGAACGGATTTTTTCTATTTTTTTCTCTTCACTTTTTGAAGATCGCACTATAGGACCATGATCACCATATAAAAGAGGTTCATAATAATTACCAATCTCTCCAATCGTCAACCATGCCTTCAAGATATAATCTTTTTTCTCCGCTGTGGTCAAAGTATAACTTGATAGTCCTGCTTTAAAACGCAGAGTGTAAGACCTGCATAAGCATAAGACCTGGTTTGGCAACTCGCACCCTTTGCTAGAGTGCTTTCAATAATTTATTAACTTCAGTCCTTTTAGAAAATTTATCAGAGCTCAATCTCAGGGATTTTGGTATTTGAGAATATGTACAATCATTTTGTTGCAGAATTTAAGATGGAACTTTGGATTCTAATCTCATGTCTATTGACTAAATATAAGGTGGTCAGAATACTGTTCAAGCATACTATCTAGTGGTCAATGGTTGTTAACTATCATAACAAAATAGAGAAAATTGAAAACACTGTATCTCTCCTAATTCAAGTTTATTCATTCACTTTATTTATTTTTTATCTTTAAGCTCCTGTGTAGATTTATTGGCCAGTTACAAAACAGTCCAAAATTAACATTGAGGCCTCTATTTAACTTACAAAAGCAAGCAAGACTAATTGCAAAATTACAAACAATCTCTTCATTATAATTTTAATGCCTGTAAACATTGTGAGAGGGTAGGTGTCAGGAAGCCTTGTTTTCTTTTCCTACAGCAAAGAGTCATGTTGGTATTAAATTTATGAAAAGTAAAATCATATTTTCTTTGTCAAAAGACACCCGGTAGAAGATTAGCCAAGAGATAAGAGGTACTTTGTCCACTAGGGGAGCCAAAATCATACAAATATAAAGCTACATACGGGAGCTTTTACTGTCATTGTGTTAGTAATTAATGATAAATGTGCTTTACAGGGAGGAGAGCCAGAGGGTTGTAGATGTGATCCTGTCACGTCAGGAAGATTTTCGCATTTTCGACACCTACATCTCAGAGTATGACCGCAGCATGTCGTTACTGGAGGAGAGCTGCAGGAGCAACCTGGTTTTCACAAGCATTGTCAAGAAATTTGAGGTACAAACTCAAAGAGACACATCTAAATGAAACCGCTGTCAGCTGTGTCTGTGCTAATAGTTTGATATGTGTCTTTTCTCATTTCCTCCCTCCTTTCTTGTGTAGGTTTTGCAAGTGTTTAATATGCATAAGTATTTTGAAAGCCGCTTACTGAAATTTCAGGTTTACTCTCCATGTTTGCGGCATGACAGTGAAGCCTTGTGGTTGTGTCCAGGGCCTGAATATGAACCTGGTTTTTCCTCTTACAATTATTCAAACCTTCAACCAAGATTGTGTCACCCAGCTTCTATGTGGCAATAAGGGCTTCTCCAAATCCTGCTCTTCTCTATGAAACTGACCTTTCCACCGCCTTGACCGCATATTTTATTCCCTCTCAACACCAAAGACTCATTCTTTGTTCAGCATGGCTCTCCTTATCCTCTGTCCTCCCTGGAGAGCAGTGAAGAAGGATTTGTGTGACAAGATCATATTTCAGCCATAGCTCATGTACTTCTATGGTACAGATTGTATGCTTGGTCCACTTATTCAACACTTTATCCTTATATAGAATAGGAATGGGTATATACTCAGCTTTTGAATAAAAGACAGGATATTAAGAGAGCCTACAGATAAGACTAAAGCGATAGAGTCATAGTTTTCTCATTTTCTATGCCGCTGTGTGTTGACCTATAGCTCTGATCCCAATTTTGGACATAGGCAATGTCCAACAAGGAATTGTTATGGGTGATTTTAATACTTAAGTTTGTGTATTACAGAGCCAAAAAGCCTCCAACTAGCTTTTATTTAGATTAGGTCTTCTCAGATGTACACACTGCTGGTTCTACGCTATGTTCTGATTTGCCGTGAGTGGATGACACTATGGTTCCAGGCGCTTCTAGTTTGATAAGAAAAGCGAACGGACAAGGCACCAACTGTCTGCCCTCATGAATATTCAGCCGCAGCTGCCCCATGCCAAAAAAATGTTGGTTCTGCCAGACTTCAGTGAAGTTAATACGAAAAGAGAGGAGTGAAGGTGAGATGGGAAGACTGTGAACCATCACTATGGTTAGCGAATATTTACCCACAGCTAACCACAATGTATTTTCACAGGGTAGCCTATTTTAACTTGAACTTAAGCCATTGACTCCTTATAATATATAGTAATGTTCCACTTAGATATCGCCTCAAAGATCGGTGTCTACAATCATCTTGGCAAAATTGTAAAAAGAAATCATCTCATCTTACAAACACAAGTTCAGTTTTCTGTAGAAAGGTTACTCTGAAAAATATCCTCCACCATTTTTTCTCACTCGTGTCTGAGACTCCTCTTACACTTTAAAATTGACGCCCAGAGGCTTCTTCACTAACCCTTTTTCTCACCTCTTTGGCAGATTCACCACACCTGCCACTGCACAATCACACCACATATTATATTTACGTTTCCCATATTGCATATAAGCCTGTTATCCGGGGTCTACCCCCCCAACCTGCTGCACCACGTTGGTGTGTGTGTGTGTGTGTGTGTGTGGGTGTGTGTGTGATGGATGCTGTGTTGAATCAGAGCACTGCCCGGGGAATAGAAAGGTGTGTGTGACCTCACTGTAATGAGGGAGAAGGGGAGCCGAGGGAGAGCAGGGAGGAGTGTACGGGTCACAGGATGAACTGCACTCACTACTGAGAACGACATCAGTCATTTATCTGCTTGCTTTGTGACAGAACACAGATCATTACACATAAGAGGAGTGGAAAAACAGATCTGAATGTTTTAGTTCCACACTTACAGACATTTTCTCCCTATTCAAGACTACAACACTTACCTTTCTTAACACCCCTTTTTTTTCTTCCCCTTCCTGCTGCTGCGGTTTAGTGCTACCAGCCAAAGTGCAGCGGTTTAAGAGGTAGTAATTTCATTGTGGATGTGGCGATGACAGTGATGAAGTAGCCTCAGACCCTGATCGGATCAGAGCTAGACCCTTACAGGATTAAAGCCTCTTCTCCACAACCAGTTCCCTGTTTACTGCACCATCTATAAACATTGGTGTGAGCTTGTCTGTGTGTGTGCGTGTGTGTACATGTTGGTGTCCCAGCTCTGTTTGAGAAACTATTGTGTCTGGTTGTTATGCAGAGACATGTTCATACAAAAAAATTGTGCAGATCTTTTGAAACTTGTTTTATGAAATGTCTTTTCAAAGCTACCCCCAGCTTGGATTTATATTCACATCATGGCTCTTTTTTTGTGTGTGTGCATGTGTGTGCAGCCTGTGTGTGTTTTCTCTGTGCAAGAAGCCCAGGAGGAATTGAGGAGGAGGAGGCTGTGCAGCAGGTGGACAGAGAGCGATAGAGAGAGAGAGCGATAGAGTGAATTCCTTGTAAAGGCAGCTGGGCAATGAGGCAGACAGAAGCTAATTAGAGAAGCAGTCTCCTTTACAACTCCCCAATTAGATCAGCCGTGTGTGTGTGTTTGTGCGTATGTGCAGCAAATCAGGTGGCTGTGACACAATCTGAAAAGTGCGCTTGTTTGTCCCTGCATAGAAGTGTGTGTGTGTCCATCTCTCAGCATGAGGCATCACACGCTCCCTCTTCCCTCCACCCCTTCCATTTGGCTCAAGCACCCAAACAAACCGCACACTAATTAGCATCTCTGGAAAGCCACTTCTTCTGAACAAGTGTCAATTGGATGACAATTTACAAGCGACACTTGAGCAGAGTGGGTGCTTGGAAGCAGAGCTGGTTTAATGATAAAGAGACAGTTATTATTGTCATAAATGGCCCGAGCGGTGCTGAGGATAGAAGGGCAAGAGAGAGAGGGGGAAGTAAAAGAGCAGCACAAGTGTAGGGATGTTCTCTGCGGATGAAAGTTAAGGCGAAAAGACAGAAAAGAGAGAGAGTTTCTATCTGTGAAGGCTTCTGCATTAAAAGAGGCATCAGCTCTTTGTTGAACTTCCTGACTCCTGCTCTCCAGATGGTGATAATGAAGACAAAGAGCGGTGTGTTCAACTTGCATCCCATCCCTCCCTTATAGGCTAATCAGTGTTATCTCATCACTAGCCTAAGGTCTGTGTGTGTGTGTGTGTGTGTGTGTGTGTGTGTGTGTGTGTGTGTGTGTGTGTGTGTTAGGGAGTCTATCAATAATACATTGTACTTGTTTGTGAAAGTGTGAGATGAGTTCAGTGTGTTTTGTGTGTTCCTGTGTGTTTGTGCGTGTGCAGTATAAATAAGATGAAGATGCTGTTTCCCGCAGGGTGCTATCTGTGTCTCTCTAATGTAGGGTAGGACTTCATTGGATTAGAAAAGACGACGTGACTCTGACTCTGTGTGTGTATGTGTGTGCGTGCGTACGTGCGCGGTCCCCCCGTTGCTTCTCCAGAGCTCAGGGCATAAATACCTGTCAGATACAATTAGATCCTGATTGATTTTCCCAACCTCTCTTTGATTGTGCCAATTTCTGCCCCCTTTCACCTGCAAATGACTGTTCTGAGAAGAATAGGAGTCATGGGGGGTTTTGTGGGCTGGAAAGACGAATGAAGGTCAACCAGAGAGGCTGTGTTCCCATGGTCAATTCTGACCTTGACTCACAGTACTGTGTGAGAAAGGGTATACGCAGCAAGACAACACAGGGGTGTGGTTTGATGGGTGCTGTCCAAGGTCTAACACTAAATAATGCCTTTTAGCATATTTTCCACTAACAATTCAGTATAGTTATACTTACAGATAAGTATTAGTCCACATGTTTTATCTACTTGATGAATTCTTGTTTGTTGATTAATTCTACTAGAGATCAGAAGCGCTTCAGCAACACTTGTAGTTCAGGAAACAACTTCGTCAGGGTCATCAGGGTCAACACTACAAGTGTTGCTGAAGCTCTTTTGATCTCTTCAAGATCTTTTCTCTCTAAGCACCGTGGAAGTTGGTGAAGTTTTGCCAGAACTTTTGACCTTTGATTAATTCTACTGTAATGTACACTCATTGTGTATGTGTCTTTATGTGTGTGCATGTGCAGACAAGAAGTCCAGAAGAGGCTGAAGTCCCTCTGAAGCACCAGCTGTTGCAGGTCATTGTGAGAGTGCTGCAGTACCGAATGCTCCTCACAGGTAACACACAAAAAACACTTGTACAAATTAATACTTTTTGTTATCCTCCTTGCTGCAATAATTACAGGATAAGTATAAGTCATGAAAGCAATGCGTGTGAAAGAGTGTCTGACTTAGTGGATGTAAATAACGGTGCAGTAATCACTTAAGCTTGCTTACTTTAGCCCACAGAAGCTACAGTTTGCTCTGGTCAGTGTTTTCAAGACTTTTATTTTTTATGTTAAACGACAGAGTTGTAATTTACCTCTCCTTCATTTAATCCGCGATTGCCAGAGAATGCAGAGTGCTAGCATAAGTTGCTGAATCAGCATTGAATGAGCTGCCCCTGCACACCTTTTGTAGCCAGTTTAAAAAAGGGCAACACTACCTCTTATGATGCATCATAAGCACATTTATGAAAGCTTAAAGATGCATCCATAAGACTTCATAATAACCCTTATGACTGATTTTAAGCATTCATAACACCATATAGCAGTGTTAATGAAGTATAATACACAGTGATAATGTCTTTTAAAGGTGTGGTTTGTAATGTTTTAAACCTTTAAGCAAAGGAGAAAAAAATATGATGATAAATCGCTAACACTTTACTTGGCACCTATCTCTATAATGCATTATAAATATATGTATTATGTGTTATAATCCCATTATAACACTGTATAACTATAGTTATAAACACTCATAAATGATCATAATGCTCTATAGCAATAATCATAACACATTATAAAGTATTTTACCATGACTTACAAGGTCAGGTATTATAATGTGTTATGATTATTGCTATAAAGCATTATGATCATTTATGATTGTTTAGAACTATAGTTATACAGTGTTATAATGGGATTTTAACACATTATACATATATTTATAATGCATTATAGAGATAGGCGTCAAGTAAAGTGTTAGCTATTTATCATTATATTTTTTTTCTCCTTTGCTTAAAGGTTTTAAACATTACAAACCACACCTTTAAAAGACATTATCACTTTGTATTACACTTCAAAAAACACTGCTGTATGGTGTTTTATAACACATTATATTTGTAATGTGTTATAGAGATAGGCGTCAAGTAAAGTGTTACCACGAGTTCTTTAATAACCTGAAAGGTAAAGTTGTGAGACATATAATGTGTTATGAAACCCAGAAGTTAAAAGATGCATATAGTGCGTTATAAACCATAACTTTATAAGATATTATGCTCACTGCTTATAACACTTCATAAACACTGCTATAAGCTGTTATGGATGCTTATTATTACTCATAAGAGCTGTTGTGAAGCCCTTTGGTGTGTTTATAAGGATTAATGTGCTTGTGATGCATTGCAGGAGTTTGTATAAAGTGTTACCAAGTGATTCAAATTATAATTGTGAGCACCATATTTTCATGTCTGGACCATTTTTTTGTTTGTTTTTCCAGATTACCTGAACAACCTCTCTCCAGACTCTAAAGAATATGAGGACACACAAGGTAAACCTAATAAATGAACCTTTGAGATGTTTCTAACTCTATCCTGTAGAACAGTATCTTTTAAGAAGTCAAACACACACACTAACACTGACACACTGCAGCTGCTGCACATGTATCAGGCTCTACTTGTTGAGTCGCAGTTACTGAGTGTTTCTTCACTGAATTTGGTTGCCCGTAAATCTCTCTCTCTTGCTCTTTCTGTTTGTGTTGCAGCTGCCTTGGTGATTGTGTCCGAGGTTGCAGACCAGGCCAACGACAATCTAAAACAGGGGGTGAGTTCACGCTGGATACTCTCTGTGTGTTTTGATCACTTTGATCACTGTTTAGCCCCTGTTGCGTTTTTGATATATTCACCACCCAGCATGTTGCTATTGAGGCACATCTTTATATCCCGCTTGGCAATGAAAGAGCAATTTTCTGACACAGTTCAGGCGTGAAGAAGTTAGACAGCCGAGGTCTTCTGTGGATAAATTCCTTTAAATGACATGCAGACACATGGAGAGGTCTTTGGCGAAGGCCTCTGTGGCTTGTAGAGTTACGCAAAGGGGCGAGGAAAGATGATGTCATCACAAAGTCCCAGGTGTATCTTTACAAAGGGAGCAGTGTGAGGGTGGACCAGACTTACGCTCCCCCTCAAACATGAGCAGTTCATGGAGATAATTCATGGACATCCCCCCCACGTGTTTCTCGCCTCTCACTGTCAACATCCCTTGTGCCTCACTTTGGCTCTCCTCCTGTTTATCACACTCCCTTTCTCTCTTTTCTATACACACTGACACACACACACACAGGCTGACAGACAGTGAAAACACAGGATCCCTCTATCTCTCACCCTCGCTTATTCAGTATCTCATCCCTTTCCGCCTCCCTCTCTTTCATTCACAAACAAACACAGACAGTTTCATTCTCCTGTCTCCTCTTCCGTCCATCACTGGATAATCTCCCCCTATCTGTGTGCTGTCTCTGCCTCCTCAGGAGAACCTGCTGCGTCTGGTCCATATAGAGTACAGCATGAAGGGAAAGAGGGACCTCCTGAAGCCTGGACGGGTAAGAACCACATAGCCTCTTCTGGCCAGTGTTACTGTCCCACTATCAAAACGCAGCTCTTACAGGCCTTCACAGCATCAAAAACATGGTTTACACTAGCAGCAGACCGTCGACTAAACATACCCATCCTATCACCTCTTTACAGATGTTCGTCAAAGAGGGCACACTCATGAAGGTATCAAGGAAAAGCAGGCAGCCAAGACATCTCTTTCTGGTAATATTGCTATCTCTTTTTCATTTTTCTTCTTATTTTTGTACACATTTTTATATGAACATATATTCTCTCTCTGTATACGTCCCTGTAGTTTAAAGCTTCTGTGGGGAACCTTTTGTATGTATTGACTTTGGCGCCCCCTGTGGTCAAAGTAGCAACCCGAAAATGTCAACGTCAATGTCAGCTTTATTTATATAGCACGTTTCAAAACAGCCAGTGGCCTACCAAAGTGTTTTACAGTAAAAACAATAAAAACAATAAAAACAATAAAAGCATAAAACATATTCAAACATAAAACAACAATATAGATAAATGTAGCAAATAAATAAAATACCCAATAAAAGTTGCTATACCTCCCCAAAAGCTAAAGTAAACAGGTGAGTCTTCAGAAGTGTTTTAAAAGTGGAAAGGCTGTAAGCAGTGCGCACTGTCAGGGGTAAAGCATTCCACAAAGTGGGAGCCACGACAGAAAACGCTTGATCTCCCCTAGATTAGGAACGTCTAAAACCACCTGATTAGCTGACCTCAGGGCTCTGGAGGGCTGGCGCAGTTTAACAAGGTCAGAGAGATATTCCGGGGCCAGCCATTCAAAGACTTTCTTAAAACCATTTCTTAATCGCTGCTGGTTTCATCTTGTCCCTTTGACAGAGGTGTAAACTGACAAAAAAGAAAAACAAACTCCTGTAGCTGTCTTACTCGTTCACTCAATGTGGATTTTTGCTGTAAGAAAAGTAACAAAGGCTGTTTTTTCAGCATTACAGGCATTAAAAATAGTGTTATAGACATTGTTGTTCTTGTCATTGATGGTCTCAGTTGCTGTCATTTAATTTTAATTATAGAAATAGTTATAGAAATGCATCACTGTTTGTTTTAGTCTGTTTCTACAAAACATTCTGCCTACCAGCACCTTTGAATTTCACTTGTTAGTACCTCACAACTGCCTTGTGTAAAAATGACCATTTGTGGTGCTGGCAAAACAAAAGAAAAGAAAGAAAAATAAGTGGCAGACCACAACTCATTTAGAGCACTGGCTTTCTGAAATCTATAATTTCTTACCAACTTTGCCTTGACACAAAGAAAGGCTAGCTGTTTTTCCCACTTCCTAGTCTTCATAGCATGCTAACCACCTGCTGGCACTGGATCCGATTTATATGGATGGAATTGAAAGTGATTCCAGTTTTCTCATTGTAGTCCCTGCTCTCCAACAGTGAAGCTGCTTTTTGTATGTTGTAAATATCCCATTTGTTTGTCACTATACAGTCTAGATTAACTTGACTTAACCTTGTCCTGTTTTGAGGCTCTGTATATAATTAATAATCAATCATTTTAACCCAATAAAGAGAAATCAAAAAAATAGATTCTGACCTTTTGACTGTAACAACAGTATGAGGTGAGAAATAGCAGAAAACACCTGTCACATTGCTGAAAAAGTGGCACCGACAAAGTTAGCATTGTCTGTGTAAATATCAGGGAATGTTGGGCGGAGGTCAGTCTGTGAGTTAGGTGAGGTTTGAGGTGGAGGCACGAGGCCAAGGCTGTTAGACCTCCACTCTGCACCACACCCACCTAGAGAGGGCCTCCCTCACCGTTCTTCTCCTCTCCTCTCAGGGCTTGTTTTCCAGGGCCCCACTTCCTTACAGGATGTTTGGTGTGGGTCACTGGATGCTGGCTTCCTGTGTATTGGGAGTGGACTGACAGCAAAGTGAAGGCCAGACACCCTGTAGAATGCAGGGAGGAGGAGGAGGAGGTGGTGGTGCTACACAAACACATAACGTGAAAGAGAGAAACCCATTCTATTGTTCAGAGTGCAGTCTGTGCTGTCTCATGTTATGAAATATTTCTCAGCTTGATATCCACAAGAGCTGCTTTTGTGTTCCTGGCTTAAAGCGTTTGATCCAAAGAGAATATAACATCAAGATTTCAATTTATTTATCTTCATTTTGCTCCGTTGGTCTCACCGTCCTTCCAAACAAGAGTGCGGTTTGGTGGATGATACTTGAAGGCCATTAGGGTTTGATGGCCATTTGCTGTCTTCAAGTCGATGGCTTCAGTGGGTCAGGTGTTATTTATGGGCTTTTAAGGAAAGCGATCTAAACAACAGCGAAGATGAAAGTAATCATTCACCTCAGAGACAGAGAAGCTCAGACCATGTCACAAATCTGGGCTTCGCAAAGAAAAAAGACAAGGAGAAGGATGGAGTTACAGAGAGCTGTCAGAGGGATACAAATGTGACCAAAAAGGAGGTGAGGTGTTAGTGGAGGAGAGGAAAAAGCGGCTGTTAAAAAGAGAAATGACATAAAGTTGGTAGATGCTGTTTCTCATCTGGGAAAGTGGTTTGTGAAATCCCTTCTCTTGGAACTCGGATGCGTTCCTCTGGAAGGAATCTTTCAGTAATTGAGCAGCTCAGGGTGGAGCAGACAGACTGTAGCGGCTTTAACCCAGAGGTCGCAAGCTTGGCTATCATGCACTGTTTTGTCTCCAGCCAGCCAGCCTCTGCGCTTGTTACTGTTACTGTTTGTGTTGTGTTTTTGTTGTTGTTGTTGTGGTGAAGGTAGTGGTTCCACCCAGTCATGTTTCTCGGTGCAGCCTGTGAAGTGCTGGGAGTGTGAGGAGAGGCCAGGAGCCCGGAGCAGGGTGGAGAATTCCTGGATGCTGCCTTTACTGCCCCAGCGGATGTTTAGAGCACACATTAGGTGTGACCAATGATGTCATCTCTTTTGTCTTGAAAAAAAAGACTGAAATACCTCTGGCAACACAATGGACCTTCAGTTTGTTCACAGGATCACAATACTTTCAGTCTGACAAGCAAATAAACACGTTTAATGCCTCATTTGTGCTGTGTGAAAGTCGGGTGCATACATGGGAATTTTTGTATTTGGGGGCTGAAAAGACGTGTCTATCCACTGTGAAAGGAAACAGAATATGACGAGCTTGGTCCAGGAAGTTGCTTTCAGTGAAAAAAAGAATAAGTAAGAGGGGTTTGTGCATGGTATTTTTCTGAAGGTAACACCTCCACCTTGTGGTCGTTAGCAGGTACTTCAGTCTGAATTGCCAGAAGTAGAGCTTCAGTCTTGTAGCCCAATGAGATTGCAAATTTTTGATTGCCTCGCTTTCTTTTATAACGTGTTATAAACAAATGAATGACTTCTTGATTATTTCTTTTTTTCCCTTTTTATATGTTCTGTAGATGAACGATATAATGCTGTACACCTACCCTCAACAAGACGGCAAATACCGGCTTAAGAACACACTGTCCCTGTCTGGGATGAAGGTATACCACTTACTCCGTCTCTTATGATCTCAAGCCCAATAAAGTTTTGAATTTTTTTTTCAATAGCCCACCTGTGGTGTGTTTCTACCCCTGTCACAGGTGAGCAAACCTCTCCTGGAGAATGTGCTGAATTGTCTCAGGATTGAAGTGTCCGACATCACAATCACACTCTCAGCCAGGTGAGTGAAAACACGCCTTTTCTCTTTTTAGCACCATATTCTCTCCAGACATTAACACTCTTTTGTTTGTTGCTCTCTTAAGCTCGGTTGGAGAGAGAGAGGACTGGTTTCACACACTGAGTCGAGCCATCGCAGACCATGCAGCAGGACTGTGTACATTTGGTGGGCCCTGCAGTGAGGTATTGTTGTACTGTTGTTGTCCTTGCAGGCTCTTTCTCACTCACAGGAATGTCATCTTTTGAAATCTCAGCATCTTTCCCTAATCATCTTATATCCTGTTTGTGTTTACAGGCCCGTGAGAAGTTGTGGATGGCGCTGGGTGAGGCTGCTCCAGTGCTGGTTCCAGTTTCTCACGTGATGATGTGCATGAACTGTACCTCTGACTTCAGCCTCACACTGAGACGACATCACTGCAACGCTTGTGGCAAGGTCACACAGAACTGTTATCAGGGTTTATTACAGCTGTTTTGCTTGGCACATTTTGTATTTGCCAATGGTTTGTTAATCCCATGACTCAAGTTTTTAATTCAGTCATTACAAACCATCAAATGAGACATCAAATTGGTTGCCAAACCAATGACATGCGCTGGAATAATGTGATTTTAGAATTGGCTTTTTTAAAACTCACACTGTGAGAATTTATACTGATTTCACTAATGGTTATTTCTTCTTTGGGCCAAAAGTCACTTAAATCGCTTAATTGTCTTTGTATATTCTCTGTCTGAGCAGGTGGTGTGTCGAGCCTGTTCCAGAAACAGATACCCTCTGAAGTACCTCAAAGACAGGGTAGCCAAAGTCTGTGACCACTGCTACGCTGAGCTTAGGAAACGAGGTGAATCTTAGCGTCCTGTAGGAGGAGTAAAGAGGCAGTTAAGTGTATCCTTGTGTTTTGCTTCTTCTTTAATTTGGTTGTTCACGTGTGTTCATGTGTAGGAGGCAGCGTGTCTGGGGCTTGCAGTAACTCCAGTCCTCGGACTCACCGGGCCAGCCGTCCGCTCTCTGCTGTCTTCCAGAGCCTGCAGCCACCAAGTCTGTGGAAAAACAGAAAGAGCACCCTCTCTCTGAACCAGGTGGACTATATTTTCCATCTATACCTAGACTTCTCTGTAAACATTGAAAGTCTGAGAATGTGGCATTCAGGTCCAATTTTTAAAGTACTTTATTAAACGTTTTCTCATTAATTTCATGTTTACTTCCTCTTGAAATTTTAGGATGAATGATGATGTTTAACTCTACTTAAATGCTAGTTAATTTTAGGATGCAATTGTCAACTGTAGTACTTCTAGTAAGCAGATGCAGGACTGATCAATGTTGGAGACGAAAGCTGAGAAACGGGAAAAACTGACTGAAACATCTTTGATTATTCACCTCCTCACATCCTCTGTCTGCAATATAAGAAGGCTCTTATTCTAATATTTCCTGATGTTGTACCAATGAGCTCTAACAAAGGTGATGAATCCCTTTCTTTCATTAAAAAACAAGTACAAAAGTAGCTCTGTTTTGATCACATTATCTGGCAACACACTTACTGTTAATATTGACCATTTTATCACCATGTCGGAGAGTGTAAGCAGGATCCTTATAGCATTTCCTGTGTGATGACACAGCACAACTGTAAGTGTATCATTAATTGTAACATAATGAGGTGTTCCCTGACCGGGAATCGAACCCGGGCCGCGGCGGTGAGAGCGCCGAATCCTAACCACTAGACCACCAGGGACCTGTAAATTCAGGTTAAACTTGTTTGGTTGAATCCCTGCTCTGTGGTGAGGTCTGCTCAGCTGTTCCTGTCAGTGTAGAGTAACAAACAGCTGCCAGAAGAGTTCACTGTCTGTCTGTGTGAGGGGGCGGGACTAACCATAGCAGAGAGGTATTTCAGCTGTTCCTACACTGACAACTACATTTACTGTTGTTATTCTGTGTGTCATGTGTTTTCCATCAGGTGGCGCTGGCAGTGGAGGGCTCCACCATGAGCGGCAGCCTTCAGCGCCGGAAAAAGAGCAAGAGGAAATGGAAGCGACTGTGGTTCCTTCTCAAAGACAAGGTGCTCTACACCTTCACAGCCCGTGAGGTGAGGGGGCACAGAGTCTCCCACACCAGCCCCAAAACACTCACACACTCTCATGATCAGTCAATCACACTTTTTATCTATCCTTTTTCCTCTGCATGTCTTCCCTATCCCATCCAGAGCTGTTTCAGACTCATGATGTATTTCCACCTCCTGTGCAGAACACTTCCGGTCATGAACTGATCCTCTGTGCCCTCTTTGTTTCTTACACCTGAGAGTTTGCCCTGCTCTCTTCCTCAGGCATTTAATTCTCTGTGTTTGCACACTCCCGCTGACAGTAATGTGACATTTGTTTTAAACTTGTATGCCTGGGTTTTTTTGGATTCTTCAGGACAAAGTGGCTTCAGAAAGTCTACCACTGCAAGGCTTTACTGTCAAGCTGACTGAAAGGCCAGAGGGAGAGGAAAGCAGCAACATGTTCCATCTCTACCACAAGAAGACCCTGTACTACAGCTTCAGAGCCGACGATCATCACACAGCACGCAGGTGAGCACTGGTGCTGTTCTATAGAAATGATGGCCGTTACACAAATTAATAGTTTCTCACTCCACAGATGAATAAAACACCACACACCAAGGTGGAGGGATCAGGTAGAGCTCCAAGCTTTGGAACAAAATCTCCTCACTCCTGCCTAAACAAGAACTTCATGTAACCGTGGTTACATGTCACACAAATAATAGGAAGTTTAAGTCAATGACCATTTTGCAGACTCACAAAGATCACCCAACAAAATAAGACATTTGACATGAAATTCTCTTTAACAGCTCTTCATTTTTTCAACCACCTTAATATTTCAGTCTGATGTCTACGGTCATCACTGCCAACTCCCTATTGATGAGTCTAACAGCCCACAAGCACTCCAGACTCAGACATTTTGAATGGCACTCATAAATTAATGAAACCTTGTCACATTAGAAGTTACCCAGGGTTTAGCATTTATGTGTGTTTTTGTTTGTTTGTTTGTTTGTTTGTTTGGTGGGGATCACATTATCTACACAGACATTAATGTAAAATGTCTCTACTTAAGTGTCTTCATTTTCTGATTCAAACATTGTACATTTAAAACAACCCTGTAAAGCTAAATCACTGTCATTCTCCACAATTTCACACATCTTGATTTAGGTTTGCCATTGGTGGTAAAAGCACTACATATGCCATGGTCAAACGCTCCTACTGGTTACTTCCCGGCTGTCTTGTAACCAGCTTTGATATTACCACAGCCAAGATAGTCTTTGATCCTAATGTCACAGAGCAGCCATTTAAGTTGCCCAGTAGAGGTTTTGGTGCATTAGGGAAGGTGACTCCTTTGTTTCTGATAATGCTGCTGGGGAATGAATCATCTTTGTGGCTGCTTCTGGGGGAAAGTTTACGTAATCTGACTTGTTGTGGTGGACCCTCTAGATGAGTGTGTCAGTGGTGCAGAATCGTGTGGAGACAGGGTGAGCCAGTTTTGGTAAAGGCCATAGACTGTATATAGAATGGATGCCGCCTTCCCTCTCTTTTGATGAAGCCACCATGAGAACAGCACCCTCTGATGATGGGCTTCAGTATAGGTCATTAATCCTGCCTCCTCCAGCAATCCCTATGGAGCTGTGGACGAACTTTACAAGTTAATTGCACAGAATATATATTTTTTTCCACCATGGTACAGCTACATTTTTAAAGATATCTGGGGGTTCATGTTTTTTATGATTGACACTTAATACAGTCTATGGGCGTACGAAGATTGCGCTGTTTGAGCCGAGAGTCATCACAGCGTACGTACAATGCTACTGTGCAAGTGGTGGAGTGCGTACAATGGCACAGCAGAAGTGGTATTTATAGGGAGTGGAGAAAGTACTGAGAGCAATTTGGCTTTAAATTCATACAATGACGAAAGGTAGAACCAAGTTGTCCCTTGTATATACAGTCTATGGTAAAGGCCTACTGAGAGATATGGGATAGACGCTGCTTTAACTCAGCACTGGGGTCACAGCCCCTGCGAAAAGCACATTCCCTGACCGGGAATCGAACCCGGGCCGCGGCGGTGAGAGCGCCGAATCCTAACCACTAGACCACCAGGGAGTGTTCTGTAAAGGGAAACTGGCATGTCTGGAATGTGCATATGAGTAGGGTAGAAAGTGACAGTATGATGGTTCTCATAAGAGACAGTGAGGGTTCCTCCATATGGTTTCATAACATGAGGTTTAATTTAAGCAAAGTTATTCAGGTTGACAATGTTGAAAGGGCAACATTAAAATGCTTCATTTTCTTGTCTTTTAGATGGGTCAATGCCATGGAGGAAGCTACAGTTTTATAGCAGCTGCTCTTTAAATGAACACACCCCGCTGTCTGTGACTGCTACAACACAACAAAGCTACCTGCTGCATCTGAACTCAGTCCACTGAAAAACATTCACCAAGACCAGCTGGCAAATATTTTGACAGTTTCTTACAGGACAATAACCAACAGGAGGGACTAAGACAAGGCTGCCGGTTGGTTGAAGTCAGAGGATGCTACAGTGAGGACAGAGAAAGACAGAAAAAGGGAAGTCTGGTTGGTGGGATCAAATTTCTCCTGATCTCAATGTGCTGATCTAACCCACTTAGATGGAGCCGTGTCCTTTAAAGGCAGCTTGGAAACTTCAAATGCTTTACTTTAAGGACATTTCGTCCTCTCTGTTTTACATTTTCTCAAGACCATCCCAACACAAGTTTTTTATGTCCCTTTTTATGCTTTTTAAATAAATGTTACAGTCTTTTACCACTGGATTATTTAATCATGTATTTGTTCCTGCAGGAGAACACCACATCTTTGGTTTCATTGTATGTGAGCCAGTCAGCCAGCCTTGATTCTGTGATGGATTTGCCATCATTGGAAAACAATATCAAAACAAACTATGCTTTGGTAATATTTGCAGCTATAATAAAGGAAAATATTGGTCAACGTTTCAGAGAGATATTTGGTATTTGAAATATATATTGTGAATTATAAAATGCAGATATTACTGGATTGTACTTATTTGTAAAGAAATGTTGTTACATGATGTTCTGAGTTAGAAGTCATTTTAATCATCACAGTGTTTGAATATATATTACCTTTGGAGTTTTACACAGTTATTCTGGCAATTAACCTATCAAATGACCCTCAGCATGACAACTACCCTACAATATTTCCTTACATTTCTTTATAAAACTTTCATAGATACTTTGTACATGAATCTGTAGATTTAGAAAAACAAAGTTTCATAACAGTTCTGAAGTGCCGATTGATTTCTTCCAGTTGAATGCAGTGAAATTTGCCATTGATGATGAATGTGCCTGAGACGACATTGAATTTGTTTTTATGTTATCAAAGTACTGTACTTTTGTCATGTTTCCTAAAGAGATCTTGATTACATTTGCTTTATATCTACTTATATACTTAATCCTTGTAGTATTTTGAACAGTTCAGTTACAATACAGTAACAAAAGAATATACTGTAGTGCCACTTTGATTAAATGCCTTTTTCATGCTGTATATGTACGCACTGCTGACTACAATAGGACTGTAACTTGGGTTTAATAGAACTTGCAGAAAAAGCCTTTTTCATACTACCTAACTAAAAAGCTCTCAGCCTTGGAGTCATCTGAGCCGCACTTGTCTTCAGCAGTCTGATAGACACTGGATTTTTACTATTCTCTGCTTTTCAGACAAAATGAGAACTCCATTATCTTCCCAGTACTAGAATTCATATCAGTTTTCTAAAATCTGTTTCTTATGTGCCACACCTTTGTCGCTGTTATGGACTGTACTTCTTGCATATGCGCATTGTAAATGTTCATGTATATAGGGAACATATAGAAATAAACTCCTTTAAAATCTTTTCTTACTGTGTGTTCACACTACTGTGTGTTCTTATAAGGCACTGATAGGCACAACTACAGCCATTTCAAACACTGGAAAGGTTCATGTGCATGATAATTGAAGGATTAGGATTCAGAGCTGTATTTCCTAACCTGATACTGAGATCAGCCACTGTCAGGGGTGGGGCAACATAAAAACATCATAATGAGATCATTCATAAACCTCAAAAATTAATTTATTACATTTTGTGTCTGGTATTGTCTGCCTTTGTTTTTAGAGCTAGTGACAAAAACATGAATGAGTTGTTCCCCTTTAAAAAATAAATTTTAATTATTGAAAGCAAGAAGAAATACTGAAAAGAGAGTGTCTCCCTTTCTCAGATGTGCACTTGTTTTAACTGTAGCCTTGTCTTGTTTATGGTGGCATTGAGCAGGACAGACTTGATAGCATTGATTTCTTGACTGGCATAAGAAGAGAGTAGTTGTTGTTAAGAGCAAACTAAATTTATAAAGCATTTCAATCTAGAATCCGAACAATAGATATCGCTCAATATTCCCACCACTGTGCCCCAGAAACATGCAACACACCTGCCATCAAGTCAGAGAGGGGACATGAGAAAGTGGATCGAAAGTGGTCTTGTAATATCACTCAACAAAAATGGGAATGTTGTTAATTTGCAGCATCAACATTAAATCAAACCAGTGTACTGTTCTTAGCTCTGCGGATATGACACAGAAGTCAAAGCAAGTTTGTGAACAGGAGAATCAAGAGGACAATTAAAACATTGCAGACATAATTTTATTATTAGGAGCCATTAAAAGACTATATTCAATATGACTGTCATTCGAATTTGTTTGTATTGTTGCTTGTTTACAACGACCGTAAATAGAAGATACTGTTAAAGGCAAGTGAAAGAGTGCAGAAGGAGGAATATTTGTTATCTGTACACAAAACTGTCCACATGATTCAATTAAAACTTCTTGTTTATTCCCTTAAACTTCTGTAAGCTTGGAGTAAATGTCTTTTATCTGTAATGGCTAAATAAATTATCCCACCTCAAACACAGAGTGGAGGGTACGGCATGTTATCTATGCCAGCATTGAGCCCCCATGCTGGAGCTGAGTGCCGGCTTTATGAGACAGCTGCCCACAAACTACAGGCAGGATCAAAATGTCATGATAGGACAGCAATAAAGGGAGGAGCCAGTGAACACCAGCTCTGTTTATATCTGAGTCAGAATAATACAGTATCTTGTCAATTACACCAGCAAAAAGAAGGCCTTTGAGATTACAGGTGACGTATCTATTGTATTTCCAATTTAAATTGCTCCCATCAGACCAGCACTTCAGCTACTCTAAGTCACCACAAGTGTTTATAAAAATATTTTGTTTAAAGAGCAGTTGTTTTATTCAATTTGTAGCTGTAAACTCAAACGTGTTTTTTTTTCCACAGTACATGTTTTCAGAAAAATAATCATAGCCTCCAGCTTTCAATGTTTTGTTTTTGTTGTTGTTGTTGTTGTTGTTTTTGTTGTTTTTGTTGTTTTGTTTGTTTTGTTTTTTATTTTCTGGTTCTGTGAACTTAATAATAACAATACCAATAAAACAACTTTGAAACATTGTTCTCTTTATTTATGGATAATGTGACTCAACATACTCTTGTTATGTCTTTTTTTAATAAACACTGCCAGGAGTTCAGTCATTCAAAGGGTCTCTGTGAATCAAATTAAAACCATTTAGATTTTATTTCACAAAACTTTGCCTTCAACTGTGTAAATGAATGCATTTCCTACGACGACACAACTAGCATATTTTTCAAAATATAAGGTTTTGATGTGACAGTTTTCCTCTCTTCACTTAATAGGGCTCTTTAAACGTTGCTTTAAAAAAAATGTTAGCAACCTCTGCCTCATTGTGACTACAAAAGCATGGTCTAGTAGTGTTTCTGTCAGCCAACAGAGGGCAGCAGTGAACCATGACAATCATGTAATGTCACGCATGCTGATGACTGAACACTCAAGGACTTCCTCCTACCTATTTCCTATTTTCTTTGTTTTAAATTGTCACATATAGCTTAGCAGAAGGAACTTGCGGCTTATATAAATGTAAAATCTGGGGTGTCCATTTCATTTAAAAATGGTACAAAGCAGTTTGTTTCTTTTTAGAGTGGATCATCTGTGCACAAATGTGACATGTTGCTACAATCAGTCTAATGTCCGTCACCTGCCCTGTGAGCTTCATAAACATCATCAGTCAGTTTCAGCTTTAAGTCATACTGTAATATCCTGGTTTAAGAGTGTCATTCCAGCACCTACAAAATAAAAAGGGAATTCTGTATTAGTCAGCCACTGTATAAGTCATGCTTGATTAGAATTTAACAGTACTGCATCCATTAATTTTCTCTACACTTATATACTCAAGGGAGGAACTCTAATTGCAGATCAATTTAAGGCGTCATATTTGTGTGTAACCATGAGGGATTTCCCTTCATTACTGTTAGCTGTTTCTGCATTACAGATGTAATTTAGCCAAATATATAACGCACATTCCACGACCAGCAGACAACCCAATCAGCCCCTCAGTTCTCCAGGCTTTTCACCTTTCAACCTCAGACAGACAGCTGGGCAATACAAGCCTTTACAGATAAGTTAATTAGTTCGACTGAAGAGCTCCACTGTGAAAAATCAAGTCAGACTGCAACAGACCATGACCAGGAAAGCAGTGGCTAACATGAATAATAAAAGACCAAGAAACAGTACAAAACATAAGGTCTATTTCTTTTTTGACATCTGGAATATTAATGACGGCACGTTAACCACTGCAGTGTCGATGTGAGTTCCTAATTAAGAAAAGAAAAGGGCGGCAGTTTAATTCACCAGCCTAGACAAGACCTGTGTCAATTAGAATACTGGTATTTGAATATCTTATAAAGAATTTTTATGGTTGTCAGAGAAGATAAACAGGTTGTTAAGGACAACAAAGGGTACTTGTTACTTTGTGGAGAGATCATGACCACAAAATCTCTTCCAAACGGATTAGCTCTGACAAAGTGATTGCATGTCAGTCAGTCAGTAAGTAGGCAGAAGAGAAAGTAGGAAGATTGGGGTTGCTCTAGATACTTGATCCCAGGAGTGTCAGTGACCCAATACTTACTTAAAATGACAAAGAGAGAGAGAAGTGAGAGAGGGATTAAAGAAGGTAAAGTTCTTCATTTCCCTGCAGAAGCAGAAAGTTAAGGACGCCTCGTTCCACTTCTTATCTTGATTGGAGCACGACCCCTGTCAGTCACACCAGCAAACACATTATAAGACCTTCACTTCTTGAGCAGGGAACAAGAGATGCTGAGCCAGATTAGGTTACTGCCAGTACGTTCAAATCAATAGCTTTCAATTTATGCAGTCCCCGTGAGTAGGAAAGGACTGCCATGAATGGTAAAAGGACAGTTTATCCTGCACTCTTTCAAATCCAAATCCAGGAGGACAGTACGACGCCGAAATTCAACATGATGCCCTCCAAGCAAAGAAAAAGTTTCACACTCACACAAAGCTGATGAATCAGCAAGAACAATAAATAAAATTTCACTTTGTTCTTCTCAGTTCTCCTTTTCACTAGGGAACTAATATAGCGAATTCACAACTTAATAGAAAACAGTATAAATAACAGACTAAAATTATCAGCTGAGTACAATAGTACAACAGAATGTCACTTTTAATTGTTCAGTACTGGAAGGAGCATACAGTATATGTAGTATATGTAGTTTGAGGTTGCTATTAGTGTTGTCCATCATGATATGAAGTGGGTTGATTTTATGATTTTGCTAACAAAATGTACTTTGAAGAAAGTTGGATTGGTGCAGTGGTTCCATGTGATCTCATTGTCATTTGTGACATATGTACTTCAAATCCTATTATTATCCCACTCAATCAAATCATACAAAACTACTTCTAATGCAGTTGCACACAATCACACATCGTACCCTGCAGCATCATATCAAATGATGTTGTGTTTGTAACTGTAATATCATATCTAATTGTATTGTGTTCCAGGCAGTATCATTCCATATCTCATTGTGTCCTATTTATAGTTGTAATGTCTCACAATGTGTATACCATAATGCTCAAAAGTAGGATAAGTAAACCAGGAACTGTGCAGGAGTAATGATGCATTTTTAAAGGAACTGGCTCCTATTCAACAACTGTCAACCAGTCAACAAATATGAAGTCAGAGAATCTTGTATCTGAAAGTGGCAGGCCTTAAGGGAATGTCTTCAAATTCACAGTGAGTATATTTCAGAAAAAGAGATGAGATAAAGGTACACATCACCAAATCTGTCATCCATCCAAAAGACTGCAGGGTATTTTATTTTTTATGCAATAAATATTAAAATTATTTTTATTTAGTAAAAAATTAAAATGTTGATACCGTAAGTGCTTAATTTACATGTGTGATCATAAGATAAAGTAAGATGAGATAAGATATAGGATATAATAATATAGGATATTCCTATATCAACATGTACATAGCAGTTGAAAATAACACTCATGTATAAATATTTTAACTCCTAAATTTCTTTATTTTTTACTCTCTCTTTTGTAATTATCACTGCTGTGAAATTGCAATTTCCCTTTGTGGGACTAATATAGGAATATCCTATCTTAACTCATCTCTTACTTTATCTTATGATCACACATGTAAATTAAGCACTTATGGTATCAATATTTTAATTTTTTACTAAACAAAAATAATTCATATATATATATATATATATATATATATATATATATATATATATATATATATATATATATATAGATAGATAGATAGATAGATAGATAGATAGATAGATAGATAGATAGATAGATAGATAGCATGTTTAATTCCCTCAAATGTGATTTTAACAAAGGAAACTTAAAGCTGGTAATGAAGTCAGGGGGTTATTTATCAGAGCCCTACTCCCTGACTACCAAGGTCACAGCTCTCCCTGGGGTCCACCCATGCAAACATTTATATAAAATCCACACAGTTTCACAGATCAAACACAAAAAGACCACAGTAAATCTTTTACAAGTCATATGGTCATCTCCAGTCCAATAAATCACAGTGTACGATTAAGCTTGGAACTGCAGTGTTTCCATATAAAAAGTGTGTACTGTGTCTAACCAATAAAACAGAGGGGAAAAATGATAACAGACCTTTGTTAATAGTTATCTTATCAGCATTTGGAAAAAAGCCACTTGAGCTGTGTCTAAAAGAGGAAAGTAAGGCATGTCTGTTTCTTGAGATAAGCCACACTGAAGTGACGTGTTTTACCACTGTTGTGTTGCTATGTATGGGCCAAGCCATCAGTGTCTGTCACATCAACCCTTCTGGTTTACCTCAATTTGAATGCTGAACCTGCGAAACTCCTCTTTGTCTGCAAACAAGCAGTACTCAGTCTTGAACATGAAAAAGGCATGTAAGAAGGGAGAGGGAGAGGGGGTAAGATGATTTAGCAAAGAGAAGAAAAAAAACAGCTGATGAAAGGGAAGGAAACGAGGAAAGTTAGAGAAGGCAGATTTGGTCTAATGTCTCCTGATGAAAGGACCATTTCTCTCCTTATTTAGGGATTGTTTTTTCATCCCTCCCTCTTTTCCTCCCTCCCTCTGTCTGTTCCTTTCATTACTCACTCTGATGTTTGCCCTGGCACTGCTCAGATGGCAGAAATGGCCATCACAACAGGAACCGTCTGGGTCCCCTGCCTGCCCAGATACAAGTATAACTCCCTCAGAAGAAAAAATGCTAGTAGGCTAGTTTAAATCTTTGCTGCGTCATACCATACCATGAGTATTTTGTAAACACTCAGCAACATCTAGGTTGATCACTTACTGGGTGCCTGCACTCTAGCTGACATTCCTACTCTATTGACCAAAAACTCCCTCATTCAAAACTTAAAGAGCAAGGGCTGATCTTGCTATTTTAAAACCCCAACCCATGATATATGATATGAATGACATTTAAGATATACGTTGGGAAAATTACGCAGACCTTTGTCCCATATTTCTTTCCTCTATGAACGGTGACAGAGGGAAAATCTTTTTCACTCACTCGTGTTGAGAAGAAAATCTTGCTTCCTCATTTTTGTTTGGTTCACGTGTGAATAAAAGTGTTAGTTCTGAACACAGGAAGCAGTCCCTTGAGTGTGACTCCACAGTGTGTACCTGTTTACAGGATTTCAGTTGGCAAAGCCATAATCAGGTTTATTGTGGGTGGGAGGGGCTTGTGAGGAATGACTGATCAAAAGTCCCTGATAGTTTTATCAGATGGAGTTTCTATGTACTTGTGCAGTATGAAGTCATTCACATAGACCTACAATTTTCCAGGAACAGAAAGTACCAGAAAAAGTAACGTCATGGAACTTTGAGTTTTTACGGTTATAGGTGCGTGTTAATGGACGCTGATCTAAAGTTGACAGTTTAGTGATATGTTACAAAACTCATGGACACAAACTTAAAGGAAAGCTTCAAGTGATCGTTAAAACACCAAATCTATCTATCTATCTATCTATCTATCTATCTATCTATCTATCTATCTATCTATTTTTAATGAAGCACCCTTTACCCTTCAATTGTTGTGCCATGCTCCACAATTTTATGGAAAGTATTAGTTACTTTGTTCCACTTGGTCACCTCAGTTACAGTTCACCTTTTGTCCACTTTCTTTACATCATTCTTCACCCCTCTGGAGCTATTTTTAGCTTTTTTTAGGAGCTCAGACACACCATCTAAATTTACAAATCCGTCCTCTCTTATAGTCATACAGTTTACGTGGGTGGGGGCTGATGACTCAGCACCACGTGGATCCCTTTGCTTTGTGAAGAAGAGGAGGAGTGGGAATGTGGAGGTTCGGTGGGCAGGGCCAGTATGGAAATGCATGGCTGTTTGGATCGACCCACAAATGTTTTTTTTCTCTGAATCTCTGTGGGTGTAAAACAGACAATGGATGTAGACAGAGCAGTCCAGCTGTGCATCCGAGCACACACATTGCATTGATTTTTCCGGTTTGCTTGTTCTCCTGCCAAAGTAACATTTTTCTTATCAGAAGGAAACGTTTGTTGGTGAACATTAACACTTAGTGAGTTTCTGTGGAGCTCCACAGTTGTTTGGTTTGCTTTCCAGCGCTGGTATTTTGTCTGAAATAGAGTAGAACAAGTTGTCCCAAGAAAAACTGGATGCTACAAATAAACAGCATTACCCACGAGCAGGTTTCCAATTAGGTTCCAATTAGTGCTGTCCATTCAGTCAGCTAATGAAAGAAGTAACTGAGTAATTACAGAGCAAATTATCACACCTCATTATTCCACACCTGCCAACACTCCCGTTTTTCCCCTGACTCTCCCGAATTTCACACCTATCCCCTGCCCACCTCCTGTATTGTCATTTCCCCCGGGAATTTCTTGTAGTTTGATGATCCACATTCATTCATGAATCGGATTACTGTATTTGCCCAAAGTTGCTAGGTTTCAGCTGAAGATTGTCCTGTGTTTTTGCTGAGCCTCACAGACACTTAATTCATACTTTTACTTTACAATTTTTGGATGTTTCAGGTCGGTTTAAGCTGTAAACTATATTTAAGCAGTGTTTGTTGCAAAATGAACACTTCAATGAAAGGGATACAAACGCGAGATATAATACTTATGGTGATAATCTTGCACCGCCTTGGAGTGATGCGTTCAGGGCAGCCTCAGATAAAAGAGTGCTGTATTGCACACACAGATGTACAGAGAGCATATAAAACATATGAGGACTTTAACACCAATATTAGTGGACTAAATATGTTCAAGGCATATCATAGCTATTATTTTTTATTACCATTTGTTATTATTAAAACAGAACAAAGGTGTGCAGCTTCACTTAAACTTATTTGGATGAATAATCTAATGGGCACGGCAGTTCTTTTAGATGTACTGAATCACTAGAATCAGTTCACTAAAAAGATTCGTTCAAAAGATTTGTTCACTAAATCACCGAATCATGTAGCGCTTGTTGGGAGAAGCCTCTGGGACCGGGAGACAAGAATGTTTGGCTGTGTTGCTTTGGCAAACACGTTTGTACAAATGAACTTGTTTATAAGTCATGATGCTTCAAGTGTACTGTCCTATGGTATGCTGTTTATTAGGTCTGCTCTGTAAATTGGGCTCAGTGAGTGATTCATTCACCGAACATTTAGAAGAATTCAAATGGAACATGCACCGTTACCTCGCAAACCGCTGCAATGATAGGATGCTGCGGGTTTAATACGCTTGTTACATGCTGTGTCATATTGTATGAAAGTTATTGTGGTGGCAATTAAGCAGTGAAAAAAAGGGTAGTTTTGTCTTACAAAAACGATTCCAGAGAGAGTAGTTCAATGATTAATTCACCAAGTGATTCAGGTGCTGGTGCATGCGGTCCCTCTTTCGATAGCTGCTTGACTGGCAATGCTGTTTCTCACTTCCGCTTGAAGTGAGAAACGAACGAATCACTCGAGGAAGTGATTCGGTTCAGCACGTTTACGTAAAAGAGTCGGTTCTTTTGAACGGATCGTTCGCGAACGACACAACACTAAATCTCATCACAAATACTCTCATAATTCGCTCATATCCACCATACAAGGTAACATCACATGACTTGTGTGTCCTCCGCGTGTGCGGCGGCGAAACCGTGCGATCTCATTTCTTTGTCTGTGCGCGCGCGTGTGTTTGTGTCCCTGGGAATTCACCTGGTTGACGTCACACATTCACTCCTCTCCTCTGCCCCGCGCGCTGCCATAGGGCCACCGCAGTACAGAGTCGCAAACACACAGAGGAGGAACGAAGAGATCCACGGTTGACAGCAGCCGCGACTTCAGCAGCACTTCCTCAAACCATTGAAGAGTTTTTGAAGTCGAAAACTCCGGGAGACCGAGACCGAGGTTCAAACACCGAAACCGGGTACAAACACTCGACCAGACCGCACTCTCCCCTGCTCGGCGGAGGAGGTAAGTCATTGTTGAGAGAGACTGGTCAACTTGTTTGTGGTTGTAAAAACTTGAGCTCCGTGTTGTCACGGTTGGGGCAATGGCACTAGATTTTGCAAGTTAGCGTAACGTAAGTCAAAAACCGGCCTTTTTTTTCTTTTCGCTGCGGCACCGGTTTAGGCCAGTGTTTTATTTAGATAACAAAGCTCGACTGTAAACCTCAGCTGACATCAGTTGTAGTAACACAGGACACAGAGAGAGAGAGGGTTGCTGTCGCGGAATGCCTCCCTCTCTCTCCCTCGCTGTATTATGTAAGTAATGTTAAGCCATGTTTCACTGCCTACAGCAGCCCGGCTAATGTACAGAAACTTCACTCGACTCCACCGGGACTGCAGGAAGAGTATTAAAACTACACCGGCAGGCCACTTTGTTAGCTCCACACATTCCTCGAGCAAAGTGTCGTCTCCTATGGCAACAGAGGAGCGGGTTTCACAGATGAAGTTTACTCACTCAGTGGAAAAAAAAAAAGAAATTGGGTTAAAGGGTGGCGACCATCACATAGACTACCATGATAAGAGGGAAACAAGACTTCACTGTAGCTTAGAAAGGCAACAATAACTTGATTTTTACAGCCTTGAATGATACTTCCTGAGTTAGTGTCAATTAAGAGGTTGTAACTCTCAGCGATAGTGTGTATACTTTGTGAGCTGGCAGGCAGGTGTGTTTACAAGTAAATTTGGTTATCTATGCTCTAAATCAGCTCTTAAAGTAGGTTAATCTCAGTTGTGCACATTGGTAAAACTCTTCCCATACTTATTTTTTTAGTATCTTTCATGCCTATATGCAGTACTTTGTAGAGCCAGTACAGTATTAAAGTGTCTATAACAGGGTAACTACTGCCATGTTGGGCCAATACCTGTTTCAGTGCCACATTTGAAGCTGCATTTCATTAAAAGGGTTAAGGAGTTGGTAAAGACAACATATTAAGCAGTTTGCTATCAGGGTTTCTATGCTTCAATATGGACACAGGACTCAAGAAAAGTCTGATACCCAAGCTGTTGCAATTGTTTCGCTTAACCGGTTTTCAAGTGTACAGCTTTTTATTTTTTTAGGTTAGGATTTGTTTAATGCAATGATTCAGTCCTTTAAATAAGCAAACATTAACCTATTTTCAAGTATCTTTTTAAGGTCAGGCTTTGTTTAATGCAATGATTCAGGCTTTTAAGTAAGCAAACATACCGGTACATGACACATCCTTATTAGAGTGGGTAGTCTAGTCAAAAGCTGTTTCATAGATGAAATAGTTTGTATTTCTCATAGCAATTAGATGAAGGAGTGTGTAATAGCGGCCAAAATTGAGTCTTAGGTTTTATAGTTAGTGTTAAAAATTATTCAAAAATGGTCTTCATGATGTTCCTACATAAAAACATGATTCACACAGATTGTAAAAAAGAGCAATAATCTGGCATAAAATTGAATTGGTAGTCAAAAGGATACACAGAGTGGAGTTAGGATTGATTTAGATTGACTTTTCTTGAATCAAACCTCGTGTTTCATCTTCCAGTTTCTGGTACAGTTCCACTGAAAGGTACCAGTGTCACAGTCATGACAAACATAATGAGCAGGACGAACAGCAGCGCTTGGCATATTGTGGTCTAACCTGTCCTGGAGCAGGTTTACGTGGTTCCGCTGAGACTTGAGTCTACAAACCTTGAATGTCAAAAGTGTATGACTCTTTGAAAGCAGGTTTAGCAGCTTGGATTTCCATCAAATAACTGTCTTACCATCCTTCATCACCTTTTCTAGGTGTAATCTGTACTTAAAAGTGGGTCACACGTAAAACACCAATACAAAACAAAAAGTAACACGTCAGGTAGATGACTAAAAAAGAGACTAGGTAGTCATCAGTCTGCATTTTTCTTGCTGTTAACAACCCTGCCTCTTGAATTGTTAGTAGCTGAAATAACTTGTCAGCAGCCCAGTTATACCTAACACATTTTGAAATATTCCTTCAAGTGCTTGCGAGAGTCTTGTGTCACACACAATAACACAACTCTGCGCTGAGGCAAGACTTTGTACCCTGTTGTTTTCTTATTAAGGTAGAGCAGCCTTGTGAACGCAGGTAACTCTATCCGTCTGCATCTGCCTGCAGTTACTGGTGTGTCAATATTGGTTTGTGGCTTCATGGGCTGCCTGGAGGACAGGGTTGGGACATCTGCCCAGTAAGGAGTTACCCATGCAGCACTGATCCCTTGATCGTATACAGCACACATAGAAACACATCCCTGACTCATATACTTAAGAAAGAGATTGGGCTGATATTCGACTGTTGAATAATTGATCATTGATTTCAAAAAGGAGTCGGCTCAGGCTGAATGAATGATAAATCAAAAACCATGTAAAAACTAAACTCTGTTCACTGAGCATCAAAATCGTCGTGAAATATATATCCACGTCGAGTACTAGTCAACTATTTGACTAAGATATGAATCTGTAAACAACTATCAAAATGTGCTTTATTCTGTTCACTTTGCAGTTTAAACTCAGATGCAGCAGATCTTAAGTTTTCCTTCATTTATTACAGAGAAAATTGTTCCTCAAAGGTTGCTGCTCAAACAAGTAACACTTTTTTTTGAAAAAATTGTACCGCCCCCCCACAAAAGGAAAAAAAGTATTATTTTGTTTATTTATTATTTTTAAAAAGTAGTTCCCCCATTTATTATTTTTTATTATATATATAAATATATATATGTATGTGTGTGTGTGTGTGTGTATGTGTATATTATTTGCTATAAAACAGGCTGTACCTCCACCAAACAATTACATGATGTTGCATAAAAAGCATCTGCTCTTGTGCAAAGCTACTCGAATACAGGCAGACTGCAAGACGGCACACACAGTAGTCTTTGACCCCTTCTCTCGTGAACACACACACACACAAAGACACACATTACACAATCACACTTGGCGCTCCTGTTCAGATGCTTTTTTGTCCATCTTGTGAACTGTGAGCTGGGCAGAAATGGATACCACGCTTAATGCAACTCCTTCTCTCTCTCTCTCTCTCTCTCTCGCTCACATACACACTGTCACACAGTGGCAGGATTCATTCCATGCAGAGGCAGGTAGGCAGGTTTGACACCAGGCCAAAAAGCTCACTGATACCCAGGAGGAAGGCAGAGAAAATCAGAGGGAAACACACGTATATGTAGCTGTACAAAAAGTTTGTGTCTATGTACAGTCAGTATGACCTTCCAATTATTAGTAGTGTGCACTGTTTAGTTTTTTTATAAGTCCATTCAAAGCTCACAGCGCCTCAGTGTCACTGGGATGAAAAGTATCAAAACAACAGCCCATTATCTGACTGTGACCTTGAACTAGCCACCTCAGCTCTGATCACATTCCTCTTCCACTTTTCCTCACTTTTCTTTCCTGTCCTACTTTGACCTGATCGCTGAGGATATGTGTGTGTCTGTGTGTATTTGAGTGTGTGTATGCATAAATCTTCACAGAAGGACAGACTGAAATACACAAAACACATAATGGTGGTAAAATGCATGCTTTCATGCCTTTTTTTGCCCGTGGGTGTTGGTGTCTCCCCTGACAACTTCTGTAATAAACTGTGTGTTGACATAACCTCTGTGCGTGTGTGTGTGTAGTATGTGTGTGTGTGTGTGCTTGTGTAGCTGGGGAGGGGTTGTTAGAAATTAACCTTGGTGTGTGAAAGAAAGAAAGGCTTTGATTCTGTCGAGCTGGTCTCTGCTGAAGTTCATTAAAAGGCTGCTTTGTTCGAGGTTATTAGTGTGTGTGTGTGTGTGTGTGTGTGTGTGCGTATGTGTGTGTATGTGTGTGTGTGTGTGTGTGCAGTACACGCTGTTAATGCTCTAATATATGCCACCTTAGCTCAGTGAAAAACCTGTGGATTTAGAGTGGTTTTGTGAATCAGATTGGAAGTCATTTTTTGAACTGTAAATGAAATGTTTGATTGGGTAGAAGAATGAGTCCATTACAGCTCCCACTATTTCATTAGATTTCATCTTTTTGGTGTGTAAAGTCTTTTAGACACGAGCAGTTTATTGCTGTGGTTCCCAGCAGCCTAAAGACACGTTTATCAAGTCTTCTTCTAAAATGTAATTGCTGAAACATTTATGTAACTTCAACCAAACCCAGTGGTCTTGGTCTGATTTAACGTAGACTGTCTTCATCCACGGTCTGTCAATGATGTGTACTAGATGTGCAGATCTGGAGGCTCAAGAAGACAGTAAACCATAAACTTCAAAGCACAGTGTGTACTCTGTGACTGCTCTCCAGCCTCCGCTATCAAAGATATAAACAGCCCTTTTAAATTATCCACTGTTTGACTCATAACAGGAGGGGATTGTTTTTCATTAAGCTATTATAAAGAGCAGTTCCCTGACTCGATAAATGTTGACATACAGCTTCAAAGGCTGTTGGTTTACAACACAAGTGTCACCTGTCTGAGTCGGACCGTACATGTTCAGAGTCATTTTTGATCTGTAGAGCATGTTTATTCAGGTGACATTTGCTAGGTCCATTACTGGATGAGCTCCTCCAAGCCGGGCTTATCTTGGTCTGTTATGGTTCTTTTGAAAACACTCTGACTCTAGGCCTGTCCTTCTTTTTGTCACTGTTGCTTTGCAACAAAGTCTATTAAAGCAGCTGGTAAAAGAACACTGAGTAGGAGGACACGGAAACCACAGCTTATGAACTTGTTTAAGTGGAAAATGTTTTCATGCCAGTGGTGTATTTTCTACATTTTGCTCCTTTTGATCATTGAATTCATTACCAATTGCAGTGCTGGGATATGTCTTACACTGGGTTAACAAAACAGCACCGACGTGGCAGCATCAGAATTGCCAGAAAACACCCCAACAAATCCTCATGCTGATTGTATGATATGAAATGAAAGCTCTTATCTCATAATCTTGAGTTACTTTTGTTTCATGTGCAGTTCACAGGACTGTATTTTCCCACTGAGTTTATCTGTCACTTGCATCTTATTTCAAACCCTCTTCCCTTTTAGTACCTGTTAGGCAAGTTTTCACAGCTTAAGGTTCTCCTCTGGCACTGAAAATAGACATTATTTTGGGCTCCTCTCACAGCCTTGTTTAACCCTTCAGTAAACAAACAGTAGGTGAGGCACAAGCATGGAAGGAACACCTGTAAAGACAATCAGTCTGCCAGGTTAAGTGGTAGCAGTGGTTTGAAAAAGTACTGAATGTGCTCCAGGTCTTGTAGATTCATTAACATTCCTCTCTAAGTGGGTTTATCCAGCGCTGTTCTGTCACAAGAGATTTTGACTTGTCATGGTAGAAAAAGCCCTGGTATTAGTAATTCTGTCTGTTTAGTCGTCCCTGTGTAACAGTGAGCAGAATGAATGGTGTCAGAACTCAAAACTCAAAAGCATTACTGCTGATTGGTATTTATTTCCAGCTGCAGCATTCTCAGTTTTGTTCTCATCATCTAATTGGCAGACTCGACGCTCTGGTCATCAGCTTTCTTTGAACCACTGAAATTTTGAAGTGTCACAGCATAAAAAGCCCAAATATGATCGGGCAAGATTAACAATGGCTGCATTCCATTTAAGTGAGACATTTTCCACAGAAACTCATTAGAAATACTTATGAAACATATAATGACACTCAGGTGTGAATGTTTCCCAAGATGACATGAAGAAATATATGCTGTAAGAATGGTACTGTGGTGACCAGTGTTTACTGCACTGTTGTCTTACACTTAACTTGTGTATGTTTACGGTATGCAAATGCTGTCCAAACACCAAGTATTTGATCATGCCGTGGTTGTCTTTTACTCAATTAATCTGTTTAATCTGGGAACCTTAGAAACTTGGGTGTTTGTGTTCAGATCAAATGGACAATACTGAAAGGTAATCTTTTTAAGACCAGAAGTATCCACAAACTCAATAAATGTTGAGTCCAATACTGATGCTTTTACCTCTGGGTACTGCCTTTAGTGTATATCCACAGATATTAGAAAAGACCTGGGGTTTTAGTATTCCTCTACAGGCAGGCCCTGCTTCAATATTCACCTCTCTGGCATCTTGCCTTTATACTGGCAAGGTCAGGAATATGACTTAAAAGTTTAGTCAAGATCATTCTTCTGTAATCTCCTCCTAAATATGGATATTCTACATATTTCCAATAGTTACAGTATGATGCTTGATTGTTTTAGAGTTGAAGAATTATGGACAGTAAAAGGATTAAACATACGCTGCAGACCAAATATGGATGTAAATAAATGTGTTGGAGACTTTTGTTGATGTTAAGAAACCTGTCGTGTGATTATGTAACAAGATAGTTGTCCTGTCTGAGAGAGCATTAACCACCTCTTTGTAATGTCTTGCCAAACATTCACACTTTAGGAAAAATGCAGCATTAAACCAACCCTGAATAGATGTGTCAGATTAAAAGAAGAGTTTGCCAACGACTCGTGTTTTTAATTGATTTGGGAGACTGCGGTTTGACTCTGGCAGTGAAAGAATTCAAAGTGCACTCTATTTTTAGTGAAAATAGTAACAGCCCAGCAGACTAACACAACACACATGTCATGTAATGTGAGGGAAACTTTGTTTTTGCAGCTCTTTGTGTAATTGCACCTGTCTTTGTTCAGACCTGCAGATAAAAGGATGACAAACAGAAAGTCCCCATACCTGCTTGACCTGCTTGATGACTTCTTCTGCGAAATAACATCTTAACTTAGTCAGTGCATACCAAACCTTTGACTTTGTTGAGCATAACTTTGATAACCTATCTATTGCAGGTAGTCACACACCTCTGTCTCAGTTTGTTGTACCATGATGCATGTAATGGAAGATTCTTGTCATTGTAAACTGAAGGCTAGTCTCTCTGTTGTATAACAAAGCATTTATTTCCATGTCGAGCCAGGTGGTATTTAACGGTAATCTAGTTGCTGACATCCTGTCATCTTTTTTTCCGCATACTTTACCTTCTTCCAGTCAGTAGAAGATGAATGAACAAGAATTTTCTTTCTGGGAAGTTTTGAAAGGGCCGCGGGTGCTACTGCTGGGATGTGTCCATCGTGATGAGATTCTTCAGAGATTTCAAATAATAAAAACTAGTTGCATTGGGATATTATAAACAAGGAGCACACCTGTAAAAAAAATTTCCCTTTCAAGTATTTATTTATACAACAACAACAAAAAAATTGACCCAGGGCAGCAAACGTTTGAAAAACTCCCGATGTAATTTCATTTTCATAATTTGTAATTTCATACACTGTTGTATAGGGGCCAGTGCCGCGGTACCTAATAAGGATTTTGATTGAGAGTCAGCATGTTATCGTAAATCAAATTGCTCTAAAAGTGTTTCAATGATGCAGAGAGACCTGGCCTGAGGTTCACAGGTTGCCATGGCAACTTGAGCTGGTCGTCCATGACGATAGATGCACCGCAGGCTGAGGCAGAGAAACTGTCAAGAAAAAGAGTGATTTTGTTTTGCCTTGGCACTAGTCTCTCATTTTGGCTTATTCTGACAAACTGGTAGCTCCTATTAGAAAAAAAAGCAGTCCGTGGTCATTGTAAGGACTTCTTGAAATTTTTTGATATGATTTTGGTGTTTCTACAGGAAATAGTTTGGACATACTTGCGAGTTATAAACAGGAGTCCCTTCTGCTTCTCTCAGAATATCTATGTATTAGTGTCAATGAGGAGCAGAGAGAGACATTTCCTCACTTAGAGGCTCAGTGTTCAAATTCTGTAAGTTTCTCTGCTTAGATGAACACATCGTTAGAGACAGAACAAGTGTGTCTACAACTGTGGATAAAAACATGTATGCAGAGTGAATTTGCTGGCCAGGAGGACCGTGGAAATAGAAAAGTTTTAGACAATTTCATGTAACTTCTCCCACTCTAGCCGATGATGTCACCCACTCTGGCACAAAGATTCCACGCGATACACACCCATTATAATCTCAAAATTTCCCTAAAAATGATCATGGTCATTGAACAGTGTGTGATTCAAAAACTACAATACCTAATCAAAATGTGGATTAACACTCCAATAGAAAGGACTTGTGTCCACATTTTGAAGTTTAAATGGAGTCTCTAGGTGAAAGTATGCCGGAGCAGCTGACGTTTTAAAAACTCCATTAATTGCTCTTTTTCTTTGGCTTGTCCCTTTGACTTCAATGCAAAATTTTCCTCAGTTTTTCATGACTTATGTTGCGAAAAATTCGTATACAATAGAGAAAAGTAAAAGCTCACCGATCCCGATCAAACTGCCCATTTGGTTATTTGTGCTACATCTCTAGACTAGAAGCAAATTGAAACTTGTCTGAAAGAGGAATAAAAAAGAATCCACAGTATAATAATGGTGTCTAGATGTGTTTGCCCCATGGCCCTCATTAGTATTTTTGAGGTATGAAATTAAAGTGCAGTGTAGTATCCACTGACTTTTAACAGGACAGACTTGGTACGAATGGAAATGTAAAATTCTTAAGCATATAATCAGTTGAATAAAAAAATCAATGTGCATTTGTTGACTTAAAATTAGCTTTTTATATCTACATAGGAGACGGTCCCCTCCACCACGTTTAGACCAGAGCCAGAACAGGCAAACTAGTAACATATGTGAATTTGTGCTCAATGAGTGGCTGGTTCAAATGCACAGGTTGCAAGACAAAGAAGATCAGTTGTTGTGCCCGTAAAAACTTGAGCTGACAGACCTTTGACAGTAAAGACTCGACAAATGGAGAATGATACTCTTTATGCATCACAGGAGCGTCTTGTCCCTGAAGGCTGCTGTCACTTCAATGACAGGAGGTATGAGCAAGGGAACATTTTCATCTAGAATTGGATCATGAAACATTCCCATTCCTACACCCTCTACCTATAACACATCTGTCATATGCAAACAGCCACGCTTCCTATAATCTATTATTTTTCGCAGTTCTTACCGTCTTACCGACAAAAGCTTACTGCTCTCTTGAGTTTAACTAAATAGCACCTTGATACCACATGCACGAGTTGGCTTCACTGCGTCTGGTTCTGCTGTTGTCAAATGTAGTTGTGTCATTTTGTCGGATTTCTCCTCAGAGCCACTCATAGCCTGCAGTGTGTTGTGTGTCTTTTTTTTTCTCTCCCTCCCTCATGCTCTTTTCCTCTACCCACCCCTTCCCCAATTGCATGTGCTCATTTTTTCCACTCTCTCTGGGGAAACAAGGCTCTCTTTTCTATGTACCACTGCTTGTGTGTGTGTGGAGAAAATTGGAAATTGACTCTTCAAAAGGATGTCTTTGTATGTATTTCTCATCAAGCATACTCAACAACTTTGATGTATATTGTTTGTGTGTGTGCGTACGTGGGCAATGTCATGATGACTGCTCTAATGTTGTCTCAACCCTCCTGACCTCATTCAGACACAGTCTCTTCTTTGGCTTTAAGGTCCTCATCGGGGTTGTAGGGTCACTGAAATCCTTCAACAGCAACCACAGAAATGTGTCATTTTAAAGCAAATGAAACATTTTCTCATGGGATTGTGGGAACTGTCCAGCCTATGTAATGTATAACGTAAAAAGATGTAGCTTACACTCAGTAGTCGTACTCAGATACACATCAAAACAACCAGAAGCTTTTGATTAATATTAAGTCAAGGAATGTCTGCAATATATCATCAAATTCACCAACACAAGCCTGTTTTTGTAGCACCAGGCTGCCACCTCGTGAGTGAATCAAATTATCTAACCTAAAGCTTGACTACCTGTCCTACACAATCGTAGTCCCAAAGATGTTTCCATTTTCATCTATCGCTGCCAAGTATTGGCTTTTCACAGACCCCCCAAACTGTTTTGTTGTTAAAATGATGCTGTTCACCTCAAATCACAGTCCTTCTCTGTCTCTAACATGAATGAATGAATAATCCAGATTATGCTAATAGTTCAGGAGACTACAGCAACACCAGATCAAGTTAAGGAACTTAAAGGCTCAAAAAAGTGCTGTGTGGAGGAACTTAGTGGGTTTTATTGCTTATTTGGAAACTAGGATGTAGGCTAGTATTCCCCCAGGGTCTTGCTTAACTGTGTTGAAGCGCATCTCCACTCTGGTGTGAAACAGCTTTGAAAATATGAGAGGATCAGGAAGTGCATGTCACTTGATTTCCTCTGTACGACTTGTACAACATGAAGCTTGACTGGTTTCCATTGAAGCTTAAAAAATGTACCTTTTGTAATCTTTTTTTTAACCCCTGAAAGGTTTCAGCTGCAGTTTAGTTTCGAAGCACTGATGTTTACAACACTGTGTCCCATAGTTGAAAACACAACTCATATTTGTTCTCCTGTTATCTTGCTTCTGTGGTTTCATACGGATGTTGTATGCTCTTTCAAAACGTGCTTTTCTTTCAAATGACCGACTCATTAACGGTCAGTACACGTCTAATACTGAGACTCTACAGCACTGTTCTATAAATATTGAATGGAGATGTATAGATAGGGCCAGGTCAGCTGAGCAGGTGGCTGATGTTTCCCTCATAAGAAATTGTTAAAAGAGGAAGTACAAAAGTAAAGCTTAACCAATCTGTCAGTGAAGCAACGCAGTTTAAATGAAGAAAGAGGATGAGGACTTTTTCAAAGTCTCTTTTCAGTTTCAGTGCCATACTTTTGTTCAGTTTCTACTTAGATGTGTAGTGGACGGAATACCTCTGTAAATGAGTTGAGAAAAATAATTCATCCCTCCATAATGGATCTTATGTTGCGGTTTTTCAGAGCGGAATCTCATCCAGTGCAGTGTTTCTCTTTAAAATGACTTTATATCTGGGCAGTGGGGAGCAGTAAAACATCTGAACAGAATGGTAATGTTTTTTCAATAAGCACTGACTTAGCACTTAACCCCAGGAAATACTTACGGAAAAGGTAAACACTAAAACCTTACCAAACAAATCTCCAAAACAGGACTGTTTTTTTTCTCCTTCTACGGTACTCACATACGACATTTCTGTTGACAATTCTCTACAACGTTGTGCTTTAAGTGTCTTAAAAGAAAAACACAGATCCAGATACAGCTCACCAGGTAGGGACAAATGGTAGTAAGGAATAGACACCCTAAGGTACAGAGTTCAACAATTATGATATGAACAAAAGGTGCAGCAGACACATCTGCTTATCTATCAACCTCAGTTAGTTTTGTCCATTAACATTTGGACTTTGTGTCAGAAATCTGATCTGTTTCATTTTCTGTTTCTCTCTGTCTCGTGAGATTACCAGTCTGCGTCTTCTTCCCTCATTTCTGGTAGAAAGTTTCGCAAGTTGCATCAGAAACATGTACTTCCTACTTTAGAAGACCACTGTTGGCCACCATCTTGTTTTCCTGCTTGTTTTAAATGAAGGTGTCGTATTATATGAGTGCGCCTCTGTCACTGCGATGTTCTAACAGGGAATCTGCGTCTTTTTTCCAGGAGGCTTGTATGAGTGGTTACCATGGCTCCCTTCCTGCGTATCGCCTTCAATGCCTATGATGTTGGAGTTTTGCCTCCTCTGACTGTACCTCCTATCTGTGCCATCAAAATGAAGGAGTCAGTCAACACAGGTATGTATGAGTACAGACAGTCACACATGGATGCACTATAATTATATCTCAGCTGGAGAGTGGTAAAGCACATAAAGTGACAACCCAAGTTTAATGGCCCTAACAGCCACCATCTGCCAGGCTGAAAAAAAAAAAGTCATCAGCAAACTGATCCTTGAGCAACTAACGGCTCTCTTTTCACTCGCTTTTACTTTGCTTTGACTTTCTTAAGAAAGAGAGTTAACATTTAATTATGAAATTATGACTTATGAAAATCTGTTTTGACAGAGCGAGGAAAGACCCTGGTGCAGAGGAAGCCCACCATGTACCCAGCTTGGAAAACCACATTTGATGCACACATCTATGAGGGGCGTGTATTAGAGGTGGTCCTCATGCAGAGCACAGAGGAGCCGTTGGCCAAGGCCACAGTTGGTGTGTCTGTGCTGGCAGAGCGCTGTAAAAAATCAAAGAACAACAGTCGTGCCGAGTTCTGGGTGGACCTGCACCCAACAGGAAAGGTCCAAATGGCTGTGCAATTCTTCCTGGAAGACAGTGATGCAGGTAGATTTATTTTCTATTTTCTGTATTTAATTATGGAAAATTAGGTTGTTATGCCACAAAAGAAGCTTGAAATTCTTTTTTTTTCTCATTATAGTTCAGCACTTAAAAATTCACATCAAAAAAATTCAAGACCATGTGTATCACTTGGACCAAAACCAAGCAATAGCCTGAAAATGCAATCATGTTAAGCTTAAAATCTTACTAAATCCTACTAGATATGTGACTAAACTTCACCTTTTCTTAAGTGAGACCAAACAGTTAGAGAGACAAAAATCTATCTTGTTAAAATTCAGAAGTGTCCTACCGTTAGCAAAAGAACACATTCTTCTGGAAACTCATCTTTGGAGAAAATTAGTTATCTGAAAAGTGTGTGAGGCCTGAAAAGAGGTGTTCCCTGACCGGGAATCGAACCCGGGCCGCGGCGGTGAGAGCGCCGAATCCTAACCACTAGACCACCAGGGAGAGGTGAGGGGGCAGTAAGTAGATACCCCTGACCCATAGCAAAAGGGGAACTGACTTCCTCCCCCACCTTTCTCATGTAGCCTGACTCAAAGTCACTCTGCTCCACTGCTGATATGCAGTGCCCTCTACTGGCAGGAAAAAACTGCTCCTTGTCCACTCACAACCATAACTGATGTACTTTTCATTGACAAGTGGTCATGCTTTGGGCCAAATGCCCTGCAATGAAGTGTCCTCCTAAATCCCTGAATCTCTTTATGTAGGGGACTTTCCCCCCTCACTCCATGAGTGTGCTGGTGTCACTATGTAGACAGAGCACTTAAACACTAATACAGGGTCAAGTGGGAGTTTGGCCCCAAGGCTCAGCGAGTATTATTGCCTTGATCTATATCTTAAATGTTTCACGAATACATGCAGCAAAAAGGCTCAAGGATCATAGCATGATGTAATATCCTTGTTTTATATCGTAGTATTTCTATTTGAGGACTTTCCTTAGATAAGCCTGCTGCACAAATCATCGACAATTGGCTGAAGTTTTTGTCATTTTCTGCTTTTAACAGCAGGTTTTGATTTCACTTCTCTGTTAGAACCAGAAGTGACATAGCCTGACTGCCTGTGGCGAACTAAGCTGCTAACCCAGACAGGGAACCCACTCTGTGTTAGGCACAGCTGTCTGTCGGCATGGGGCCAGATCCAGTAAGATTTAAAAACTTGTTCTTCGTGGGGAGTCCCTGTGTGGGGGCGACACAGTCTCCCTGCAGCGTTCAGGGTTAGATAGGGTCATGAGAGAGGAGTGTGTCGCCTGTTATGAAAGAGCTCCGTAGTCAATGAGCTCCCACCTACACACTCCACAGGTTTCCTGAAAAGTAGCCTGGAGTATTTTTAGGCATGTGTGAACAGCCCTTAATGTCTTCTGACTCCCCCGTCCTCTTACTCTCACTCCTGCTTTCTTGGCTCAACTCACTGAAGTGCTTTCCAAACAGAAACATCTGTCAGTAAGAAGGCAGACAGGAAAGAAGTTTATCTCTGTCACTCTCCCCACTTTACCCTGTCAGTCACTTGTCTCTCTCTTTTCTTTCTCAATCGCCCCACCTACCCCACCCCTCCCTCCTTTTCTTCTATCTACCCTGCTATCCTCCCTATCTCTTGCCTTTGTTTACCTCTCTCACACCTCTTTAGCTGTCATGCAAAGGTGACATTTGACCCCAACCCGCTGACTTGTGTCAGTCAACTTCATACCTAAGATTGTATTTTCTGTGTTTACCCTCCGCTTCACTGTAGCAACCCTAGTCTCCTAAACCTTAAAGAAATCTGGTATGGCTTTGGTAGCTGATGAATGATGTTTTTAAAGTCTCCCTATGTGTCTTTAAAAAAATTAAATAAAACTCACAAGCTAGTTTTTATAAAATCACATGGCGATTTCTTATAAAGAGCAGACCCAAACCTCCTCTCAAAATCTCTTCTTTTATTTGTCCGTGAAAATCAGCAACAAATAAATTCGTCTCTTTGAATGGGATGTAGCAGCAGTTTCATTTCTGCATTGCGCTCTCCTCTCAGCAGTGTGTAAACCGTCAGTGAAGGTTGTTCCCGAAGATGGAGCCATGACTCTCAACAGGAGGAGAGGAGCTTTCAAGCAGCCCAAGGTTCATGTCATCAAGAACCATGAGTTTATAGCCACCTTCTTTGGTCAACCCACCTTCTGCTCTGTCTGCAGAGAGTTCCTCTGGTAAGTGCATGGTCCTGTAAAATGACATCCATAAAGGATGTGTAATTATCCTTTTGTTTGTACTATCTCGTAAGCATTTCTGATACTTCTCCGTGTTTGCTGTCAAGCCCGTTTTTGTTTCTGCTGAGTTCAACTCAGCGACCATGGTGGTAATTTCCTATTCCTCTGAGTCTGAGTGTGATTTATCCACAAGTGGCTAATTTCCCTGTCTGCTTGTTGGACCATACTATTATTACAATCAGTGTTGTGCTTTTGTTTTGATAGCACTTTGATAATTGCAGACTATTTGTTGCTGTCACCTACAGCATGTTCCCTGGATCCTTGATTAGACAAAAACATCAGTTATCCAACAAGAAAAGCCCAACCACAGACAGTTTCTAAACAACAATTAATAGCAGTTCCAGTTTTCAAAGAAGAGGATTATGGGTAGGGGTTAGTAATGGTAGAAAGCACCAAGACTGCTATCGTGAGAATAAATCACTGTCAGGGGAAATCCCATAAGGCTGTTATATTGTTCCAACTGTGTATTAGCTTCATTATTGGTGAACCAAGGTATGTCCTGTGTCCCAAAACACTGATTTATAGACAGTCTAGGAGATATCAGATGGTTTTTTTATTATTCTTTCTGCACATGAAGGGGATTTAGTGGCCACTCACCGTTCAAGCATTAAAAAAATTTTATTTGATGATCTGATATGGAGAAGATATCCTCCTCTATTACCGATATCAAACATAACTTCCTTCTCTCTTATGCAGGGGACTCAACAAGCAAGGTTACAAGTGTAAGCGTAAGTGTTTTATTAACCTATTCAAGCATTTTAATCAGATTTCTTACTTTACAATTCTTCACTCTTTGCATAACATTTACACGTTTTTTTTTTTCCCCAGAATGCAATGCAGCAATCCACAAGAAGTGCATTGAAATCATCATAGGCAGGTGCACTGGGACCGCAGCCAACAGTCGGGACACTGTGGTGAGCAAAGTTAATTTTCTCCAACATCACTGCAGAACCTCAACTCAGATCAGGCTCTGACTGTGAAGTGAATGTAGTTTTAGCTTTGTTTGTTTCCCAGCTGTACTTAGGAAGAACTCTGTTTTTTGGTTTGCTTTGTATCATTGAATAAGTTACTATTTTGCTCCTCACAAGAGTAATAACGCAAACTTTTCATGAGTAAAGGCTCAATTTCTGAAGTGAAACGTAAAACAGATTTAACCAAAGTTTACCCCACACACATATGTGCTTTTGTTTATTGCTGACTCATTATTCAAACACATAACATCTGTGCCTTTCTTCAGGGGTGAAGTTTTTTTTGTTTTGATTTTTACCAGCTTCTTATTGTTTCCATGTGTCTTTAACATCATGAGATCTCTGGCATTTAATGTTTTTTTTTTTTTGTATGTTCAAGTTCCAGAAAGAGCGCTTCAAGATTGACATGCCGCATCGCTTCAAGTACTATAATTACAAGAGCCCCACATTCTGTGACCACTGTGGCAGTCTGCTGTGGGGCCTCATGAAACAGGGCCTAAAATGTGAAGGTATGTAAGATTTGCTCAGTTTCTTTTACTTTTTCCTCAAATTTTATATCTGACGCCCTTCAACCTGCTGCCATACCTTTAACAAAGTTCTTCATCATCGTTTTCTCTCTCCACTAATACGCGTGTCACACCTTTGACCAGACTGTGGCATGAACGTACACAGTTACTGCCAAAAGAAAGTGGCCAACCTGTGTGGAATCAACCAGAAACTACTGGCAGAGGCTCTCTCTCAAGTCAGCCAGGTTTGCACCATAACTAACTTTGTTCATTGAAGCTTGAGTGAACTGCATGTCCATTAAATGAGTATAAAGTACATGTGTAAAAAAGCATAAATAAATTGTTGACAGCAGATGAACACTGACTCTAGATTTTTCTCTCTAGAAATCTAGTATGAGAAAGTCTGACTCCCCCGGCGCACCAGACATTGGGATCTATCAAGACATGAATAGTGCAACAGTGGACCCTAGTGGTGAGTTAGCTGTTTGTTTTCTTTGGTTTAAATCATGGTTTGTTCTTCTGAATAGGTGTGGTAGAGTTGCTGATCATCTGTGTTTCTTTGTTGCAGAGGTTTGCATACTTTTTGCATTCAGATTTGCGTGTGTTTTAACTCTGTGGCTGTAAATGTGTTTACAGCAGACAGAAACGGAAAAGCCCGTGAGGGTGTGTCCCCAACCCCACCTGCATCTACATCTCCCCGGGTACGCCTCACCCTCAACCAACTGGTACTCCACAAGGTGCTGGGTAAAGGCAGCTTTGGCAAGGTAGGCCTCACTGTCCCCTTTCCTGAATTTATTATGAAGTCATATCAATAGTAGAAAGATTAAAAACCAAAGATAGAACATTTGTAACACATGTTATACATACATAGTGAAAATAAAAGCACTTCCATCCTCATTTTGACCATGTATGAAAGAAAGTCTTGCATATACACATCATCTGTTAAAAAGTACCGTAAATCTAGCTTTAAAGGGATATTCTGGCATAAAATTAATTTTGGGTCAAACACACCATAACACCAAGTTAGACACCCCCTCGAGAGATGAATGTTGCAGATCGCTTGCTTTTCTAGTTATACCGACTTTAGTAACAACCGCGGGATTGCAATACACAGCCGTCTTTGGGAACCACACACAAACCTTGACTAAAAAAGCCACTCCATAGCCACAAATAATGCTCAGAACAGCACCTAACTTCATCAACAGTACATATAGGGTCCCAGGCATAGTACTAGCTACCGAACATCTTCTTAACTTTGCCTGATTTTTTTCGCAAAGAGACTAAACACGACTCACCCACTCTCTTCCAGCAGCCGCTTGTTTGTAGCGAGACCTCAGGCCAGTTCATTACCAACTGCAGTGGGGTGGCGCAGCTCAAGGAAGAACATTTATGATCATTAAATCATCATGTGTGGTTCCATAGACCACTGTGTATCGCTGTTGTGCGCTTGTTACTAAAGTTGGTATAACTAGAGAAGCAAGCGGTCTGCAACAATTATCTCTTGAGGGGGTGTCTAACTCAGTGTTGAGGGTAATTTAGGGTTAGTGTTTGACCCTAAATTAATTTTACACCGGACTATCCCTTTAAAAGTCAAGGAACAATTTTTCTACATGAATGCAGTTTGGACCACGACCCCTTAGTTCTTTTACTGTTAAAGAAATATGAGGAAATGTTTGGGTTAAGCTCTTTAATATATCACTGCAAAGCTTTTAGCAGCAGTTTTCCTTTGATTTATTATGTGTTAGTGAGTCCTTTCGTTATAAACCAAGCATTAAAGATTGAATAACCCTCTCATTCTGACTTTATTCTGCTCTGATTGTACTCCATGGACCTGGTGTAATCACGCTCACCATATGTGATTTTGTCACCTCAGGTGCTGCTGGCAGAGCTGAAGGGGCAGGGGCAGTATTTTGCAGTAAAGGTCCTGAAAAAGGATGTGGTTCTCATGGATGATGATGTGGAGTGCACCATGGTGGAAAAGAGAGTCTTGGCCCTCGCATGGGAGAACCCCTTCCTCACACAGCTCTACTCCACCTTCCAGTCTAAAGTAAGTCCTTTTATGAAATCTCTGCTATTAGAGTGTTGTTGATTTTGTTTCATGGTACAAATTCGACCTTGGCTTTGATAGCAGGAGAGATAATTGCCGGTCGTGGATAAAGACATACTACCCCAGCCCCCTTTATCTGAATCTCTTGCACAATTTTCATGTGTCATTTGTTTGTAATAGTGAGCTGACAATTATGTGTTGTTTTCCCAGGAGCACCTCTTCTTTGTAATGGAGTACCTGAATGGAGGGGACTTGATGTTTCACATCCAAGACAAAGGCCGCTTTGATGTCGTCCGTGCCACGTAAGCACACTGAGTTATTGTGTAAAGAACTATGAGCAATGAAGCAACTGTCATTTCTTTATTTTGATGTCTGTAATTTCACCTCTTTATTGCAGTGAAGCTGTAGTTATTGTTGTTTGCATGTTTCAACCTTCAGGTTCTATGCTGCTGAGATAGTAGTCGGACTGCAGTTCCTCCACTCAAAAGGAATAATCTACAGGTAAAAACCAGAAACCAGACTTTGCTCTTGGCTGTGACGTCTCAAACCAGCCTCTTTATGAAAAAGAAATGACTCAGTGAAAACCTTTTGGGGGTTGAGACTGCAGAACTTCATACTAAATATACAGGAACAGTACTTATCTTCATTTGTCTGTATCTCTTTGTGCGGCTCTTTAGGGATCTGAAGCTGGATAATGTGATGCTGGACAAAGATGGACACATTAAGATAGCGGACTTTGGCATGTGTAAAGAGAAAGTGTTTGGAGATGTCAGAGCCACCACATTCTGTGGGACACCAGACTACATCGCACCAGAGGTACACATCAGGGACACTTTCCATATCATTTTAAAAAAAAATCCATCCAAGGAAATTTTGTTGAGAATCATTTTGAGATGTGAAGCTGTTTATTTACCTGCTCGTGCATCCCTTTAGTCATTCAGAGTGCATGTGGCCTCTAGTGGTCGAGAGGAGGCATACCAGTGCCACCATAAATCACTATAGCATCACTATTAAACGGATATTCTGGCATAAAATTAATTTAGGGTCAAACACACCGTAACACTGAGTTAGACACCCCCTCGAGAGATGAATGTTGCCGACCGCTTGTTCCTCTAGTTAAACCAACTTAAGTAACAACCGCAGGATAGCAATACACAGCGGTCTGAGGAGCCATGAACAAACCTCAACCAAAAAGTCACTCAATTGCCACAAATAAAGCTCAGAACAGCACCTAACTTCATCAACAGTACATATAGTGTCCCAGCCACAGCACTAGCCACCAAACATCTTTAAACTTTGCCTAATTTCTTTAGCAAAGAGACTAAACACAACTCACCTACTCTCCTCCAGCAGCCGCTTGTTTGTAACGAGACCCTGGGCCAGTCCATTACAGACTGCAGCGGGGTGTCGCTGCTCAAGGAAGAATATTTATTATCCTTGAAGTAATAATCGTCATATTAATTAGTTTGCATAGCAGACGCGGTAGTTCTTCTGCCTTAGCGGCTTGGTCTGATTGCATTTCCATGAAGAAATAATTACTTTTACACTGGAATATCCCTTTAACTCAGCTTCTATTATACTGATAAAGGCTAGTTTTCATCCGCACAACATGTCCCTGTTTTCTCTAGTGACTCATGTCTTTTTTTTAAACTGTGTCTGTTTCCAGATCTTGCTTGGTCAGAAGTACACCTTCTCAGTCGACTGGTGGTCTTTCGGCGTATTGGTGTATGAGATGCTGATTGGTCAGTCACCCTTCCAAGGTGACGATGAGGATGAGCTGTTTGAGTCCATCAGGTCTGACGTCCCTCACTACCCTCGGTGGATCACCAAGGAGGCCAAGAGCCTGCTCGAGCTGGTAAGAATGGGGTTATTTTGTGGCTTTTTTGTAAACTAAAGTTAGAGGCAGTATCTTTGTATGTGTGGATTTAGATGCATACACTCCTCTGTATCATAGTGTTATATTACATAAACTTCTTTACCATCAATCTCTTAGCTGTTTGAGCGAGATCCCAGTCGCAGGTTGGGAGTGGTGGGAGACATCCGAGCGCATTCGTTCTTCAAAACCATCAACTGGCCAGCTCTGGAGAAGAGAGAAGTGGCTCCCCCTTTTAAGCCCAAAGTGGTATGAGCCTGTGATTTTATTCCTTAACAAACAAATAAACCTAAAAGCATTTGTATAACAATCATTGCCGGCATACTGATTATACTTTATTCTATTAACCTGACTGAAATCCCTGACCTCCACCCTCAGAAATCCCCTGGAGACTGCAGCAATTTTGACAGAGAGTTCCTGAGTGAGAAGCCGCGTCTCTCCCACGCCGACAAGAACCTCATTGACTCCATGGATCAGACAGCGTTTGCTGGCTTTTCCTTTATCAACCCCAAACTGGAACATATGATAAGCAAATGAAAAAACGAAATGACTCCCCTGACAAGATGGTTGAAATAGACTTTAAGCCAAATTACTTTGTCTTCTTATGGTCTATGTTCAACTGGAGGGAGAAGAAGAAAGTGAAAAGATTGAAGGCATGACTGTAGCAGAGGACAATATGATATGAAACCAGGGCGTTTGCTGACGTCTAAAGCAATAATCCTGTCTCAGCTGTCAAACTATATACAGTAGGTGTATGAGAGATTATAAAACTCCAGGAAATTAAGGGAGATTCTTCCACATTCGTGATACTTTAATCAATGCTTGGGCTTCAGTGATTTCTTTATTTTTTTGTCACTGTTCCTGTAATCATATTTTGAATCCATGTAAATCATCAAAAGTACTGTATCTGTAAAAATGAATTCACTGGCAAAAGTCTGCCATTCTTTTTCAATGTGTTCACCCGACATTGCAAATATAATGTAATAGAGATCAGTGGTACATAATGTACTCTCCCCTCGTTTGCTCTGCCAACTCTATGCCTCCTACCTGTGTGTGTTTGTGTGTTACCAAACGCATACAAATGTGAGGGTGTGTGCAGGTATCCTTTTAGATGTAAATGCTGCTACTGTTGTCAGTTTTTGAATGAATCCTCAGTTGTTCCCTCTGACAGACAGATAAAGGCGTCAGAAAATAATTTTACTGTAAGAATAGAGGAGATTTAAATCCCTTGGTATTGACTTAATGTTCATACAGACCTGAACGGTTTTCTTCCTCACTGTCTCTAGAATCTGCAGGTGCACCAAGAAACATCCTCAAGAGGAAACCAGATGTTTGTATATAGCGCAAGATTTATTTTCTTTTAAGTGCAATTTGTGTCAAACTTTTTGCTGTATATCTAACAGAAGCATAATGCACGCAATCAATCCATGCATATCATTACGTGTCATCAGACTTGCTGTAAAGTTGCATATATGGTTTGGTACTATAGCTGAGCATCTATGTATGTGTTGAAGGATGTGTTATTTTGTGTGGGAGGGATGGGCATTTCACTGAAAGCATAGGGTCTCTTATGTATATTATATTACTTGAATGTAGGATTTGAACGTGAAAAATATAGCTATATATGGAAAAAAATGTACTGTACCACAAGCTGTCTGTGAATTATGGGTGTACTTTTTTTTACTCTCCTCATCTTTTACTGATTATAAATAAATGCATTGTAAAACCTTGAATTTTTGTCAGCTATTGTTCCCTGACTTTAGCCCGTTTTAGTGTAAATGTGCTGCTCATGCAATGCTTCTTATTCAAAGGTTCTTACACAAATAAAATCATTTTGTAAAGACTTTCATACAGCAGAAATTCCACTACTAATCACTGCATTCCTGCTTTTTCAACGTGACTTTCTGATCAGAGATTATACACTATAGGCGATTGTATGGCACTAATATTGGACACGGTGCAAAAGCTTATTGGCGTCTCTGCGTCTGGAAATGTTGAGTCCTTTGTAGTCACACCAAAAAACCAAGTACCACAGGGATTATTTTGTGAGGATGGAAGAAAGCCATCTAGTGGCCAGGTGCTATACCTGCAGCTGCTTTGTGATATAGGGACGAAAGGCAAGAAGACACATTCCTGCAGTGCGCACGGTTTATGACCTGTCCTCGTCCTCTGTCCCCAACAGCAGGCTAATTCATATCCTCCTGGAGGGCTGGGACAGAGAACAATCATGATGCAGAGACAGCGATCTGCAACCCTGCTCGAGTTGTGAAAAAACTGCCCTATACACCAAAGGAGCATCAAAGTTAGAGACCCTCAAATATCAAATGAGAAGCCACCAGTGTCAGGTTTAAAAGCATAAACGAATAAAATGAATAAAGAAACACAAACATGTACAGTTTTTTCATCTCTGCGTTTATTAGTGACAATTATCTAATTTTGGACACATCGCTCTCATCCCAAAGCTTCCAGATAGATCCCCCTGACACTTTAATTTACAATGACTCAATGAATTTGTGAATTAATGTCTGCTTCTGTTTGATTTACGCATGGCTCTTCGAGTGTTTCAAGTGTTAAGGGCAAGACCCGATCGCTTTCTTGCGAAGCATATTGCACAGTTTCTACACCAACGCCTGCAAAACGCGGATGTTTTTTTTCTTTTGTTAAAATAGGCAACCGACGGGTTGGTCTGTGGTGGAGGATTAAGTCGACAGAAGCCTGCATGTGGCTCAAGAGAGCGGCAAAACCTGTTTCGGGCTGCAGATATGTCATGAATGCTTGGAGAAATGCTCCAAAACGATACATGCTCTCGATAAATATAGAAGTCAACATTTTTAATATCACATATGGACTTCATCATTACGCTCACAAGGCATTTTTTTTCCAGCAGTTTCTCCTGCCCTCTCCTCCAATAAAATCCGACTTCACATCTCTGTGCAGTAGAAGTACCGTGCCAACAGATTTTGATGCATTCATTATGAAAGGGCATTATTGTTGTGTTTATTCCTGATTTTGAAAAGTAGTTGCCCAATTTGTTGATCGATTTAATAAAATGAACAGATGAATGCAGAAGGAAAACTAGAAAACTCGAGGTCATCTTCAGTTACACAATTTCATGTCGACTTCGTGACGGAGCGAATTGCTTATATAGCAACAAAAAACAATCCACTTATCGAAAGTGGGTCGATTTTACGTACAATTAATTCCAACTCAAGCATTAACTAAGTGTTGATTCCGCTGGGATATAAGCCTCTAACGACAGTTCAGTTTAATCCCCTTGTCCTTTTGACAGTTGACGTAAACGGACATTGTTTTGCTTGTCCTCTTTTCTTTTGGGCACGTTACGTTATTTGGGCTTGATTTTGGCAGTGTGATATTTTATTGTGTGTGTGAAGATGGAAGTCAGTGTGATGTAGCCGGGCTCAGAGGCATATAGGCGGCAGAACATGCGCAGTGGCAGTTTGTGCCATATTGGAATGAGGTCGTGAACGAAAAAGGCGTCAAGCCAGCGAGAGCAAAACCGGAAACCTCGTGTTTTAATCCTCAACACGAACAGCCCCGCTGTTTCGTTGACGACAGTTGCCCCCAGTTTCCCCCGCATCCGGAGCGGCTATGAAACGGCCGTATCCGCCGATCGTAGCTAATCGTAACCGTTTAAGTTAATGTGTCAACTTCCACCGGCTTTTTTCCGTTTTGCTGAGGTCGCAAGAGTTCTATCTTTTCCGGACCGGCTATCGCGTTTAGTGTGGTTTTACTTTGAAAGGACAGACCGGGGTTGTCGGGTTTTCTTAGTGGTAGCTCAACGTTGCTGCGAGCAAGCAGGCGGAGAGGAACGGCATCTAAAAAACCGACTTGGAAAAACTACTTAGCGGTAAGGGACGAATTTTGCGACCAAATATTCACATACTGTGTGTTGTTTGTAACTATTTTCCAACCCTGTTTCGTATTGTGGTGGTGCATTCGTCTTTTTTCCCGTCTCTCAAAAAGATGTGTCGGCTTCGGTCGAGTGTAAGCGCCCTTATTGCTCGTCAGCCTGCTCTTATTGCTCAAGCTGTGACGTTCAGTAACTTGACTCGGACACAGGCGTTTTTACCATGTGTTCAGTGGGTCCCACTCGGTTGTTATACATTAACGACCGCATGTTTATTTATTGGACAGCAGTTTGATAATTTTCTCAATCGGTATTTCTCATGATCTTCCAGAGTGAAAGTTGGACCGTCGGCAGCGCTGTAGTCTCTCTCTGCAAAGCCGCTGCGTTAATGGCCCATCTCAGCCTCTGAATGCTGCTGTTAGTCTGTACAAGCAGTGCAACCTTTAGCTATAGTTCCACTTCACGGTTTGTATGGAAAATTCCACGAATTTGCCCTTGAATAACTCCCTTTATGTCTAATGGCAAAGTCTTACATAATGAAGGTTGCACGACCTCAGCCTTTCTGTGGCTCATTGAAGCTTTCTCATCAAACACGCCGGATAAACTTAATGGTGGATTTCTGTTATTCGCTTTGTTTGGCTGTTTTTGGAAGACGCCCCTCGCGTTGGTGAAGTTGTTGTCATTTTCCACGTTGATTTATCGCTGCCTATTTTTCCTCTGGCTCTTAACTTCCTATTGTGCAACTCTGGTGATCCGCTGTCGCTGCTCCGGCTGACGTGCCGCTATGTGTGCAATGAGCAGCGTTAATGCAGTGATGCTCTTACAACGGCCAATGCCTGCTGTAAGGAACACTTATCCCTTTTTCCCCTGCTTGTTCTTTTAAATTACTGCAGGTTAGCCAATCATGACAAGGTCAGATTGGTAATGTTTGTGTACCAACATCTACTGAGCAGATCAACATGTATGGTCTCAGTAGCCTTCTTCGAGCTTTGGTAAACATAAAACTGACCAAAACTTATCCCAGACTGCCCTGACACAACTACTCTTGGAGGTTACATGGTGTGTGGATCTACTTTCACTCCGCTTTTAGCCTTTCAACTAAATTCCAATTAAGTATACAAGGGCTTGCAGCTGCACAGGCTTTTCCGTTTCTTGTTTTGGACTTTGGAAATATTGGAAAAGAGTGGGTCTCCTAGGCGGGTGAAATGTGTTTCCCGGTGTTTCTCAGCATGCCTGTGTTAATGCGTTTGTGTCTCTCTGCATGTCCAAAACACAATCCGTAAAAGAAGTTGAATCAAAAGCTCCTCTTCTCTTCAAGAGTGAATCTAAAACATTCAGAGCTTCATCACTGACTGGCTGCAGTATATGTCAAAATATACAGCAGCCATTTTTTGTGCTAGGTTTCTGTTTATTAGTCAGTGAGATTTATGTTGTTGTTGTTTTAACTAAAACAATAGATGTAATGACAACTGTCGGTGGGAACAGTGAATCGTTTTAGGTTTGGTGGACGATGTAACGAGATAAACTGTTGTACATGTAAATGTAGATAAAAGTTCTGAAACTTTTATTGCTGTTCAGTGACTTGAAATGAAATTCCAATCGCATCTGTTGTATTAGGTTGAAAGCAGACATTCTAAGAGGCTGAGAAGTCATAACCTGGCACTGTGAAACCAAAACTAACAGTTTGGCTCATTGGCACAACAAGGAAGTGAGAACATAGGGCTTTAGACACAAGTCAGAATGAGCCTTTGAATTACAGTATGAATAGATCACACCGAAATACTACAAAGAAGAGTACATAAAGTCTTTGTCTTTTGTGTTAAAGTGTTGAGACAAACCAGGAAACTGTCTCACTTTCTGCTGACTTTACTGCTTATGGTTCAACGTCATCTATTGTTTATCCACAGATGCTGTTGAAAAAGTGTTTGTTTGAATGTATCAGAGACTAAATTCATGAACTGACATGTAATTTTGATTGTATTTCCTGTTTAAGCAGCATGTGCACATGGGTTTTGTCAGATTGCATTTCCCACCCAGGGACCTGAAAGGTTCAGGAAGACTTTCAGAAAAAAAATGTTGCCCTTATTCTAAGAGCTGATAAGAATATGATTCAGTAAGAGCTCAAAAAGAAGATGTAGCATGGATCTCACTTATCCACATGTACTTGTTTGTGTGTACGTGTGTTTATGTGGGTGGGTGCGCCAGTCAGTCCTTTCTCTTTTAGGTTCAGTCAGAGTCTCAGGCGGTGCAGAAAGATTCAGTTAGACTGCCGCTAGCTGTGGTCAATACAGACCACTTACTGTTTATGAAACAGGGGAAGTTACATTTCTTCCTGTCTGCTTGAAACAAGTGGAGGTTGTGCTATTCTACAAAGTCAAGCTCCTTGGAGATTGAGAGCCAAGAGCTGATACTTCTCTGAAGTGTTATCAATATTTATTTTCATAGTGTTTAACAGAAACTATATTACAACTAGGAGAAAGATTGATTTATTTTATCCTTTACAATTCTATCAAAACGATGGAAAGAAAGTTTTAAAAAAAAAGGCATGTTCAAGGGAGAGGAGATTTCAGGCTGATTTCTTTTTTTTCATTGGTGCAAGTAGAAGCAGAGAAAACCTCACCCTAATTTCACCAATAACCAATTACTCTCAGCATCAGGTGTTCAGATATGGCGCCCCAAGTGTGGTTCTGTTGTCCCCCCTCCCGTCTGCACTGCTCTTTTTCCCTCTCTTATGTCAGGAGTGTGACCTCCTGGGACAATGAGGCCCTCTGGTGTGTGTTTTCCCGGGAGGGGGGGAAAAGACAGAAGGAGTCTGGGGCAGGGTCGTGGGTGAAAGGTGGCGCTGATCCCAGAGGAGCTCGGGGGTTGCAGTGGCAGTTTGGTCGTCAAGAGGGGGGTGTTTTGGGTGGCAGGCCTGGTTTTAATAGAGACGTCAGACTTGACAAAGACGGGCCTGACAAGCCAGATGAATAGAGCTGACGTGACGGAGCAGCTCTCCTCAGCATCCCATGCACTGCTCTCTCCTCTACCGTCACACCCTTAACTCCCTTCTCTCTCATTCATGCCTTCGCTTTTGTTGTTTTAACTTATTTTATTAGCTTTTGCACAATGACCGGTCAGTCTGATGTGTCAGAGCTTGATATGTGTGCCCACCTTCATGTCAGGGTGTTGTTGTAACTTTCACAGCAGGTCAAGGAATGGTGTATGATCAGAATTAAAACCATGATTTTGGAAGTAAAGCTGGATGAGTAAAGTTTGATGTACTTTCCAGCAGTGACGTGCCATCTGCTGTGTCGTGTAAGATGAGTGGCAAACATTAATCATGTCATGTTTGGATCATATTTACAACCTTTTTTGTTGTTTTTACTCTGACTCATTCCAGGACTAGATAAAAGCACCTGGACACTGATTTGATTTGTCAGCCAAGGACTCTGGGTTTGAAAGATCTATTATGAAGCTGAAAAAGTCCTGGATGTTAGTGCAGCTGCACAAAATCCAAACTAAACTTTATTTGATTAGGCTCTAAATGCGAGGTGTGGTAACTGTTGAGTTTTGTTTTTCTCAAGTCTGCAGCTTGGTTGCTGTTAAATTCATGTTTCTGATAGTCAACAGATAATGCTCTTGTTATCACTGGCTGTTGGCTGACACATTGTTTACTGATAAGGACTATGTGTCAGGTTGCTGCACTATACCAAGAGAAGCCAGCTAGAGAGTCTTGATTGCTGTTTCCAGCCCTTTGTGCAACTTTTTGCTGATACAGTTTGGCTTGTGAACTGCTGAGCTGGGTGTACCAAACCAGCCGTATCACCTGTCTCATTAATCTTACAGTTGCTCCAAACCGGAGCAAGCTCAGAAATCATTCGGATGTATGGAAAGTGATTCGATTAAGCTTAGCATAGCGTAGCATGACAGTGTTTTCTTCACTCTGCCAAGAGAGTTTGGGGCCAGTGCTTATTCATTTACTCTGGCTGGATAATAATCCTCCTCCTCTGTTCCTCCTCAGAGCTCCTGTCTTGGCCTTGAGGGGGCACCAGCATGAGTCAGGAGTCACCGGAGTCTGGTAAGAGCTACTTTCTGAACAGCTGCGTGAAATGAGTAAGTAATATGTTGGAAAGCAGCTTGGAAAAAAAGACAAATGTGTTGTGTGCTTGTTCCAGATGGAGACTCTGCCCAGGATGTCTCCGACTTCAACTGGGATGACTACCTGGAGGAGACTGAATCTGTGTCTGTGCCTCATCACGCTTTCAAACATGTGGGTGCTGAGTGCCTTCACAGCTGACACACGTCACTGGATGATTTTATACCAACAATGATGAAACATCTTTTTAAAGGCTTTGTTAAGTTTCACCACCTAGTTAGTTTGGAACGATGGCTCGTAGTTGTAATGTGTCGACTAGTAAAGCCCAGAGTAATGCGTAAATCAGGTCCTGAGCAGCAGCTTTGAAAGCATCTTGTCATAGGGAAAACAACAGAATGGACACATGAGCCGCTGCGTCACTGGGTCTACCAAAGCATCCTTACTTGACATTAACACAGAGTAGAAATTGTGTCTTTCCTTTAAATTTCTCCAAGTATTTTTCTACATAACTGACTGGAGAACACAACTTAAACTGTGATTTGACTCTTAAGCCGCGTTCAGACCAAACGCGACCAGGTCGCGTCGCGTTGGTCGGTCAGGTCGCGTCGCGTGGTGCTCTGGTGTGTTCACACCGGGTCCAAAGTTGCAGTCGCAGGTCGCGGCTGGTCGCCGGTGACGTCATCCATGTCACTAGCTCAGTTTTCAGTTCATCAGTGCTGCCGCATTTCTGTACATCCGCAGTAGACGCCGCCGGCGTTTATGGGTGCATGAAACCATCCGGAGGAGGACGGAGCTGGGTGAATTTCACCGCTTGCTCCAGGAACTCCGCCTGGACGACGGCCGCTTCCAGCGGTATTTCCGTGTGTCGACGGCGCAGTTCGAGGACCTCCTCGCCCAGGTGGGAAGCAGCATCTCCCGCCTGGACACGAAATACAGGCGCTCCATCTCAGCTTCGGAGCGCCTGTCTATCTGTCTGTCCCTCATATAAACGTCTCTAAGCCCCTTCCACCGCTTGCGGCACACATCCACTGCAAAGACACACACACACATACGTTGAAACATGTAGCCTAGCAAGCAGGGGCAGTTAGCTGGGTGGTAGCTAACGGATGTGATTAACTGCTCCTCCATTGTGATTCTTCTTCTCCTCTTCCTTGTTTCGCCGGTTTGTTGACGTCAGCAGAGCCCTGATTGGCTGTCGCGGCACGAAGTCGCTCCCAAAGTTCAAATATTTGAACTTTGGGAGCGACGCGACTTGGCGTCCTGCGACCTCGGCGACGCGACCTCGGGGACGCGACTGGTCGCCCGGTCGCGCATGGTCGCGTCGCAGGAAGCCGGCGGTCGCCAAGTCGCGTCAGGTCGCGGCTGGCCATAGACTTTGCATTGGGAGCCGTCGCCAAGTCGCGTCAGGTCGCGGCTGGTCTGAACGCGGCTTTAGAGTTTCAATCCATTAATTCACACATTTTTCCTCTTCTGCATGTTTTTCTTCTCAGGTGGATCAGGGCCTGCAGACAGGACTGACTCCAGGCATGAAGCTGGAGGTGTGTGTGCGCTCAGAGACTGACAGTCCTTACTGGGTGGCGAGTATCATCACCACATGTGGCCAACTGCTGCTCCTGCGCTATGAGGGTTACCAGGACGACCGGCGTGCGGACTTCTGGTGCGACATCATGACAGCAGACCTCCACCCCTTGGGCTGGAGCCGCCAGAATGGGAAGACTATGAGGGCCCCTGAAGGTGAGGCATGGCTGGTGGTGATTAACAACAGTGATGTGAAAGTTTTTCAGGACGCTCTACAAACTGTGAGTTTGTAGAGCCTCTAAAAATCATGTTTTTCTTGTTTTTTTATATGTTCTTATGGCATTTTTCTGATGCCTCAGGACATATGAGAAAACTAAATGCGAAATTGCTTTTCTGAGTATTTCATCATTCAAATTGCTGTGAATCTCTGGCAGACCCAAACGGCAGGTTCAGAAACAGTGAGATTTCATATGTAACAAATCCAAGCTCCGCCCCTAATTATGATATTAGCTTTCATCATGTCCCTAAAGACATTAGTGTCCGAAAGTTGAAAAGCTCCTATGTTACCTGCCACTTCTACTACACCAGCAATGTTAGGCTGCAAGCTAACGTGAAGAGGAGTTTGCAGACTAGCGCTGTCTCTGCCCACAACTCAGAGGCGAATTGCTAGTGAGCTACTGGAGCTCTGCAGAAGAAAAGCTGTTGAAAATGACACAGGTGATGCGATTTTAGGCAAAAACTTCATAATCACAATTTAAAGATCACTGAGAACACTTTAAGTAGAAAAAAAATGATTGGATTGGGACTTTAAGAGTGCTAAAAGGTAACTAAACAGTATAATCAAACACTGTTAAGTTATTTAATCGTTTTGTCTAAAACCAGCAAAAGCTTAACAGTAAATAATAAACCCCAAAAACATCCCACAGTTGCCCGTCTTGTTATTTTCAATATTAGGATTTGGCATCTGGCTTTTTTACTTGTTGAAACAAAGAAATATTGTGAAATAAATACCGAAGTTAGTAGACGACTATATAAGTCTCTTTGGAATCTGAAATCTACCTGAAACATAAACTAATACAACTCAATAATGTTGATGTTTTAAAGACATACCTGTGTTAATAACAGTTGACACTGTAATCAGACCTGTCAGAAGGCATTTGTGTCTGTGTGATCCTGAGCCCACCTAGTTGTAAAATAAACACTGTGTTTGTGTCATATCACCCCTCAGGTGTGCGTGAGAAACATCAGGACTGGGAGACTTTGTTGGGGAAGGCCCTGGCCGAGGAGTGCAGTGCGCCTGCCAACCTGCTGGAATTGGTAAGGCGGAGGAACAGAGCAGCTGTCCTGTCAGAAACTCTTCACATCCTGGGTGGGGCAGGTTTCTGACTGTGCCAAGAATAACCTTCTCTTTACAACAACTTTAAAAACACACTATCTAGTCAAATGGATTGTTTAGACTCCAAGAAAATCAAGTCAGACTTTCTCCTTTGCTGCTAAAGCAGTGAGGCAGGTTTGAAGTTCACAGCTGGAAAACTCCACATTGACAGTTTATACCCTCAGGTGATCAGAGTCATCAACAGTTACTCTGCAGATTTTACTCATGCAAGCGCTGTACAACTGTCATGTTATGTGTAAGTAAGGGCTTAGTTCGTATGCTATGCCTCTTTGAAATGCCACAGGACAGGATAAAGTATCATACTGTAAATGTCAATTAGAATAAATATGAAGTAAACTGGATAAGATTTTACATCTTTTATCAGGTCTTGTTTGTGCACCGGGCGTGAAGTCCCAAGTCTGCCAAAGCCAGGACTCTGATCTTTTGTCTACAGCACAGAGGCTGGGCTGCTGAGAGCAAATTGGTCTGTGAAATTCTTTACAGCCATTAGTTAGCTCTCTGTGACTGTGCTTCACTTCTGCATTTAGTCATGCAGTACATTCTCTCCCTTCACAAATTCCTTGCCTTGCCTAGGTGTGTGTCCATTTGTGTTTGTGCTAGAGTGTGTGCTTTTCACTTCTAATTTACCACCTCTAACCCCCCACCCACCCCTGCAGCCGCAGCGCGGTAGAGACCCAGTGGAGCTCCTGTCTGCGGGCTGCTATGTGGAGCTTCAGGACAGTGAAGATCCGGGGCTGGCCTGGGCTGCTGAGGTGGAGGAGAACATAGGAGGAAGGCTGAAGCTGCGCCTTCTAGGCACAGAGGGCCTGCCGGACACACAAGCAACCCTCTGGCTCTTTTACCTACACCCACGCCTCCACCCACCCGGCTGGGCTAAAGAGCAAGGCTGCACCCTCAGGCCTCCATCAGGTCAGTGGCATTGACATAGGTCAAATTTTATTTATAGAAACAAAAAGAGAGGATGATTTATGGATTTCAAGAATGGCTACCAAAGCAGGCAGGAGTTATATTATCAGATGGGAGAGCACATTAAGAATTCATATTGAAACCAGGGACTGTATGCATGTCAAATGATACGGTTAAATTTAAGAGTCATGCATTTATCTTTACTGTATGTAAAGAGAGGCTACATCAGCCCCTAATGTTTTATTACTGACAACATACTCGTGTTTATTTCAATTTGTTGCATTAAATCTGTCATTTTTCCCCATTTGTCACATTATCTGACTGATATTAACATTTTTCAATATGAAGACGACTGCGCAGTGATAAAACATAAGGGGTAAATATTCAAATCATGATGGTGTGCCACCAGACCTTGAAATTGATTTTCTGCGGAGGCCCAGAAAGATTATTGTTTTCAGAAACAATGATCTCGTGTTCCTCAAAGCAGTTTATATGTGAAATGTACGAAGCATCAGAGGCTGTATCAGTCCCCCCAACACAGCTGATCTGAAGCTGCTACATCTAAAATACTTAATATCATGCTCTGTGTGTGAGTGTGTGTTTGGTGGTGGGTTTAACTTGCTACTGTGCTTTGCAGGATTACAACAGATTGTTTTAAAAAGTTGTTACTCTGTTACTCACCTTCTCACACAATCACAAACCCCCGTCACTGTTGTCCTCCAGAACCTCTGAGGGCTCTGTGTCCTACAGTGCATCCAGTTCAGAGTGCTCCTCCTCACCTTCAAGGCCCTCCATAACCAGAGCTCTTCCTGCCTTGCTAACCTGCTCCACCCCCACACTCCGGCCCGCAGTCTCCACTATATCAAAGCTATCCTTTCCTCTCCAGCTCTCAAAACCTAGCACCAAACCAGGAGCCACAGAGCACTTACCATTTCCATTCCCCTAACTCTTGAGCTCTCTTTTGGTCTGACCCGCTAAGATTCAAATCACTGATGGAAACCCACCTTTTCAGAACTGCTTTTCTTTTATGTTGCTTCTCGTATTTGTTGTTTTTATTGTTATTATTTTTGTTGACCTCGTGCCCTAGTTGTCAAAAAAGCTGTTGTAGCTCCTCCACCACTGTTTTTTTTATTTGTTTGTTTCAGACCTGTTGGCCCTGCGGACAGAGGGAGAGTGGGAGGAGGTAAAACAGAGGATCTGTGACCTGCCTCAGGATGAAGCTCTGACTGCAGAGTTTAATAAGGTACTGCCAACCCTTCTTTTAAGCTCTGACTGACCCAACCATGTCTCTTTTTCTAGCCAATTAAGCTTTTGATAACAAGCATAGACCAAAAGTTGCGCAATTCTCCTTTAAACTGGGTGCTGTGGCTTTTATCAGGGGCTGAGCTTTTGAAGATGATTCTGTTTGTGTGTTTGTTAAAGGATCCGCCTACCGTCATCGCTCATTGTTTTAAGGAAGGTATGAAACTGGAGGCTGTTGACCCTGCTGCCCCTATTTCCATCAAACCTGCCACTGTCACCAAGGTAACAGACTTCATATCAAATCTGCCTCTGCTGTGCTGCAGTGTTTTTTCCATTCATGCTTTACATCATTGTCACATTGTCTTTACTCTGCTAACCAGTGTTGAGTTGTGTCTTAACCAACTAAAATGAGTCCTTTTTCATCAAACAGTCTGGTAGATGTCTTCTTTTAAGGATACTGTCTGCATGATTTAAACCAGATACTAAAAGTTTTTATAGCTGTCGTTTTTAATGTCTGTAAGTGATGGAAAAACTAACCTCTTCTCCTCAGGTGTTCAACGAGCAGTACTTCCTGGTGACATTGGACAATCTTTGTAGTGTAGAGGAGTCTGAAAAAGCTGGAAGGTCTTTTCTGTGCCACAGAGACAGTCCAGGAATCTTCCCTACGCAGTGGAGCCTCAAAAATGGACTGTCTCTCAGCCCCCCACCAGGTCTGCTCTGATGTTCCTAGATAACAAATGAATGGCTTAGTAATATCACAATTTGTTGCAGTGTTTAAATAACTCAGACTGCCTTGCTTGTTTGCTCGCATTCATCTCCTACAGGATACCAGGGTTCAGACTTTGACTGGGCAGATTACCTGAAGCAATGTGAGGCGGAGGCAGCTCCTCAGCATTGCTTCCCATCTGTGAGTCAACCCTCAATTTACTCCCTCTTATTACTAGTTTCACTCTACTCTGGAGACAGGGCTATTTCACGTCTTCATCAAAAACACACATCCAGATGCTACCAGAACCCAAAAATGTATCTATGATTTCAAAAAGGCTAATATTTGACTCCCAGAGAATTTTGTGCTCTCAGTTGGACATTGCCCACTTATTGTGAAAGTTGATTTTAGGAGATGCCCCCAGAAGGATAACCTTGATCCCCTTATTGTTTTTACTGTATTGTTACATCCTCCTATCAAAAGTAGATTTTTCCTATTTTCCAATGTTGTCAAATGCCGTTAAAGTACCATGTGCCCAACCCCCACCGAGTAAACAGCCAGCCCCCTGAGATTTTTCTTAGATTTTAATTTTATAATGGACAAAAATCACAAAATGGCTACCCCTTACTGTTTCTTTTCCAGGAGCAGTGTGACAGCTGCTTCATAAAGGCCATGAAACTGGAGGCTGTCAACCCCCTGTCACCTGAGAACATCCACGTGGCCACGGTCACCAAGGTGAAAGGGCAATATATTTGGCTGAGCCTGGAAGGTAAGATAAGGAAATGTAGAAAGTGTTGTTTTAGAAGAGTGAAGTTCAAAATTAGTGTGTTTGATTTCCACCATGTTAACTGCGGTACCATCTAAAGCAGTACTGTGTAAACTACATACATTAACTGAAGGTCTGGGGGTCCTAACAGTATCTCATGGGATCTAAAAAGTCAAGGTTTTTATACTTTAAGGTCTTAAAATGTCTTGAAAGGCCTTATTTTCTCATGTGAGGGGTCTTACTTTTTAAATGGCTCTTTGACCAATATGCTAAATACTTCTATCAAAACTACACAGTCTTGTTTACATGACTGTTTACCATGTTAATACTGATCCCTGATATGTTAAGTTCGCTCTGTGTATAGTAAGCGTTTATTTTGATAGTAAACAATGGTGTGGTTTTCTCTTTTCCTGTCTCGACTTGTCATGTTTGTAGATGACTGAATGCACTTCAGCTGAATTTTAGTTAGGGAGAATAAAAAACCATAGTCACAGGTTGAACTTTAACCACAGTGCACTGCCAGAAGAAAACACTCCAAAAACAGTAACACTTGCTTCACTGAGTAACTCAACATGAATAATGCATAAATTCACTGCTAAACTACACCTTATTGATTTGTTATGTTGGCAAAACAAGCTAGCTGAAGCTTACTTTGTGACATTTTCTGAATGAGTGGTGGAGAGTAACAAAGTTGAGCCCACTCAAGTACCCTACGCTTTTAAGTAGTCCTCATGTTTTATACTTTTTACATTAAACTTATAGACATACCTTTCAGATTCAGATCACTACTGAAAAATATGATTAATAAATTATGATATTGTGTCAATATGTTCTTATTTAAGTGCAGGAAGACTTCACGGGTTTCCCAGAAATTAATAAATAAATAAAACTGAGCTGACTTTATTGAATTCTAATTGACTCCAACTTTGTCTGCTGCAAAAATAAAGTGACATACACCTGCTAATACATTAAAATTACAATGAATAATTAAGTATTCAATAAATATCCCCAAGTGAGCTATTATGAAAATGGGTTATCTGTTTTTTTCTCTAGGAGGATGTCCTCAGCAGTTATTATTGTATCTTAAAAATTTTCACTCACAAGTATTTTCCTCTGACTTTAATTCTTGGTAATGGTTGGTAAGAAAAACAATGATTGGAGGATGACTTTCAAGAAATGTAAAAGAGCTTTGTAACTTGGGATACATAGTTTAATAATATTGTTTTACATGAATAGTGGTCTTAAATTGCCACAACTTGTGTACATTGGCATTGTTCTGCTATCACTTTTTTTCTTTAAACACACCAAGAGAAGATGTGAAGCATAGTGTCAGTGATATCAGTTCCTGTTGGATTTTATTTAGCGCCTCACTACATCAGGTTAAAACTGGACTACGTTAGCTATACCACTGCTCTCAGTTTCTCATAATGACCTTTTAATCTGACTGTAAGTGAATGTTTGAACAGGACTGAAGCAGCCATTGCCAGAGCTGATAGTTCATATGGACTCTCTGGACATCTTCCCAGTCAGCTGGTGTGAGACTAATGGCTATCCACTCGTCTACCCCATTAAACCCTCAGGTACACAACATGAGTCATCATCATGGATTTTTTACACATCTACCCTAACAAGACTGTTACCGATGCTGGTACATAATACAGGATGTTTCTCTAAGCTCTGAAATAGATGATTATATAAAAATGATCTCACATTAGTCTTGACTTCTCTTTCAGTTGAGAAAGAGAGGAAGGTTGCTGTGGTCCAGCCTGAAAAGCAGTGAGTACATAGAAAAGAAAAGGATGTTCATTGGTTTGAATGGGTAGAGTTGGATTCCTTTTAAATGTCTGATTTTTTTTTTTTCACCACCCCACAGCCGAACGCCACCTAAGTCATTGTCACCTGACGCTGTCAAGCAGCAAATGGCCACCCAGTCAGAGACAGGTGAGTGGTTTGTTTAAGGTGTCAGTGACGGGCTCTGTTGTGTGATACATCAGGTTTAATGACAGTCCTCGTGTTTTGTGGTATGTCTCATCATATGTTTGTGTTCATGTGCAGGACAAGGAAATGGAAAATACTGCTGTCCTAAGATCTATTTCAACCACCGCTGCTTCTCTGGGCCCTACCTTAACAAAGGACGCATCGCAGAGCTGCCTCAGTTCATAGGCCCTGGCAACTGTGTCCTGGTTCTCAAGGAGGTGAGAGAGGCCAGCGCCATTATTTTCTGTAAAACGTCACACCATAGCTCAATCCTGAAACACAAATACACATGTTGTCGGTGACAAGTTTAGACTTAGCTCTTTGCCGTGGTAGTTGTAGGACTATGTGGGGCAATGTGGATCATTAAATCTGCTAAATGTAGATGGATTGCTGAGGAATTTGTTTCAGGCGGTTGGAGTTCATAGAGAAGTCTTTTTAAACCATGAGGAACAATTCTCTGAACTCATTTAAACTTCATTTGTGACCAAATGCCTACAAACATAACAGTGTCAAGCCAATTTTGGCATCCCTATATGCTAAACTGAAGGGTAATATTGGAAAGATGGTGTGCTCTCAGGTCAACGGTGTTAGCATTACCACTGAGTGTAATTAGCATGCTTATGATAACATTTAAGTTTGAAGCAATAACGCCTCAGATTGGATGACTCCCTCTCTTATAAATGTTCAACCAGTAGTAGCTTTGAATCTGTGTCATGTCATGGGGTTAATAGCACTCTTTCTGTGGTCTGTAATGTCATTTTTACAGTGACACAATGTCCCTATTTGATAAGCACACGATGCAGAGGCAGTCAAGGTCTGCTTATCTACTGCCAATAAGTAGTTACATGTAAATCCTATTAAAAAGCATGTCTCAAAATGAAATATTTGATTATTCATATGAAAAAAGATAATTTAGCCTCATAAAACCAACCCCTCTAGCCTCAGGTAACCTGTAAGTGTTGCAATTCTCTGCTTGTCTATTATCCAGGTATTAACTCTGCTGATAAACTCGGCCTACAAGCCGAGCCGCGTGCTGAGGGAGCTGCAGCTGGACCAGGAGAGCCGCTGGCAAGGCCATGGAGAGACACTCAAAGCCAAGTAAGGGGGTAACACCACTAAATCCTCAGCTCAAAATTCTCTGCTCTGAGTAGAAGGGTTTACAGCCTACCTATTTTGGGACACAAACTGGAATCAACAAGTACTTAATTACAACAAAGTGCAGTTAATATCACCCATACAGGTAACCCAATACTTCAGTGGACCAGCAATGTAGTTAACCTCATCTGGCTTATTTCAGAGAGCAACATTGCTGCTAGTGTTGTGTCGTTTGCGAACGATTCGTTCAAAAGAATCGACTCTTTTAAGTGAACATACTGAACCGAATCACCTCCTCCAGTGATTCACTCGTTTCTCACTCCAGTTAAGCTGAAGTGAGAAACATCATTGCCATGCCAGCGGCCGGCGAACGAGGGACCACATGCACCAACGCCTGAATCACTTGGTGAACGAATCACGCATTGAGCTACACTCTCTGGAATCATTTTGCCAGACAAAACTACCCTTTTTTTTTTTTTTTACTGCTAAATTGCCACCACAACAACTTGCATACAATAGGACACAGCATGTAACAAGTAGTTCATTAAACCTGCAGCATCCTATCATTGCAGCGGTTTGCGAGGGAACGGTGCATGTTCAGTGTGAATTCTTCTAAACGTTCATTGAACGAAAATCACTCACTGACCCTAATTTACCGAGCAGACCTGATAAATAGCATACCATAGGACAGTACACTTAAACGTCATGACTATACAAACTAGTTCATTTGAACAAACTTGTTTGCCAAAGCAACACAGCCAAACACTCTTGTCTCTCAGTCCAAGAAGTGATGAAATGAACTGAATCCTGGAACTTTCAGCTGTTTATCAGTTCAGGAGGTCGGAGTCGCAGGCTTCTCCTGCTATATGATTTGGTGAATGAATCTTTTGAACGATTCTTTTCAGTGAACTGATTCTAGTGATTCAGTACATCTAAAAGTGCCCATCACTAATTGCTGCTTTTTGCTACCTTGATAGATAAAACACATACATAATGAGAGTCCCGAGGAGGAGAGATGTTTTTTTTATTTTTCCTAAAATCTACCTGTATTGCTGTCAACTTAAACTCGGGTTGAAATATTAGAAAAATAACACTTTTTATTTACTTTGTCACCCTCATTGTCAGGTACAAGGGAAAAAGTTACCGGGCTACGGTGGAAATAGTCCGCACTGCAGACCGTGTGGCAGACTTCTGCAGAAAAACCTGCATCAAGCTGGAGTGCTGCCCGAACCTGTTTGGACCTCGCATGGTTCTCGACCGCTGCTCGGAGAACTGCTCAGTCCTCACCAAGACCAAATACAGTAGGTGGTTTACAAAATAAGCTACTGCTGGCTGTGGAGGCTTCAAATGATTCATGAAATGATCTTAGGCAGCTGCTTTCTTATCAAAGGGGGCTGTTAACACAACCTCTAATGCTATGATTCATAACAGTCACAGCATTGAGATCTGCACACTTGATGCCAGATGTGACCTTAATTCTAGACACTATTCAAACTTGCTCCCTTTTAACATTAAGCTTGTTCATTTCTTCTTATGATTTGAGCCAGCCCTGTTAGAAAATTATCAAGGAGTGCATAAGTGTTCCCCTCTGAATGAAGATTTCTTTTTTTTTTTTTTTTTGGTAAAGTAGGGTGGGGAGATTAGAGTCTCCACAGGAAGTAAGCAAACTGGACTTAATCTCCAGCATAAAGTCACAGATTTGGAGATATGTTTACATGCTGCCACATTACAGCTTTGAGATTAAGAAACTGATGCAATTTTAGAGCAACAGAAACTAGTGATGCACGATATGAAAAATTTCAACCGATAAACGATAATTTTCTTCTTCTCACGGCCGATACCGATACCGATAACCGATAAATTCATATTTTTACATTTATTATAATCTTCATATAATCTGCAGTTTGTGCAGGATGCAGCGATTGAAAACTGATATTTTTGTTGCTCTCGCCTATCTAGAACAACAAACAAAAGTTTTTGGCTCTTCAAATGTGGTCATTTGCTATAAATAACAATAACAGAGCAAAAAGCAGAACTTCATTTGATCCCCTGAACTGTTCAACAGAACTGTAAACTGTAAAGGAGCCATTATGAGCCGTTAGGCTTAGCATGCTGACCGGACTAACATCTGACGTCCATATGTTTGTGGTAAAACTCACGTACAGTCCGTTCTTGTCGATCAGGTTGTGAATGTATGTGGCGACAATATCATAGAGTGCAGGAAGAGACACATCCGAGAAGAAGCGGCGGCTTGGGAGAGTGTAACGTGGCTCCAAGTGTGCTATGAACTTACGAAAACCCGGGTTCTCAACGACGGAAAAAGGCTGGTCGTCGACCGCTATGAATTCCATCACTTTGTCGTTAATGGCTTTAGCCTTTTCGCTGTCTCTTGAGAAGCTTTTGCAGTTTTCAAACGCCTGCTGAATGGGGACAGATTCGTTGTGTTAAAACTTGACGTCTTCTTTCCTCCTCTTGAAATCCTCGCTGAACAGGTTTTGCATATAGCAATGCTGTTGTCATTTTCTGCCACTGAGAGAAACGACCATGCTGGTGAAGACATTTTATTATCTGTCAGGCAGTGACGGGGTCAGGCTTGGGACCTGCGAGTAAGGCTTGATAGACGACGTGACCAGCACGTCTCGGACGGGCGGATACTCCGCCTGCAAACGTTACTCGTAATTTCATTAATATATCGGATCTTTCTATCGGAAAAATGCACCTATCGGACCGATAAAAAATGACGTAATTTCCCCCCAAATCGGCCGATATTTTATCGGTCCGATAAATATCGTGCATCCCTAACAGAAACTGATTACACTTTCTCTTTTATTCCTTGTGTGTCCAGTGCTGATGACAGCCCATATCCTCCTCACACTACTCCTTACAGGCTATTTGTCAATGCTTCTTACTTGTGGAGGATCATAAACACTTCATAAGATTGATCTAATTTCCATCCATCTCAGTGATTTCATTCGTATATGTAGTTTCCTAGACATGTGAAATGTAACATTACCCACCGAGCCTGTTGTCTTTTCGTCAGCCTACTACTATGGGAAGAAGAAGAGTAAACGAGTGGGCCGTCCACCTGGTGGACACTCCAACCTAGAGGGAGGAGTTAAGAGAAGAGGAAGGAGGAGGAAGAGGAGGAAGCAGCTCTTTGTGCACAAGAAAAGACGTTCTTCAGCATCAGTGGACAACACACCTGCTGGATCTCCTCAGGTAATACACTCATACACTCTTCCATTAATAATAATAATAATAATGCCAAAAACCTCTTGAATCTGCGCTGATGGAGGTAACCATTGGCTCACAGGGTAGTGGAGAAGAAGAAGATCTTGATGAAGACGACTCTCTGAGTGAAGACTCCGGCTCAGAGTTGCAGGATGACCTCCAGGATGATTCCGAACAATCATTTGGGAAGTCTCAGCCCACCACACCATCGCCCTCCCCACCAGCAACACCTAGGCCCACCCGCAGGCGCCGGAAACCCCGCTCACCTTCATTCTCTGATGATGAGAACAGACCTCCATCACCCAAGGTGAGACAAATCACAAAGGGTGTAAAATTACTTTGTACGAGATGATGGAAAAAAGGTGTTGATAACTACTAGAAGATACTCAGCTTGTGGATTTTATTGTAGATACGGACTGGGAAGGTTTATGAAATATTCTCTTATACACCACTGGTATATATTTTTAGTCCTGCCTTTTCCTTCAGAAAATACTGCCTCTCTATGTCTGCTCAAGTCCTAAAAGATTTCAAACAATGTATTCACTGTGACCTGAACTCGCTCTAAACAGCTTACAAGGGAACAAACAAGATACAAGTATTGTGTTTTTGCCTGAAATATTTGTGTGATAACCCCTCTGCTCAGCATAATTTCTAAGGTTTTAAATAAGTTGTGTGTCTTTCCACTTCAGCCCTGAGATCTCTCACAGTCTCTGTCTGACTCACCCTGTCTGTGTGTTTATAGACCTCAAAGACTGAGCCCCCTCAGAAGTTGTGTTTGGACACCAGCCCCCTGGAGTGGAGTGTGACTGATGTGGTTCGCTTCATCAGGACCACCGACTGTGCACCTCTTGCACGGATTTTCTTGGATCAAGTAAGAAATACTCACATGCTCGATAACCACTCCTGCTCTTCTTGTCTAACGTAAGAGGTGTATCTGTATACTGTACAGTTGTTTTGTTTCCAGGGTCACTAATTCAAAACATTTCATATCTGATCGTAGAAGCTTTCTTATATGAATTTGTCTTCATAGGAGATTGACGGGCAGGCGCTGCTGCTGTTGAACCTCCCCACAGTGCAGGAGTGTATGGACCTGAAGCTGGGACCAGCCATTAAGCTTTGTCACCACATTGAAAGAGTCAAGCTGGCTTTTTATCAACAGTTTGCCACGTAGCTGATGGGGAACAAACACGGACCTGACCGCATTCTGCACTGGTATTAATCCTGTGAAAAACACTGTTTTTTCTCATCGTGGCATTTTTTACTCTGGACATCCTTGTGAATCTCACATTTATTACATCAAGTTGGACAAGCATGGACATGAGACCGAGAAGAAGCGACCGTTTTTTCCATTGGAAAATTAACAGAAGTCAAGACCCACCAATGAAAAAGTTTAGATGCTTTTCAGAAATTTCACAGAGGAGAGACAGAGGAATCCGAGACACTCAAAAAACTTGGTTTAAGTAAAATACAATGATTAATCCCAGCATGCTTTGCAGATTAGGACTCGAAAAAGCCATGAATAAGGCCTTGTTTCCTGGTTTTAACAAGTTTGGTTCTAAAAAAAGACTTTAAAACTTATTTGTGGCTGCTAAGTGTCTCAGATCATTTTTGTTTGTCTGTTGCCGTTCGGGGAAAAATGACTAAGCGCTTGTTTTACAACCGCAACATGTTTTCTTTTCATAATTTACATCCGTACTGCTGTCTTCAATAGTTAATACCTCTAAACAGCTTGTGTTGTAATACCTAAGATCTATAACATTTGGTGTTTTCTTGTCAACAATGGCTATTATATGCTGCACTCAGAATTAAGGTAATCTTGCCCTGAAATCTGATGGTTTTTTTTTTTTCTAAAGTCCTTTTTAACAAAAAGATGGTGAACATTTATGTTGCAAATGAGGGTACACACAGCATATGACAACCAACTTACACTGATGCACTTAAAAAACAGTTTCACTTCATATCTTAAATGTTTGAGGATCCACAGATTGTGAGTAATTTTCTTAGTGGTCGCTTGATGTTTGAAACTAAAGAGTTTAATAGTTGGATAAATTGATAACCAGTGAATAATTCCAGTTTCTGCAGAGCCTGAGATACAATATTGAACTACAAACAGTGTAGTGCTGATATATTCCAATAGTCATGAGCCAATGTCGGACAAGAGTTTGACTGAAGCTTAAACATCTTCAATGTATACTGTAGTCATGTCATTTTAAATGTGATCCTGCTGAATTGAGATAGTTCCCTCAACAACAGATGCAAAGAAGGGCAATTTATTCTCCAGATAAAACAGCTTCTTCGCTCAAGCTTCTTCAGTCTGTAAAAGCTGTTTGCTGTTTTTAAAGTATTCTGTAACGAAAGCACAAGAAAAACTGTACTGAATGGTTTATGCAAATGAACGTGCATGTTTGTAAATAGTGTATATAATCTAATGTCTTCTAGTACAACAGGGTCATCAAAAAGAAGAATTATTGAGCAATTAACTTTTAACATAAGCAATGTGTAAATCTCAAACATTATATTTGCACAGAATAAGAGACTGAAACTCTCATATGGCGTGTATGGTTTGAAGAAATTCAGCCACAGTTGATTACTTTAGCTATTTCATATCAGTCATTTAATTACATTTTAAAACAAGATATATGAAAATGTTCTGTGTCAGTTTTTCCTCTGTTTGCCAGTATCTGTAGTAAGTGTGATCTACTGTGATGTGCTTATTTTTCTTAGTAAAACCCCTGCAAATTGTTTGTTCAGCTCTTTTGCTTGCGGTTCCCGCTGTACTTAAGCAATGCAAACATTTTCTTATTTCATATTTTCTGATCATAACAGCTTTTAAACAAAGAAACGAAATTAAAATCCCGAATAACCTCTGTATGAGTGTACTGATGTTTTTCCTACATTTCCCAGCATGCAGTTTGCACTTACGTAGGTCACATGATACTACGTCTGTCAACATGAGTGGGCACTGCTGGGCAGGGAAGCAGCTGGATGTACGCGAGCAGTGACCTGCGATTATTTATCACATTTTTGAGAAGCGTGCAAACGGTTTTCGCAGCTGTAACAACTAAAAGGAACTACTGCATACATTTTTTAAACATTTAGTAGAAAAGCGCGAGTTTTTTTCAGTGCAGCGGTCGCATTACAAACTGACTAGTTAGCTTGGGTGCTAGCTAGGTAAGTAGCATCTCAGTAGCCGCTGGATCTTCTCTCAACTATGGACGCTCATCTCAGGCTGAATTTGACTTCTCAGAGGTTTGCCTGCACGGTCTGAGATGTGTAATTAAACTCGTAACTCCGGTTTTCTCTTTGAGTTGCTGTATGACATACATCTGGTGTGTCCATTTCAAATAATAGTAAGAAATGTGTGTTTTTCCTGCTGCGCGGACCTTCTCGACCTGATATTGATATTTGTATCTGAGCTAAAGTGTGCAGACGAGCCGGATACAGCTGCTAAACTTCCAGTAAACCTTAACTTCTCGTATAATAAAAACAGCTATGGCTGTATTAATGCCTGGGGCAGGAGAATGAGTCCGGAGCTGGAGGTGAGACGATGCCACCATCTTTCACTGAAGACTGTCCAGCTTAACATATCGATTAGCTGACCAGAAACTGTCTGAGAGGACGAGGGGAGTGCCAGAGTCAGCCTTAAGCTATCATTAAGTCTTGCCCAGCTGTTAGCGGTGTCAACATGCCGTCCCAGGTCGGAGACATGACTCTAGCCGGGCCAGGAGGAGCAGGGCTGCCCGCCAACACGTCGGTTCCCTCCAGCCCGACCCCAGGCACTGACCCCCGGGGATGCGAGAATGGCGCCTTGATGGACTCGTTTGGGATTTTCCTGCAAGGTCTTCTGGCGGTGATGGCTTTCAGCACGCTTATGTGTGAGTATGGCAAGAGGCTTGTTGTGGTTCTTATATCTGACCCCAGTCATCCAATAGCATCGCTTGGTTGATCAAAGATGATATTGATCTCAGCTGTGAGGCTGTGGCTAAGACAGGAAGAGGCAGACACTCAGAACAAAGACTTTTCTGCCTCTTTAAATCTAAATGGAGAGTAATCAGTTCAACGTAACACTGCATATGCATCCCCGTTTTGTTTGTTAAAGTGATTGGTTGCAGTTTCAATAGAGGCTGCTTGCTCTCTTTACTACATGACAAACACAGTGATAAAGATGAGGAAGTTAATCCACAGGGGACTTTTAGAGTATTTGCTTCAAGGGTTTCTGCAAGTTCAAGAGGCTTGCAGATCCAAATCCATTTTAAACTAGAAAAGCACTCGGAGAGCGCAGACCTCCGCCAAGCAGCTCATGTCCCCCCATATATTGTGATTCACACCAAAACTTTTACTGTTACATGTCTTTTATTATCTTCTATTTGTGTTTAAACTGGTATGTTCACTGTTCATAATGTTCCTAAAACAAGAAATGCCCTGACCCAGATTCAAACCCAGGACCTTCTTACTGTGAGGCAACAGTGCTAACCACTACACCACTGTACCGCCCATCTATTCCACTGTGCCGCCCATTGGTTATCTTTCAGCATTGAAAATTCCAATGACACCCTTATTTTTGTGTGTTCTGGATCACAGTATCCGGAATTTTGTCTGGATCAGGATCAACCTTTGACGCCTCATAAAACTCATTGAGATCCTTTTGTGTCATTTTTTACTAAAGACTCTGCCCATTTTTATAGAGTTAAATGCAAAAATTCCCAAATTTGCCCTATCTCACAATGATTAAGAATCCTTCAAAAAATTCCTGGATCCAGAAGGCGATCCGGATCACCACCAAAATGTAATGGGATCCTCCTGGGGCTGAGACGCACCTCTGGTGAAAATTTCAGGTCAATCCACCTGTAACTTTTTCTGTAAAGTTGTTCACAGACAAACAAACAAACAAACAAACCAACGCTACCGAAAACATAACTTCCTTGGAGGAGGTAAATACTGGTTTTCCAAACAAATACAGGCCCGATGTATTTAAAGGTGGAGTAGGCAGGAATCTGTTAAAGAAGCATCTTTTTTGTGGTGTATATGCAAAAAATCTTTTAATATCAGTCAATAGCTATTAGTTATTGATGACATTTAGTAATATCCCGATATAGCTGTGTTTTGTTATGTCTGTATAGTCAACAGTTTACCTTTTTTTGAGCGGCCCACTCTTTCTGACAAAGCCATTCTCCGCCTCCCCCAACCTGATTGGTTGTGAGGCAGATGCTGCTCCCGTGTTGTTCAAGAGCCCAAACAAAGTTAGCGTGCTACAATATCAGACAGTAGAAACCAACCAGAGAGTACGGAAAATTGTCTAAATCCTCCTTTGACCATGACTGCTGACACAAGCAAGAAAACGAAAGTATTTACCAGAGACTCTGGCGGAATAAGGGGCGCTTAAAAAGCCGGGAAAGAGCTAAGAAGCTGGGTCAACATCAGCATAAACGATGGGGGACGCATCGGGATCTTACGGACCCTGTAACCTTTCTGCTGGACAGGTAAACCGCTTTAACAAAGTAAGCCAAGTTTCTGTGACAGAAGTGTTTCTTTAAAACGGAACCTGCTGCGTGTTGTAGCGCCGCTTAACTGTTTACTTCGGGTCCTGGAGTATGTCATGTTATCCTAGTTGTAGAAGTCCTGCAAACATTGTATTTGCTGGTAGTCTGTTGGCATCTACAGTAGCACCAATGCTTTTTACTTTCACGTTGACTGGGCCACATTTGTAATTATCTGAAGTATTTATCTGCATTATTATCTGAATTTAATTGAAACGATACGAGCGAGCAGTAGCGTCTGTTTGTGGGTGGGGCTTTCTGGAGCAGAGGGGAAAACTGCTTGGGAGGGGTAGTGTTTACACTCAAGATTTCTCCCCAAAACTGGCACTTCCTCAGATCTCGCCTACCCCACCTTTAAGATAACTTTTGCCATGTGAGGTACACTCCCCCAAATGTGTTAATCAATCTATTCTGCAGCTACTGAATACATGCTTTCTTGAATTTATATGAAATCTACTCATCTAGCACCTGCTTTACTCTTCAAATAACAAATAAAATGATAAGTATTACACAAAGAGTATTACACAGTCAAACAGGCATGCACACTGATGTTGTAGCCTTTGGGAATCAGTTTGAGCCCCAGTATCTTCAAGTGGTCTGCTGGATTCAGAAATTGCTCAAATTGATAACTCCCCTCTGATATCCACCTTTATAAGTGGCTCCGGACCTTTTCCCTCTGCCACCCACTTCTTGTACTCAAAGACAGAGCCACCCCTCCTCCAGGCCCTCAAAATAAGTCATGCACCTCTATCAAAACTATCCTAGCAAAAGACATTAGCAAACTATAACTGTCAAAACTATCCATGTATTCCTTTCTATGTCTCTGGTCGAGGCAGCTTCATATACAACCTCGTTTTGACAAAGGAAGTATTGGCATGAATTAAGCCAAAGTACCACAGGGTGAGTTTCAGGCTCGGCACTGTTAGCTGTGTGACCTAATGTGAGCAGTTCCAGTTTTGTTTGTCCCAGCAGCCCTGCAGCAGCGTAGAATGTTCAGCATTTAAGCGTCGTTCTCTTTTTATTTGTTGCTGGAGGCGTTTCTCTGAGCTGAGGCCTCCGCCTGCATTCACATCACACCCAGCTGCAAGCAGGGTGTGTTAGGTCTGAAGTCACACTTGTGCTTGAAGCAGAAACTGAGGTCATGGCTCACAGAATGACTACACTGCATGAATACACAAAAAGCCGGGAAAAAAAACTGCGTAATGTTTAGGTTTTGCTGGGTTTGAAGTGTTTACGCAGCTTTAAAAAAATGCACATGTCGTCTGCGTATCATTCAAGAAAAGTAACCATAACAAGACTGCCTTCTTAGGGCAGCTCTGTGCCACTCAGGAGAAGATGGTAGAAGGGTGTCATGGCAAACAAATCACTATTGTGTGGAACAACAAGGGCTTTATTTGTGCTGAACACGCCACTGAAATCAGAGTTTAGTCTTTGAGCATAACAGAGCAATACTTTTTTATTTGGAGAATTTAATTAAAGTAAGGACTTATGAGAAGCCTACAAAGACACCTATGAGTACCTATGACATTTGCATGTGGCTGAGGTAGCTGTCATGAATAAAATAATGTTTTCAGAGACTGTCATGGCGCTGCTGTAGAACAGGTTTGCTGTCTATAAACTGTCTCGTCAATGAAGAATTAATAGCATGACTCACTTTATCCTTGTGGCCATTTTAACAGAAAAGTTTCACTGTTACCTGTCACTCTGGCAGCAGGTTAAGATGGAAGCTAAAAATATGTCAGATCAGTAGATTTTTAGCTGCTGCATGTGGTGTTAGCCTTTAAGTTTGTGTTTGACCACCACGTCTGCTTTTTCTGTGACCAACAACATGCTGCCTTTTGTTACTTCTGCTACAAGGCGTAAATTTAGCCTCTATCATGCAGACCTTCTCACTTTAACCTCCTAAGACCTGGCGTCCACATGTGTGGACATCACATTTTTGGTTATCAAGACCACAATATTGAATTTTGTTCACAAGGGCCTTCTCTCAAAATTTAAAACGAATGTCCTCATATGTGGACATCATTTTTCTCAGAAACTACATCATGTAAAAAGATCATTCTTTGTTTTTTACACTCATCAGGTCCCAATTAGCCTAAATATCAAAGAGAAAATAAAAATGCATGCCTTGCAAGAGTTCGGGTCTTAGAAGGTTAAGGCAGACTTCAGGCCTGACGAACAAACATGACATTTTTGTGAGCCCACTTGTGTAATGTTTAACAACTCAAAAAGGGGAAGTTGACAGATTCTGTCTTGTTGACAGCTCACATGAGGGTTATATCTCAGCCAAATTAGAGCTAGGGTAATTCTGTGTCTTTATTTATATTGTCCTCTGTTTTTAATTTGTAATTTTGTTTAAAAAGCTCCACTATCTTTATTTTTCTGTCTTTCCTTCATAGTGAAACGTTTCAGAGAGCCAAAACATGAGAGGAGACCCTGGAAGATCTGGTAAGACAGCCAAGCCAGCATGAATTCATATTACTGCATCAAATTAATCTCTCTGGACAACAAGCTGTCCTGTCTCCCTGCAGGTTCCTGGACACCTCAAAGCAGGCCATCGGGATGCTGTTTATCCACTTTGCTAATGTCTTCTTGTCAGACCTCACAGAGGAGGATCCATGCTCTTTGTGAGTCAATTTTGATCTTTCTTTCTTCTCATCGCTGCATGGTAGACTGATCGACTGTCCAGAAACTGTGTGAAAATTAAAGGACACTCCAAATGCCGTCTGTATTCACAATTACATGTCTCTTTCACACCCAGATACCTCATTAACTTCTTGTTGGATGCTTCTCTGGGCATGTTAATAATCTACGCCGGGGTGAGAGCCGTCAGTGCAATCGTAGAGTGGAGGCAGTGGGACTCTCTACGATTTGGAGAATATGGTGAGGAGAATATGTGTGAGTCGGTAATGAGGGTGTTCTGAATATTCCTCAAATACCTGCAGTGTCCAATGGAGGGCAGTAACTGCCCTCAGCTGTGCTGTGCTGTGCTGCAATGTCAGATCGAACACCGCCAGTGCACACTTTGTCCCCAAAACACTTGTCCACCATCTCAGTGTAACGCTGAGGTGGTGAAATCTAATAATAATGGTTCCGTGCCACATATCTAAATATCAAAGCAGATATTTCTGTTGGTGTTGTTGTTACAAAATCTGGCTCTCTTTTTCAGTGTGTGCTTGATTGTGTTTTCTTTGTGTATGTGTGTGTGTGTCTAGGAGAGCCAGTACAGTGCACAGCGTGGTTGGGCCAGTGCGTCCTTTACATCCTCATCATGATGTTTGAGAAGGTCCTTATCATGCTCGTCCTCCTCATCCCTCAGTGGAAGAAGGTCAGAAAAACACATGATTATAAAATACAGTGAATGCATGTATTTCCTTTTGTGTTATACTTGAATTTGTTAATTTTCACTACATGGGGATGTTGCAGAGCTGATTGACTGAGGTTTTGAACATATGAAAAAAAATGTCATTATGCTACATCTCGCCCAGTATGCTTGTCTGACTGTTGTGTCTTGTGCTTGTCTTGTTTCCTCCATCTGAAATTATTCAGTAGGTTCTTTGTCGTCTTGTTATAGATGCAGAGCATTGCAGGTTTTATTTCACAAGGACAGTTTTTCATACTAGTTTTTAGAAAGCTTATATTCACAAAGAATGGTTGTGATTCACCCAAGGTCTGACTCACAAAGCATATTGCACGAATGATATTCAAGCACAAAAATGCTCACAGAGTTTCGCAAGTCCCTAAAGCTCGATCTTGTTGTGTCACATTGTGAAGATGAAGAGAAGCTGTTTGCATGTCTGCTCTCTGCTGCACAGGGATGTGCTGTGTGCTCCCATCTGACCGTGCTCAATCATGTCCTCATCTGATGATGAGCTAGATGGGAAGGGGACACTCGTCACTATTTCAGATGTGATATAAAGTTCCAATTTAATACAGCGTACCTTCTGCAAAGAGCAGGCCATTCAGATTAAATCACACTCACACTCTCTGCTGTTCAATACAATTCTTGTTTATTTATTTATTTATACGGCGCCAAATCACAACAGTCTTCACCCCAAGACGCTTTCCAAAAGAGCAGGTCTAGACCGCGCTCATTGTTTGATGTATTACAAAGAGGTTGTGTTGTGTAGCACTGCCTGTTTGTGTGGAGGCTGAGCTACAAAGAGTCCCTGACTGATGTAACCTGTGAATTTCATAGCAAAAGAAATTTCAAAGTAACAAAAATGTAGAGGGTACATCACTTTTAGGTCAGTCAGAGGCGGAATTGTTGTTGTGATCACTCGGAGGTTTGAGTCTGGCATTTCCATTTAAAGAATTTGTCCAATCTAAAAATTAATCAAGTCGAGTGAATTTGTCTTTGTAGCTCATTTGCACAGGTTACCTGGTGCAATTGAGTTCCAGAGAATAACAGGAGTCATCACGAAAACCAAAGTAGCACCATCAGTCAGCCAAGACTGACCTCAAAACCACCGGATGAAATGATCAAAATCCAAGACTGACTTGACCTTACAGTGATCGTTCAGTGCTTGATTCCACATTTTAAAAAAATGCTGTTTTTCATCAGCCAAGCAGTGCCAGACTCATCTGCCAGCCCGGGCACAAGGCTGTTGTTTTATGACCAAATACAAACAAACTTCCAAGCTAAATATCAGGTTGATCTTTGGTCCACCAACATCAAATGACAATGTTTGTGGTACGAACAGACCTTAGGCCAAGGTGTGAGACAGAGAGAGTACGATTCAGAGGTTGCTGTGACAGGTTTGAAAACCAAAAGAAAAGGTCTTTGAAGACAAGATTCTAAGGTGTATCAAACCCTTCATCAAAAAAAAAAGACCTGTTTCGAGCACATTTCTGCCTTGTTGTTCCCATGACAATGAAGCTTGTTGCACAAATCCAGTAACCACTCTTCATGAAACAGATCCCTGATATTCTGCAGAAATCTGGAGGTAAAAAAGGATCCCTTTAAGTCTTGTTTCTTATTTAGGGAGCCATATTTTGTCAACACTATTTTACCACTGAAGAAGCTGTTTCAGAAAAAGCAACATATATATATATAGAGCTTGTATTTACCCTTTGATCATTTCTGTAGTTCTAGTTGTTAGCCATTAAAAAGGGAGGAGGAGGACGAGGTTTTTAAGTGAAGAACATAACACAGTAGTAATGGGCAGGATCAGAGGGAAGATTAGATGAGTCGCTTTTTCAAGAGGAGGCTTGAATCAACATGAAATGAAATTTCCCCAAGGCTGCTTTCACTTGTTCAGACTAAATGTTCCATTTTTATTCCCAACGAGGGAAAAATTAAAGCTGATCAGCTTCTTGATTTGGAGCATCATAAAAGAAACATTTCACTGATGTTAAGTTTTTTTCTTTTTTTAATGTGCTATCACTAGTTTTAAGATCATGGTTCACCACCAGTCCTGCTTTCTCTGGGATAGTTATTTATTTGACGGGCAAGTGGTTTCTCGCAAGTCTTTGGGCAGCAGTGAAGGAGCTTAGTCAGTTTCCTCTCTCATGAAACAGTTGTATAATGACACAGAAGTGTGCATTTGTGACACTGTTAGTGATCCAGTGAAGTAAAAGGGGCATAAAAACAGGTGTTTCCTGACCAGGAATTGAACGCGGGTCGCAGTCGTGAGAGTGCCAAATCCTAACCACTAGACCACTAGGGAGGTAGGAGGTATTTAATTTAGTTGTGCTGGTATTTTTCCAGGGATTAGCATGCTTCAAAATTTTACTTGAGGTCTTTTGTTATTTTTTATATATCTTCAGACATCCTAAGTTTTTTGCTTTTCCGTAATCAAGGCTGAAAACCTTCTTACAGCGAGTGTTCACGTTGTATTCGATTAAATAACTTTCTCTCAATGTTTATCTTCTTACTACTTAAAATGCCTCTTCTGTTTCTCTGATTTAGTCACAAGAGAGCTGAATTACATTCATTCGGATGCGCAACTGAGGGTGTGCCACAATCAGTTTGCTTTATTTCTTACACCTGTATGCTCTGTTGTTAGGTTTTTTTTTTTATGTTGTCAACACCTGCACGTATATGAGGCCCCCCTTGAGTGGTCAGAGGAATCCTTTGTGTACACACTCAGTACTGTCATGATTGTTTCTGTTGTTGTTTCACATTGTTCTGTGCAATATCTCAACACTTTGACAACTATGTCTAAAGATATTGCCAGTGAATATGGTTTGACTTCTAGTGTTGTCGGTTCAGACTTTTAAGTAGAAGTGAAATCAATATTGAATGAACTCACTTTAAGAGATACGCTGAGTCCTTTTTAATTTAATACAATGAAGATCTCAGAACTCAGTTGAAAACGCTTTTCTGGTCCGAGTTTGATCAGTCGATCTTCCTGTCGGCGTTAAGAGCAGTAGCCTACAGTATATCTACAGTGTAAAGTATACTTTAGATAGATATTTTTATATAACTTCATTTAAAAAAATAAATAATCGGTAAGTTTTAATCCCCTAATAAAATCGAGCCCTAATTTGTACCCCGTCTGATTATGTTACAGCTCCTTTATCAGGTCTCAGCTGCCAGTGCTGATCTTTGATCTCAGGCCTCTTAGAGTTGTGCTGTCTGTGTTGCTGCTGTGTATGCTTAGTCTGTTCTGTTGCATATGTGTTATATATGTTTGTGTTTGTCGCAGCTGGCACTCCTCAACCCCATACAGAATCCTGACCTGGAGCTGGCCATCGTTATGCTCATCGTCCCGTTCTTCATCAACGTAAGTCTGCTGTTATTATGTGTTGTGTTTTTCTTTGTACCTTTTGTGTTGTGTGTCTCCTGGGATCCTGCATGTCTGTAATCATCCCTATCTGTTCATACCACTGTGATGTCTTGTATGTGTCTAAAAGAAAATCAATTCTCCACAGTTTTTATAAAGAATCATTTCCATCAGGAACATAATAGGCCCTGTAATCTTCTGTGTTTTTGTAGGCTCTCATGTTCTGGGTGGTGGATAATTTTCTAATGAAGAAGCACAGGACAAAAGCAAAGCTAGAGGAGAGAGAGGAGGACTCACGGGGGAACAGCAAGGTGCGCTACAGAAGAGCTCTGTCCCACGATGACTCTGAGTCAGAAGTAAGTGTCACTGTTAATACACATCTGTAGGAAGCACATGAAAAAGGACTCCAAGAACATCTAAACAAGGTCAAACTCGAGCAATAAAAATATAGGAGTCTCCTTTTTACATGTGCTTATACACTCTTATTGAACAAATGCTATGACAAGAGATTAAAACGATGAAATAAGAGTATAATGAAACAATTCAAGCTTCACTATCCAGACAGTGTGGTTTAACAGTTGAAGGGGGGGAAAAAAAACAGATGTTTGACTATTTCAAAATAGTTTGCTGAGGACATACAGGTGACTATGGGTCATCATCCGACTGGACAGTTGCTGAGAAATGGACTTAAATATACAAAGGTCACGTATTGCAGCACTGCGTATCACACAGCAAATAGGTTGCCATTCTAATCAACGCAGCATCACATACAAATACTGAGTTTCCTGAATACTAAACCAAAACTGTAAAGTTACGTTGCATTTTTGACACGTAGTAGAGGCTCAACCTTCACAGGGTTGTATCCAAATTAACAGGAAATCGACCACAGAAAGGCAAAACAACCTGTGAGCATGTTGTTTCCTAAATACTGAGCCCAGCTGACCGGGGCTGCACTTTGCTGCTGCCACTCCAAATACTCATCCTGTATGCGATACCAAACGCTGCTCTATGGAGCAAATACAGAACACACTTAATACGGATCCTGTATGTTTTCAATCCCTGATCCATGTGGACCCCAACAGGACTTTTAGCTGCTGACTCTGTTTGAAGGAGTTCACCTGAAAAACCAAAACTTTACAGTCACGTTGCATTTTTCACACATATAGTAGAGGCTCAACCTTCACAGAATTGTATCCAAATTAACAGGAAATCGACCACAGAAAGGCAAAACAAACTGTGAGCATTTTGTTTCCTAAATACTGAGCCCAGCTGACCGGGGCTGCACTAAGCTTTGCCCCATACCAAATACGGAACACGCTTAATACAGATCCTGTATGTTTTCAGGCTTAAGTCTTCACTGTTAGAAGACCTAAAACATGTGTCTTATGTTTCTAGGGTGTGGATAAAGCATGGCAGCTCAGCTATAGAAGTCCAAACTATTGTGTACTATGATTAAATTGCACATGGAAGTAGGCCTGGGTGATTTGGCAAAAAAAATGATCACAACATATTTTGTCATATCGTCCGATCTCAATTATTATCACAGTTTTTTTAGACTGCCAGTATCTGTACTAAAAACTAAGAAACAAGAGGTTAGTTCAACATTTTATTAACATACATAACATAATCTGTCACATAGCAGGTGTTTGTATAATGAGCTTTGTACAATTAAAAAGTATCAATGACTTTGAGAATGTTAGGTATTTGTAGTATGAATTTATGAATGTAAAAAATATATAAGACTTAACAGTATTTTGAAAGTTACCAGTGTGTCCATTCTCCAACCTTTTTTCCTCAAAATCCCATGAGCGTACGCCTTCTTTTGTGAACACTCATTTTAAATGCAGAAACACACTGAGCTGTGCTTTAAAAATGGCACAATGGCTCCTCCTGGTTACATGATCATTGCAGACATACAGTGGATATAAAAAGTCTACACACCCCTGTTCAACTGCCAAGTTTTTGTCATGTAAAAAAATTAAATCAAAATAAATAAATTCACAACTTCTTCCACCTTGAATCTGACATATAACCTGTACAACACAATTGAAAAACAAACCGAAATCTTTCAGGGAGGTGAAGTAAAAATAAACAACTGAGATCATGTGGTTGCACAAGTGTGCACACCCTTTAATAACATGGGATGTGGCTGTGCTCAGATTTAACCAATAACATTCAAACTCAGGTTAAATTGGAGTCAGCACATACCTGTCATCAAAGTGCCTCTGATCAACCCCAAATAACGTTCAGCTGTTCTAGTCGGCTTTTCCTGATATTTTTGTAGCCACATCTTCCGGCACAAGCCATGGTCCGCAGAGAGCTTCCGAAGCATCAGAGGGATCTCATTATTCACAGATATCAGTCAGGTGAGGGCTACAAAAGAATTTCCAAGGAATTGAATATACCATGGAACACAGTAAAGAACATCATCATCAAGTGGAGAAAATATGGCACAACGGTGACATTACCAAGAACAGGACATCTGTCCAAAATTGATGATAAGACAAGAAGAAAACTGGTCAGGGAGGCTACCAAGAGGCTGACAGCAACACTGAAGGAGCTGCAGGAATTTCTGGCAAGTACTGGCTGTGTAGAACATGTGACAACAATCTCCTGCTGTCTTCATATGTCTGGGCTGTGAGGTAGGGTGGCAAGACGGAAGCCTTATCTTACAAAGAAAAACATCAAAGCTCGTCTTAATTTTGCAAAAAGACATCTGAAATCTCCCAAACGCATGTGGGAAAATGTGTTATGGTCTGATGAAACCAAAGTTGAACTTTTTGGGCATCATTGCAAAAGGTATATTTGGCACAAAATCAACACTGCTCATCACCAAAAGAACACCATACCCAGAGTGAAGCATGGTGGTGGCAGCATCATGCTTTGGGGCTGTTTTTCTTCAGCTGGAACTAGTGCCTTAGTCAGGGTGGAGGGAATTATGAACAGTTCCAAATACCAGTCAGTGTTGGCACAAAACCTTTGGCCTTCTGTTAGAAAGCTGAAGATGAAGAGGAACATCATCTTTCAGCACAACAATGACCTAAAGCGCACATCTAAATCAACAAAAGAATGGCTTCACTGGAATAAAATTGAGACTTTGGAATGGCCCAGCCAGAGCCCAGACCTGAATCCCATTGAACATTTGTCGGGTGATCTGAACAGGGCTGTGCATAGAAGATGCCCTCGCAATCTGTCAGATTTGAAGCGGTTTTGCAAAGAAGAGTGGGCAAATATTGCTACATCAAGATGTGCCACGCTGATAGACTCCTACCCAAAAAGACTGAGTGCTGTAATAAAAGCCCAAGGTGCTGCAGCAAAGTATTAGTTTAAGGGTGTGCATATTTATGCAACCAGGTTATTTTAACTTTTCTATTTTTTATTTTTTCCCTTAAAGGTTTCAGTTTGTTTTTCAATTGCATTGTACAGGTTATAGGTCACATTAAAGGTGGAAGAAGTTGTAAAATTATTTATCTTGATTTAATTTTTTTACATGACAAAAACCTGGCAGTTGAACAGGGGTGTGTAGACTTTTTATATCCACTGTAGCAGTAAAGGCTAAAACATACAGGATCCGTATGGAGCACGTATCGCAGCACTGCGTATCACGCAGCAAATAGGTTGCCATTCTAATAAACGCAGCATCACATAAAAATACTGAGTTTCCTGAATACTAAACCAAAACTTTAAAGTCACGTTGCATTTTTCACACTTAGTAGAGGCTCAACCTTCACAGAATTGTATCCAAATTAGCAGGAAATCGACCACAGAAAGGCAAAACAACCTGTGAGCATGTTGTTTCCTAAATACTGAGACCAGCTGACCGGGGCTGCACTTTGCTGCTGCCACGCTCCAAAAATGCATCATGAATGCGATACCAAACGCTGCTCTGTGGAGCAAATACTTCAAACAGATCCTGTATGTTTTCAATCCCTGATCCATGTGGACCACAACAGGACTTTTAGTTGCTGAATCTGTCTGAATGAGTTTACCTGAAAAACTAAAACTTTAAAGTCACGTTGCATTTTTCACACGTAGTAGAGGCTTAACGTTCACTGAATTGTATCCAAATTAGCAGGAAATCGACCACAGAAAGGCAAAACAACCTGTCTTGAGCATGTTGTTTCCTAAATACTGAGCCCAGCTGACCGGGGCTGCACTAAGCTCCATTTACCCCCATACCAAATACGAAACACGCAGATCCTGTATGTTTTCGGCTTAAGTCTTCACTGTTATAAAACCTAAAACATGTGTCTTATGTTTCTAGGGTGTGGATAAAGCATGGCAGCTCAGCTATAGAAGTCCAAACTATTGTGTACTATGATTAAATTGCACATGGAAGTAGGCCTGGGCGATTTGGCAAAAAAAATGATCACAACCTATTTTGTCAATTTTTGCCAGTTTTAAAGTATCTGTACTCAAAACTAAAGAAACTGGAGATTCCCAGCGAGCATTTTGAGGTTGATTATACGTCTAATAAACCTCTAAATTTAGACTAGATGTATAGTCTAAATTTGGTATAACAGAGGTATAGAAATGAAAGTTTTTTCAACGTCTAAGTTTATACGTTCTTTCAACGTCGAAATTCATACGTTCTTTAAATGTTTTGATTTATATGTTGTTTAAAAGTGTTTGTTTATACATTGTTCCGTCTATAATGTTGAAATGACATCCAATAGACGTTTTCATTTAAACGTCTTTATGTTAGATGTTCATGCTTCTACCAAATATAAACCAGGTTTAGACATAGACATTGATTTAACGTTTATTAGACATCTGGTCTAAATCCGCCGACCCGGCGGGGACCGGGCGAGCCTCCCCGTGCGCGGACGGTCCCGGCAGCGGCAGCCGCTGGAGCCCGCAGGTCCCCGGTCAGCCTACGGCGCCGACCGAACGACTCTAATAAACTTTCATTTCTATACCACTGTTAAACCACTTTTAGACTACAGGTCCAATGGACGTCTAAAGGCACAATCATTTCTTGTAAATATTTTAACAAATTTAATAAATATCAACAATCATATTACCATAAGCATCTGATATATGTAAATTGATGAAAATATTCACAGGAAACACCATCTGTAGAGCCAGATTCTCTACACCAAAAGTTACCTGCTGCTTACCTTGATACACGTACTCCCAGGATGTTCTATTTTGGCAATGTTGCTTCTCTTTCTGGACCTTTTAGAATATTTTGCTTCTACAGTCATGCTCATTCATAATTTAACACTGATCTACATTTGGCAACTATCAGTCCACTGTAATTGAAATCACAGTACATTTTTTACTCAGCATATAACCATTACAGTCATGGAGTGGGAAAAACAAATTTTTAATCTCACATCTAGTAAAATGAACATTTAAAAAAGACAAAAATCCATATATCTATATACAAACATAGCAACAAAGTATAAAGAACAAGAACAACAACATAAACAAACATAAATTTAACTAATACTAATACCACAGTACATAAACAGAGAACACAAAAGTACTGAAATGAACTATAATTATGAACTATTTTAAGATATATATATTTTTTTAAATTAGCAGGGTGGTGTTCTGGTGGTGCCCCTCCCACCATGTCGAGCTGGTGCCTGTTTCAAATGGTCCCCAATCGACGATGCAACCAGTTCCTCTGTTGCTGTTGGGAAGTTAGTGCGAACAGACTCTGCGAAAAGAAAAAAAAAACAAAAGAAACTTGAATCATAGTAAGTGTAGAAATTATCTGGTATTGTCCGGAAGGATTCTTCACTTTTTTACAGCTTCAGGCTTTAAATGAGTCAGTAACATGACCAAGAATAAGTAATAACTTGCAGAGATATAATTCATTTACCAAGAACAACTGCGAAGAAAGCAGTTTTCTTTAAGCTTTTTTTCCCCTGGCGTCCTCCACCCAGGAGGTTGTACTTCCTCTGCACGTCATTGTGTAAAATTCTGAAATGGATATCAAAGACAAATAAATCTCTTAAAGTACGTTCACACCGGACAGGCGACGCAACTTGTCACGTCTCGAGGGGCTGATGCATTGCGTGTCCTTAAACGTGTCACTTTGCCACCGTCATTTGCGTTGCGCATTACATCACTCCCACTCTAGGTTTCCCCTCGATCTTGTCGGATACTGTGTCCAGCGCTGCTCTTTACTTGCTGAACAAGTCCCTAAAACGTCAGAGAAACCCTCGCCGCAAGTGCCTGTGTGAACGCACCTTAATACTGCTTACTCTTGCAATTCACTAGAAAGACTTGATAAACACCAACAATACATGATTATATTAATAACATTGACCATTATATTGTCTTGCATTCATTTTCAAGTATTCATATTCATACCTGTCCAGGATCCTGCGTGTGCAGGTCTTAATGTCCTTCCCCCCAAGGTGTGACAGTTGTTTTATCTGTTTGATGTAATCAAATTATCAAGAGTGTCTAATGTATAGATTTCTATGATTTTTAGCATCTCTATTTGACTTACCAGTGAACGTTTTATGCTGGGGTGCCTATCGATTTCCAACGACATGCACTGAGCCTCCTCCAAAGTCCTTAACGGCAACTGACGTATCCGCTCACCCTCATCTTCAATGTCCCCCTGCTGGTTGAGCGATTTCAATTCATCGCGGATTTCCAAAAGTGTTTCCACGACCATTCGCTGGAACTCTTAGTGAAAAGATATGATTTAGTTACATTCAATTCAATAATTACAATACATTCCATAACAGCATTTTGTACTTCAGTTATGCCACTCTTACCTTTTTTACTGTCCACAAAACACGGAGTCTGCAATAGTGTGTGGACATCTTTGGGCAAATTGTGGCCATGTTTGCGGAGGATCGCCAACATCTTATTAACACTACTGTGAGTCTGCTTTGTTTCTACAGCCCAAGCTGCCACATCGTCTCTTAGGCTTGACAGTTCATCTTTGGTTTGGGATTCCAAGTCAACAAGCTCGGTTTCTTCATCATTTGTGTCTGGATATTCACTATCACCGTAGTCCTCTTGATTATCAGGCTCTTCTTTCACGGTTGTATTGAAAAAAGTACTTCCTAAAGTGTCCTCTAGCGTGTCCTCCAAATGCTGTGCTTCAAAAGATGTTGTCTCATTTGGTGGTTGGCCCGATTGACTTGCCCCACCCTCCTCTTGTGTGTCCTCCTGTGACACATCCTCATCACTGGTAGATTCATCTAAGAAATCATCCTCCCTAGCTCTTTTTCTCAGCCACTCTTTCAAATAATTAGAGGTCATATTCAATATGGCTGGAAAGAAAACACATGGAAAAAATAAAGTAGAAAAATAATCATGTTAATAACAGTGTGAGCTTGTAGGTCAACCATTATAAAATTGTTTTGTTTTTTTTAGTACAATTGGCAACTTGTGAAGCAGGACATAATGAATACCTTTTGTTCTTGATAAAAAAAAATGTAGATACCAATACTTTTAGATTTTTACTATTAGCATTTCCTATAGCACTGCTAATGAATTAACAAAATACTATTGGAATAATTCAACTAATGCGTCCCATTTTTACCACACAGTGAAAAAAAACATCTATGACAATTACAGTTAAACACAAATTTTACTATATAAAACAAATCACACTAGATAAACAAAAATAACAGTACTGGCATCAAAATAGATTTCAATTTCTAATTTAAATGGATAGCCTTACTAGCAGCTTTTAGCCTTGGCTCCAACAGAGAGAGCAGGCCCTTATTTACCTACACGACAACACACGTTAGCATGGACTATTTGATGCTGTTGGGCCCACGCTGGCTAAACTAGCCACAAGCTAGCCCTCGTAGTAGCAACCAGGCTACATGCGAACTCGAGTTTAATGTTTGCCGTGAATGCATTTCACCGTCACGCATCATGATGCACGACGGTGGGAGGACCAAAGCTCGCAAAAATAAACATTCCTATAATACCTCCTTCAGCACCCACCTCTTTTTAGCTGAAAGTATAACTCTCGAACTTTCGAACGACTGGAACTTCTGGTGTAGTCCGACGGTCGTGAGGTCGAGGCTGTGTCCGAAATGGTATACTGCCTACTATCTACTTACCTACTCAAGCAGTACCTACTGCATACAGGCGTTTTCGGAGACCGAAGCGTCCGCTTGGAGGGTGTTTGCGTCCATTTACCGTAAACACCGGGCAGCAGCAGCTCCCCCTTCACGTTTCCAAATTATTGCGAAGTGTTTTCATAATCAACATCTACACGACACAAACCGGGCGGCAGTGGATGAAAAAATCACACAAACATCTGTGTATCCATGGTGATAATGCTATACACCACCTGCTAGGCGTGTGATGAGCAGCAGAAGGCTGAAAAATGACCAACACACAACATAATTATTATGACCTCGTTCGGTTATTCCTTGGCAAATACATCATTTCCGGACTACATTCTTTCATGTACAATGATAATTTCAGAAACCATCAGATTTTCAACCACAAGTAAGAATTAGTGAAGCTCACATACATTGTCAACTGGAAACTCCCCCGTTTGTATATTCTGAACCATGTGCTCTCTACCAATAATAATTTTTATTAATCAGAGGTCTGTGCTATATATGAGTGACCACTTTGATGATGCATTCAGAGATGAGAAGATCCTCAAACTTGATGTAATAAATGCATCTTTAATAGAAACTAAAATAAATAGTCAATTCATACGAATAGTTAAAAACATTACCTATAATCCTAATTTAAAATACAAATAAATCTGGTAAAAAGATCAAAATATGATAAAATGATAAAAATTGTGTAATGTATGCTGTTATATGCTGTTGTATGCTGTTGTGTAATATTGTTTATCTATTTATATATATATCATTATTATTGCAATCACATGCCATTAATTTCTTTTCAGCCTCGGGAAAGAGGGCCATATTACCAGCTAAGGTGCGCAATGCATTGTGGGGCAGAAGCAGTACGTGAAGCAAGCTCCATTCCACACTCAGAAATCGAAGCCGATTGAGTATACATCTGAGCATTTCTCGCATACACAAAATTCGCATACTGTACAGAGGCGGGGTTAGTAGGAGTAGTATGCCATTTCGGACACAGCCCGAGTGTGGACAGAGCGCAATGCTTCAGCCGGATGTTGTGCGGTCCACAATTTGAAGCCGTTTTCATGTTATGGTCCGATTATGGTATGATCTCCATACGGGTGTAAAGCTGGGCTCTTGCAGAGCTACCAAATACTTTTTTGTCGCTCATCTCGTGTTCTTGCGGCTATGCCGATAACTTTTATAACGGACTACTTCGCTCTTGGTGGAATAAGAATCTACCCGAAGTGGTTGCACGGTGGGTCACGTGAGCGTGCTCCACCAATAAGGTGGCTGGATTATTGTCACGGCGGCAGTTGGCGTCACCGAGACGGATAAAACACATGAAATCTAATAATTAAATGGAATTTCAGCGACCAACTTTTGGTCGTTTGGTCATTCTGTTTACCTCTCCGGCAACTTACAGAAGTGAGCAGGAAAAGCTTGACTCTGATTGGCTGTTGTGACGCACATTTCCGCTGAGTAAATTAGCTCACAGCTGATCACCGTGATCGAAGTGAAATTTATCATGATCATCGATCACAATCATATAATCGCTCAGTCCTACATGGAAGCGCAGTTTCCCTGACCAGGATCTGAACGATGGTCTGTGGGTGCTAAATCCAGAGCACCAAACTATTTGCGACATCTAGTGGTAGGGTTGTAAACTGCAATTTTGAGAAATGGGCTCCAACATTACTCATATCAGTACAAACTGAAGTTGTATTGATACATGAGTGGCTTGGTTTTTATGTGTCTGCCTTTTGCTAAAGGCCAGTGTTGGCTGCAGCAGCTCACAGTAGAACAGTCACACTTGTTAACCAAATTCTCCATAATACAGCTTTATTAAAATCTTCTGTTAATGAAAAAAATAATCCCTAGATTCATCAGCTGGGCAGCAAGCTCCAGCAGGTTATTCACTCCTGTTACATTTGAGCGTATTGATTTTTGTGGATTGAGCTAATTACTTGGCATAGATTGCCTCATACATGAAAGCTCAGAACCTTGCCAAAACCCCAGAATTTATAATCCTGATTTAATTGTTTAATTTGTCCGCTCTATTTCTGAAAAGCTCTTTTTCGACCTGTTTGCAAAACTGTCTTGAAAAGGCTCGAGCTAACCGTGTTTATATACAGAATATAATTGAAAATTGTTCAAAACAGTGGGATAAAAATAAGTATGAATAAAAGAAGTTACTAAAAGGTGTTCAGTGATACAGATTAAGAATCGGTCATTGGAAGATCTGAGTTAGGAGCAGCTGGCCGTGATTGCCCCCTTATTTGTACAAGTGCGGTTGATTTTCCACTCAAACCTGCTCCTCTTCAGTTTTGATTGCTGTAAAGGAGGCTGACAAATGTGTAAGAGGTCTTCCTGTTAAGAAAGAAATCAGGAATAAGAATTTTAGCTGAAGCAGACATCATAAAGAAGTAATCAGGAAAGCAGGTTCCAGTTGCATATCTTTTTCCAGACTTAGTGGATAAGTGGCATAATGGGTGAACTGGACCTCTTAAGAGGGGTTTTACTTTTTTGTGGCCTAATGATTACAACAATGAAAGTTAGATTATGTCCTGCATGTCCCTGCAGCCTGTCCTTCAACTGAGGATTTACCATGTCCCATTTGGTGATTACTCACATTTCAGTTGGAGAAACAAGTGACATAGTTTGTTGAGGACAGTGTAAAGCAAACCTTTCTCTTTGTATTTATTTTGTCTCTATAGTAAAAGAACAGAAACTTTTCTGTAATCACCTCCTCCAAAAAACCTGTACTATTGTGTAAGTCATGTGTTGTCCTCGAGTTTAAAGGAGGGATAGAAAACAGAAATATAACTGCAGTTCATGCTAAAGTAAGACAGAGTGATAATCTGTTTCTAACATGCGTTTTATCTCTTGTCAGGGAGTCAGAGAGGAGGCTGCATGCAAGGGGGATTTCAGATTTTTTTAAAGAGTAGCTGTTTTTCAAGACATTTTACATCTGAATGGTCAAAGCAGCACAGACAAAAGCCAGCTTCATGGTTGGTTTCACTTTGCAGCACGCTGCTGCAGTGTGCCTCAGAGCACATGCTTCTATTGCAATGGGTAGTGGTGGGGGGATGGGCTTAGCTATGCACAAGGACGTAATGCACTCAGCTGCAGTAGACCTGCGTGGCGGGCCAGTGGCGCAATGGATAACGCGTCTGACTACGGATCAGAAGATTCTAGGTTCGACTCCTGGCTGGCTCGTACAACCTTTTTCTGTGTTGAAAGCAGCTACGGTGGAAGTGCAATACTGAAACTCTCAGCCACCACAATGTCGCATAGTTTCAAAATGGAGTGATAGTCAGAGTGATAGTCTTACTTCATGTTTAAAAACAGAAAAACAGATGCTATGGAAACAGGTCTTCACATTTTGCCCTACATTTAAAGTCTTGTGTGTTCCACTACTGTGCACATATTTTGCATTTGAGGATGATTAAGTTCCCTACACACTCCAAAATCATCCAGTATGAGCCAGTTTAGTAGTTTTCTACTTACTACAAATGATAAGTTTACTCAACCTTCCAGAAAACAAACCTTACGATTAATCTTAAACCCTTTTTAGCCCTTACAAATCAGTCTAATGTTTGTCTCCCGCTCTCTCTCTCTCTCCTTGTGTTCTTTTTCAGATCCTTTTCTCTGCAGATGATGAAATGGATGAGTCGGATGAAGATGATGTTCGTCGACTCACTGGCCTGAAGACAGTAAAGAAGAAAAAGCTCCGGATGGGAATCCCCGTTTGACCCATGTGTCTCGCTGAACTGCTACAATTGAACTCCCTGTGGTAGCTTGTCACAGGCCAGCAAATGTTTCCCTGTAACTTCACCGACTCTCTGTCTTACGAAGCTTGGATGCAGTTTGATGAAAGAGGAGTGTCCTGTTATTGAATTCCCTTTACTTCTGACTCCTGGAAAACTTCTGCTCGAACTGTGTTCAGCCTGGGATTTTATTCACACTGGGAGATATTTTTACTGTTAACCAGGTACTTTGGATCACTGTTGCATTCTGGCACCGCGCTCCTGAGGCGAGTGTTGTTAAAAGACTGTCTAGGAAACCCCATCCAACCATTACCAAACACAATATTGGTAAATCCTTTATGCACGTATAATAGGAGAACCTTAACACTGGTGATATACTGTATGGACAGTGCAGAGTGTGGGGGGGATCAGTGGTCCAGATCACAACTGAACCAAACATCATGCAAACAAAACGGTTCAAGGAGTTGGTTATGTTGAAACTCCTGAGATATCAAAGTGATTGTATTTCAGATATAGATTCCATATTATATTTGTCCTTTGTTTTCTCATGTAGGCGTCCCACCATGGCCTGTGATGTGTGGGTATGTGTGGACGTGTGTGAATGTGTGTGTGTGTATGTATGGGCGTGCATATTCGGATACATCACAAACCTGGAGCAGCATTATGTCAGAGCTGATGCAGCTTCCAACACTTTCCAGCACAGTGACATGTTACTACTGCATATCTTGTATGTGATCTTACTACGGTCTATGGAAGCACATTAATGCCTGTTCCAACCTTCCATTTTTACCTTCTGGCAGAGTGCTGTCATGTGTAAACCTCTAGGACTGCAAGTATCGCACTGCTTTAACCTCTGATATCTGCACAGTCTGTCTGTGGACAAGACTGCAGTCTTGGTTTCTGTTTTACAGATGTTTTTCAACTATGTGCTCTTTGTCTTTTCATTATGTGCCGGTTTAAATCGAAAGGTTTTGTTTAAGTTTTGAGTGTTGTTGTTTATTTTTTGGGCCAAAAAGGTGACTATGCTTGTTTTAAAAGTGTTTCTTATTCCTTCACTCCAACAGAGAGAGTAGATTTGGGAACCATTTCTTGCACAATTTCTCTGTTATCACTTCTTTTATCTTTCCTTTTCTGTTTGTGTAATATATTTTTTGTCACAATAATGTGCCTGATTTGAATTACCAGCAGGTGTTTTGTTTTTGTGTGTTTGTTTGTTTGTTTTTTGATGGTTTAATCCAGAGCTCCAACATTTTCAGGCATGAAGCAGCATTCAGCAGGCTCTGATGTTAAGAATGTGACATGCAAAGACCTCCAAACTGTTAAATGACTGTGGACCAGACACATAGGAGAAAGTGTGTGTGCATGAAAGTGTGTATGCAGAGATTGTACCGTAATGTGATGGATGTGTGAGTATTTGGTGTGACTGTTTGTCCTCTAGAGTAAACGGGGAGTGACTTAAACTGTGATTGTGTACAATATGGACCTGGTTATAATTTTATTATAATGTTTTTGGCATGTTGGCAAGGAATAAATGACTGTGCATTTTTAAAAGAGGAAACTATGACATCTGGCAACAGAATTGATGTCAACTCTGGGCTTAGCCAGGACAAAGAGGGCTTTTAGTATTTTCAAAGTTAAATAACTAGAAACTAGATAATTACAAGCGATGGAGATAAATTATAAATATATTCCCTTTTCCAATAAAGAATGTGTTAAGTTAATGTGTCTGGGATCCACTTTCTATGTTTCAAAGAGAAAAACTATGTTCCCTGACCGGGAATCGAACCCGGGCCGCGGCGGTGAGAGCGCCGAATCCTAACCACTAGACCACCAGGGAGCGTGCTTCCTCACAGAGAAATACGCATTAAGAAATCAAAAATTCTGTTATCTCTCGACATTTAATATTTGGAAGATAATATCGCCATTTCAAATCTGAAGACGCCAAAAGTCCAGCCTGTTATTATGTTATTGTAAGACCGAACCAAATAATTATTCATAGTCTACGAGTTCCCCTGAGTTAAAACCCTGTTGCTAGTCACAAACACAACTTAGACGAACGTATCGCCTTCAGTCTACAGTCTGTGCTGTGAAGGCCTACTAGCACACTCCAGTATTCTCCTGTGTTATGAGACTGTAGATTGGCTTGGCCCGCTCAGTAAAGACAATCACGTGTTAAATACATTGTTTCTGTCCTCCTTTACGCCAAGAAATGACCATTAAAGTCCGGATGTTTAACGACAGGACCTCTCAGACTGGAAGGACTCATTGTAGATTGAGTCATTTTCATTTTAAACTTCTGATTCAGTCTGTCAGCAGCACACGATTAGCCAGACTCTTCAATTCAGAACCTGATGTCAAGTCTGATGACCACCAGCAAACTTAGTTTAATGACTTATCCAAGCCTGATATATACCATGGCATTAAAAGGAATTGATTTCATAGAGGTTTAAATAGAAGCAAAACCTCACAACAAGACACTTGAGGTTCAGGTCAAGCTTAACTTCATAATTCCTGTAAAAGCAATTAAAAAAATCACACTTTTACTCTGACTTTTACACTGGCCAAGTTAAAGAGAGACAAACTTTGTTTTTTAAATTTGTCAGGGAATTTTAAAATGTGCGTAATATCTGTTCCTGGTCTTCAATTTCTTTTTACCTTTTACCATTCACCTGAATACATCAACTTTTTGACCACTTTAGTTTTGCCTGCTGAATTCTCTTGAATCTGTGTCAATCCCACACCATAATTAAAGGAGGCTATCTCTTCCAGGGTCACCAAAGGAGTCGCTTATGCTGCGTCTCAGCTGTTGGCCTGTAAGCTTATGGTAAAAGATGCACAACTCATTCCAGCTACACCAGCTCTCACGTCACACCTAATAATACACACTGACAACAGGCAGAGTGGAACAGAGGGTAGGGGCGCTGACTGACTCACTGGGTCTGAATTAGGACTATATATAACAGGACCCTGTCTTGGACACAAAAAGACACAAGAAAACAAACAGCAAATCCTTCAGACGTGTTTGGAGAATCAAGACACAGACTTGAACAATCATGTCCCAGGTAGACTACATCAGCTAAAATATCTTATTGGGCGTGATGGAGTTTTAACACCCTTTAGTTTGTTTATTTTTCTCCTCTGTGATGAGTAATCCTCCCTATCCAATGCTCTTCTCTTCAGCCAGGAGAAGTGAAGAAGAAGAAGCGTCCCCCAATGAAGGAGGAGGACTTGAAAGGAGCTCGCAGTAAACTGGGACTGAAGGGCGAGGTCAAGAGTAAGACCTATGAAGTCATGGCGGAGTGTGGTGAGTAAAGCCTTTTATTACTGTTTTTCTTCTGACTCCGAAACACAAACAAAGTGTGTAAAACATATCTTCATTTTCTGTTATTTCTGCACCTATAAACCAAATGCTGAAAAATCCACAGCTGTATTCTTCAGGGTTGTTCTTGCTTATATTCCTTTACTTCACTTTTCTAACTCACACCCAAGTCAAGTCAAGTCAAATGTTCTTAATCAAGAACTTCCCCTAAAGCACTCTGATACTGAATGATTTTCAAGTGTATTGTGTCGAAATAGATAAACAATGACCAGTTGAATAATTGACAGGGATCGTGTGTGCCCAAAAGCTGTGCTTACTGTAAAAATTAATACATGAAGATCAGCTTTTATGTACTCTCGTCTGCATTCTGATTTGCAGAGGCTGCTTAAGACCCCCAAAGGGAAATCCTTAATGTTTCATGGTCACCTATTTGTTACTGTTATGAAACATTTATGTGCTTTTTTTGTGTGTGTCTTTTTTAGAGCGAATGGGCAAAACAGCTCCGTCTGTGTTCAGTAATGTGAGGTCGGGGGCAGAGACGGCCCTGAGTAAGCCTGCTGACTCCAAAGCTCCTGGTGGAAGTGTGTTCGGCAAATAGACACACTGCAGGAAGAAACAACACATACTTAAGTCTTCAGTGAAAGAAAAACAGACTGATTTATATCAAAAGCAAAGTTTTAGATCCATAGATGGGCTGGGTTTGTGCCATCATTGTAGGTTGACATTACAGCTAAACGAGGAGTTATTTTATTATCTCAGCTGCACAGACTTGAATGTTGTCTTAGGTTTGGATTGTATAGAAGTTAAATTATAAATGAATAGAGACTTTTATTTGTCTGATCTGAAAAAAATGGTTTAATCGTGTGATGCTTTTCTTTTTTTGTACATTTTTTGAATAAATTAATGAATTTCCATTACCCTTAATTGTGGTTATTTTTACTCAGTAGTAACCTTTAAAAACAGTACAGTTTCTCTGGTGAATAACTTGAGTTCAGCATCATGCTGATAAACAGTTGTTATGGCTGGTTACCTCATCAAGCAAACTAGTAAACCATTCATTCAACAGCAGTGTATAACAGTACACAGCTTTAGATAATAAGTCAAGAGTGCGTTCAGTTCAGTGAGTTCATAAGCTGAGCTACATAAACACACGCACACATACAGGAACCTTCTATCAGACATGTTTGTGCATTACTGATTACTATTTTACTGCCAAGTTAGATGAAACAATATACTATATGTGGGCTGGGCTAAATACCCATCATTAGTTCAGTGTTAAAGGGATGCAATGTGAAAACTGTCATAAGTTTTGTCTGAACACACCTTAAATCATCAGGTGGCGATACACATGACTCCCTGGCACCAATAAAGGCTTCTTGTTTCTGCTGCCCCCAAGTGGGTGATTTTATGTTCCAGTTTTCAGTTAACTGAAGATGTTTTTGAAAGGTAAAGGTACCTCAAAAGCTACAGTATGTCACAGAAATAATGGGATTTGAGAAAACACCTGCCATCAAGCCTGTTTTCATAACTGCTCATATCATTACAGGAAATAAGACATGCTTATTCAAGTAGCCACAACTCACTGATGATGATCCAAAAGACATCCAAAAATGAGAAACAAACTTAACATGGACTCCAGTGGGAACTTTTGGCTCTGTCACAAGATGATCCCTGAGTGTGGGTGAGCCAACAGACCTACAAATATACGATGATGTACTACAGGTACATTATCATGTATAAAAGAATAGGTGCAAAATGAATGTCACTTTGATATTCACCCTTTGACGAGATTTGCCACCCACAGAATCACGTGATAGCATACAGAGTACAGTTTACACAAGTACGAAAAATCAACATTTGATTACAAGGTTTGTATTTGCACATTTACAATTCTTTAAACATACTACATCAGAATCAAGTTATCAGAATTTACTCTAAGCATGTAGAGATAGAGACTTACAGCTCATTAAGATGCATAGATATACTATCAAAGACACCTTGTATTCAAGTCGCTCAGTCCAGCACCACATCACAACAGTCTGATTCATCTACATGCATTCGGCCAAATGCAGAGCTAATCACTTTTTTTTTGCTGGTGTGTGCATGGATCTTCAAAAAAACATACAGAGTCTCTCAGACTTTCTTACACTGCTGCACTGTTTGCAGACTGGCAAGAGGGGATTTTATAAACACAAATGTTAGGTGAGGTTGTGCAGGCTGCTAAGTAAGAGTGATCACCCAAAAATAAAAATAAATAAGAAAGGTAAAATGAAGCAACCTGTGTTCACCAACATATAACATACAGATGCTGTGGACCAACGTTCCTCAGCAGCAGTCAGTGGTTAAAACATAAATATCCAGCTGCAATATAAGCTGATTGCATGTTGAATAATCTCTTGAACTAAATAACAAATTAGAAATCTTTCGTCAGTGCTTTTTCTCTAAGACTTAATGCTCTGGGTCTTAAGCTTACCATTTTTTTCCCAAATCAAGGTATGATTTAGTGTCAGAAATAAAAACATTGACACTTTTTGCCTGAGTAAAGACTTTTCTTTACACTCTGAGCTCCAACTTTTGTACCTGGAGGACTTCGGCACATTGAAGTCAGGTCTGTTGGTCAATAACCCTGGACACACACACACACACACACACACACACACACACACACACACACACACACACACACACTTCGTCCCTCCCCCAGGGCAGAGAGCTTTTTCTCAGCGGTGAAGACAGACACCATTCAGTGAAAGTTTGGTCATGTCTGGGCTGCTGGGTGTTCGACTTCTGCTGCTGTGGGCCAGCGCCTGCCTCATGCTGCCCAGCCTGGTCCAGGGGGCTGTGGTCATCTCCGGAGGCCGTGAGGCTCTGAAGGTACTGGAATACACAGATTTTTTTTTTTTTTTTTGTTGTTGTTGTTTTTTTTTACAAAGATCTTAACATAGAAATACACAGTTCATGGTTGTTGCTTGATTCTCTTGTATTTATTGTAACTGGAGGCTCCTGATTTGATTGTAGCCTGTATTTGAGATTCTTCAGTTCTTCTTCTGTCGTGTTTCTACTTTGGTTTTACATTAGCTGTTATACTCAGTGTGTGGGTGTGAGTACATTATTTTTTTAATGTCAGTATTTGTTTTTCTTGGACCCTTATTGACTTTATCTGCTGTATTTGTTTTGTAGGGGGCGGAGAGAGTTGCCAGATCAGTCCAGGTATGTTCCAGGAAATATTTATACTTGGTCTTATTTATGCTTTTGCTTATGGTTGTTATATGCTAAAATATATGAACCCCTAATGAAATCAACTGTTTTTAAAAAGTACATTTCCAATTATTTCCAATTTTTGTAGTCTCAAATTTCTGTTCCTTTAATGTAAAAATATATAATCTCCCTTTGTATCTTTTTTTTTTTTTTTTTTTTTTTTTTTTTTTTAGAAAAGAAGTGCAAATCCAATGGTAAGAAAACAGCATTTTTCTTCTTTTTTCGTCTTATCAAAAATATCAAATTCTGCTCATTATATGTTTATAGTTTGGGCAACTTCTTGTTGAGGATAATTCAATGCTTCCATATAACCAAACTAGCATATGGTACTAGCAAACTAGTACCATATAAATAAACTTACAAATACAGTATTTCAATAAAACTAGATCCTCAGAAGACGCTAGTGTCAGCATAACTCTGTCAGTTTTTCCGATAAGATGGATATATTGTTGTTTTTGTTTTATCCAGCAGAGGTCAGGCTCTTAACTTAACAACATAATGACTGTTTGTCCACATGGATAAGCCACCAGGCAGAAATAGTTATTTTAAAGTTTAGGTAAATATGATCAGCAAACTCCGCCCTAAAACGGGTGGTCATCTCATTATATGATCCAGACATCAACACCGCAGTGGCACAAGTAATTTTCACAAACATGCCCTTCCATCGAAGATAAAATGGCTCCATTCAAGTTTAGCAAATCCAAATGTATCACATTTGCTTTGGAAAGGGGAGATTATTTAAAGCTCCAGTAAGGAATTTTCGACTGGCTAGGAATCATATGAAATCAGGACAAACGTCTTTCTGCATGACTAATCAAAGCAAACAGGACCATCTGTGACAAAACTGATCATTTCTGTGAATTAATTTTTAATGTTTTTTTATTATTGTGGTGAAGTCAGCATCAGATGTGGTGAAGTAACTACAAGATAGATTTTTAAGAGCAAAACTTTGCAGCTGTTGGTATTTTTGAATGCTAAATAAACAATGATAGACAAAGATGGAGATTTTTCTTTTTTTTTTACCATAAAGTTTTGCTTACTTCAGAAGAGTATTAGGGTCAGGGATGAGGAAAATTTATTTTAAGGGGGAAAAGGCTTTTTTTTTTTTTTTTCATTTTGTATTTTAAAAAAAGAAGTCAAAAATGACAAGAATAAAGTTGATTAGCAATTACCTGATTGAAGGTCCTATGAGGAGTTTCACTGATGAAACAGACTGGAATTCACATTGACCCCTGCATATGACCAACAAAAGCAAACAAGATCATCTGTGACATGACTGATGATTTCCACACACAAAACAAAAGTTCTTCACAGGAATTTTTCTCAAGCATGAGAAAAAATCTGTTTGAGACTACGTTTACACATCCATTTTCATAAACAGACATTTCACCCTCTCCGTTTACAAAAAAAAAACTGCGTGCACACCACAGACAGAAAGTTCCCAACAGGAGCTTTAAGTGCCCAAGTAACAATGCTAGAAAATGTCTTCTTCACTCACAGTTTACCTGTTTCTCTTTCCAAGAGTTTTGAAACATAAGACAAAGTTTCAGGAGTTGCATAATTGGTTAACTAGTCCACCACATAGTGAGCGGTGTCATTGATCCTCCATCAGGCCAGATATGAGATGCCACCCTGGCAAAAAAGTTCTCATTTCCTCTCTTTTCTCAGAGGATCCCAGAGAAGACAGTGAGCTTGCAGAGGGAATTTAGGCAGGAAGGAATAGCGTCACCCTGACTGGAGCAAAGAGGATACACAAAATATGCCTTCAGCTCAGGCCAGCATGCTTATTGTGTTGGCCATAGTAGAACATGGAGGCAAAAAAAGTGAGAAAGACTTTAAATATCCATACTATCTGTGCTTCAATATGCCACACCCAGACTGACTCACTACAACACTTCCTGAGTGGAACCAGTGAGTTAATGTTTGTGAAACATTTGTACTAAGCTGAGATTGTTTTCTATGGGACAAACCCAAGTAGGATACTATGAACTGGATCTAGCTGCAAGAAAAAGTTGAGTCTAAAATAATACAAAAAAGCAGATTTTATGGTTATAAAATCGTTGTTTGTAAGACAGTCTTTTATCTCCTGCTTATACTGCCCGTCTTTCTGTCTCAGGTTGAGGTGCACAGCGTGAAAGTGGACTGCACTGTGACGTCTCGTTTCGCTCACACTGTCATGACCTCGACGGCTATGAACAAAGCGAACACCTCCCAGGAAGTCTTCTTTGAAATGGAGCTGCCCAAGACCGCCTATATCACTAACTTCAGCATGTGAGCCGAAACTCAAAGTTTTAGACAATGTTCCTGAAACACATCCTCCTTCACCTTTAACTGTTGTCTCATACTTTCAGGGAAATTGAAGGTCAGATGTACCATGGGGAGGTGAAGGAGAAAGAGAAAGCCAAGAAACAGTATGAGAAGGCTGTTTCCACTGGACAAACCGCTGGACTGGTCAAGTGAGTTTGTAAAGATGAAACATGCCTGTTAGCAATAATTCAAGCACACAAAAACAATGGGGATCTACAATATGGCCGTATTTTTTTTCTGTGTTGTACCAAAGGGCCTCTGGGAGAAAGATGGAGAAGTTTTCTGTATCTGTCAACATAGCAGCTGAAAGTAATGTGACTTTTATTTTGACCTACGAAGAGCTGCTCCAGAGGAAATTTGGCAACTATGAGATTCAGACTCGAGTTAAGCCAAAACAGCGGGTCCAGGATTTTCAGGTGAATCTGGTTCCTGATCCGACCTGACTTCTCTTGCTCTGTTTTTTTGATGGCCTGCTTCACAAATGGACTCTGTATATGTGTTTGTGTCTTTCTGCCTGTGTGGAGAACAGATTGTGGCAAACATCTATGAGCCGCAGGGAATTTCTTTCGTTGATGCCCATGCATCCTTCCTCAGCAATGATCTGCTCCCCCTGGTGGAGAAAACTGTCACAGATAAAAAGGTACCTGATCCGATGGACTCTGATTCTTTTAGCTCAAAGTTGCTTTTCTCTGCTCACTTTTTTTACTTGTTTTAACAAACCCAAAAATTTGAGCCCAGCTGATCCTCTGTAACCCATTGCCAGGCACACATCTCCTTCTCACCAACTATGGAGCAGCAGAGGAGTTGTTCTGACTGTGATGGAACACTCATTGATGGAGATTTTATCATCAAGTATGACGTCAACCGGGTACACAACATCGGAGACATTCAGGTTTGATGTTGCCTTGTTATTTTCAACTTACACTATGCAGATACATGTGAAATTTATAAATCTGATTAAATTGCTTAATATCATGAAACAATTTAAAATATTTATTTCTGCTCTTTATGAATCTTTTCTTTTCAGATTGTGAACGGATACTTTGTGCACTTTTTTGCTCCTCCTGATCTGCCCAGAGTCCCAAAGAATGTGGTGTTTGTGATCGACAGAAGTGGATCAATGTCTGGTAGGAAGATGGCACAGGTGAGAAGGGACTGTTCAGACTCTGGCTCCATGTACGTCATTGCCCTTGAGCGCATGTTTGACTTTGACCTCTGTGCAGACACGGGAGGCGATGCAGGCCATCCTTAAAGAACTCCATGAGGATGACCACTTTGCCGTCATCAGGTTTGATAGTCGGGTCGAGACCTGGAGGGAAACACTCACCAAAGCAACGGCAGAAAACGTGGCAAGCGCACAGGAGTATGTCAAGGACACAGATAGCAGAGGATGTAAGTATAAAAACAAATCCAAATCTAAAGCCCTGGAGCAGATTAAAGTCAAAACTACAAACACTCAGTGGTCTGCAAAAGCAAAGAGACAATCAGCGACAAGAATGTTGGATCCAGTAATGCAATTTTAGCAGCCTGAAGACCACCATAAGGGGGTCACATCAGACAATGATTAACAGCACACCAAAAACCAAGGCTATCTTCACATTTTCAGTTGCAGATCTTCCCAACGGGTGACACACTTGACCATCAAAAGAGCAAAATTAGATTTTTGTGTCAGGAAATTACAGAGGAATATCAGGAAAAGAGTAAGAAATACATCCGTGCCCACACAGGAGGCCAAAATGGACACAAACAAATACTGTATTTCCTTACGGCAGTTTAATTGCTAAACACTTTTGTCCTTCTGCAGAGTTAGAAAAAAAAACACTAACTTGATTTACAGACCATATTTTTTTGTGTGTTCACAATCTAGCAACCAATATGAATGACGCATTGCTGAGAGGTGTGGAGATGCTAGTGAATGACAGACAGGAGAAGAGGATCCCAGAGAGAAGCATTGATATGGTTATTATGCTGACTGACGGGATGCCAGATGGGGGCGAGTATATACAAACTGTAGTTTGTGACATTGAGCACATATTTTAAGACACAATTTATAGAAATTGTCTAACTTTTTGTGGTTCTTTTATTTAAAGGACGGAGTAGCCTTGGTATGATCCAGCAAAATGTGCGCAATGCTGCGGGAGGAAACCTGTCTCTGTTCTGTCTTGGATTTGGAAATGATGTGGATTACTCCTTCCTCGATACACTGAGCAAAGAAAGCAAAGGAGTGGCCCGCAGAATTTATGAAGGATCAGATGCAACACTTCAGCTTCAGGTGGAAAGTTTAGGCTGTGGCAGCCAATTCTTTGAAGACAATAATTTGATCACTTTTTTTGTTTTAAGTCTGTTTTACAGTTTTTCACATTCATATCATAACAATTTGTACACATGCATTCATCCCAGGGTTTCTACGAGGAGGTGTCCAGCCCTCTTCTTTTAGAGGTGGACCTGCGTTATCCTGATAATGCAGTGGACTCTCTTACCACCAACCATTTCAACCAGTTATTTAATGGCTCAGAGATTGTGGTGGCTGGTCGACTGATGGACAACGACCTCAATAATTTCCTAGTGGAAGTGTATGGCCAGGGGGTGAGAGAAGAAATAGTTCAAAACAATAGCTAGTTAATAAAGGATGTCTCTTTATGAATCCACTTTCTGAGACTCCTATCTTTCCCTCTCTCTCTCTGTAGATCGAGGAGGACTTCAAGGCGCAGGGCCAGACCAGTGTAACGGACTGGGGTGTGATGTACCCTGATGAAGAGTACATTTTTGGGGATTTTACTGAACGTCTTTGGGCCTACCTCACGATTCAGCAGCTACTCGAGAAGGGGCAAGTTTGAAACATTTTCACTCAAGCAGAAACTATCAATACTGAAGAAATGGGAAATCTGTAAGTCCCACTGGCCTCATGAAGATCTTTGATAGATCTCTCTGCCCATCATCGGAGAAAGCCGAAGCTGAGTCATGTAACACTGATATTAAATCCTGAATTTGGCAATGTGCACTTTCTCTTACAGTAAGACTGGGTCCACAGATGAGAAAGAAAATGCCACAGCGAAGGCCCTGGACATGTCCCTGCAATACCACTTTGTCACCCCCCTCACCTCCATGGTAGTCACCAAGCCTGAAACTGAGGATGGAACAGACAGCCCACTCATTGCTGATAAACTGACTGAGGGTAAGAGAAGTTTAGAAATTATACTAGCAAACATTTTCTTCTGAGGAGGGATGCTGTGGAGCCTTTCACCCATGAACCACATAATCACTCCACCATCAAGTTGAACACCCGAGACAATAACAGCAGTCAGCCAAAGGGGATGCTCAAGTTTAAATTATTAAGGTAAAATGTTTGTGTTTTTTCTTTTTAACAGAGCAAAGACAAGAAGCAGAAAGACAGTGTAAGTGATCATTAATACAAAAAATGCTCTAAGATTTAGTCAGGTCAGTCTACTGACCTAAACTTATTTTTGTTTTGTTGTTTCAGCTAGAAGATATATGCCTCACCCTACAAGTTATCAACATACTTACAATGCACCACCCTCCTATTTTGGTAAGTTTTATTTTTCTCTTTTCTTTTCTGTTTTCAAAGCTTGTTAGGAAAAAGTGTGTTTCTGTCTTTTGTCAGTTGGTTTTTCAGTACATCATTACAACTTTCTGTATATTCAGTTGAAGATGTTCATAGTTCATCATGAATCATAGCTGTGAAGTATCCCATTTTGGCCGCATTTTTACCGTATTTTACCCCTCTTTCCCGCCGTCTTCCCGTATAAGTATTCTTCCATATATATACAGTATATCTAGCCAGCCCCAAGTACACACCAACTGGTAGTGAAAAGTTGTCAACTGTGATCACATTGACGATGAATTAAGACCACCCCCTCTACCTCCATTAGGTTCTTGTATTGTATTAGTCCTCAGGTAATAATTCATATCTACTCTAACCCTACAAATGATCATGTTTGTATAAGAACTGCCTGCAACACTTTAAGCTTTTATGTCATATTGCTGTGAAAGAATTAAGCTCATGCTTTAGCTACAACCAAAACTTGAATTTATCCATCTGTCTGTCTGTCTGTCTGTCTAATTATTATTTTTTTTTTATCACTTTCCTTACACTCTGTCCTCACCCACAGTGGATGGAGATCCTCATTTCATGATTGAGCTTCCAGACAGTAACGACGCTCTGTGCTTCAACATCAATGACAAACCAGGAACTATTTTCAACCTGGTCAAGGACCCAAAACAAGGTCAGCCTTGAGCCCTGATTTACATTCTGAATTTGGTATCCCTTTATGAATATAAGACCCTCAGTGTGCTTTAATAAAACTTCACTTTGAGGCTTCAGAAACTGCTTTTAAGCCATTTTCAGTGTGCCAGTAAGTTGTGTCTTGTAGTTAAACAAAGATTAACTGACTCACATGTTGTTCCCTCAGGTATTTTGGTCAACGGTGAGGTCATTGGAGACAAGATGATCCCCCCCGATGGTAAAATCAACACCTACTTTGGGCGTTTTGGCATCATCCATCAGGCTCTGGGAGTGAGGCTGATGGTGAGCACTCAAGACGTCTTAGTGTTTCAGGATGGCCAACTGGTCAGACTGCAGTGGTCTGATTCAGCTTCTCTCAAAGGACCAAAGTGAGTGGTTGCATGTCCCATTGTTATTTCCTTCATTCAGGGCAAACTTTTCATCTTCATGAGTAAAGAGTAATTAAATACATTTGAGAGAAATACTTAACATCTTCTTCTCTTCACTCTTGTCCTCCTCCAGTGTGGATATCGTCTTGACTAAGGACCGCAGCCTCACAGTAACTCTGAAAGATTCGGTCAAGTTTGTTGTCCTGCTGCACAAAGTGTGGGCGAAGCACCCGTACCACCGGGACTATCTGGGTTTCTACACCCTGGACACCCACCTCCTGTCCTCTTCGGTTCACGGTCTGTTAGGTATGAAATGTTGTTTTAGGTATGAGTTAGGTGTATATGGTTGAATTTCAAACCAAATATTGTCAAAATGCGCATGTTTAATGAGTATTCAACCTGTGAGTTATAAATCTTTATCATTTTAAATTTATATTTTTCCCTTACGTGCTACTTTTTGCCATTATTGTACAGATAATTAAGCTCACTATACCATAAGTAGGGTAAGAACTTAAAGGCTTTTAATTAGTGAGTAGTTTCTGTGAATTGTACATAATGAATCAGCTTCACTTAAAGCTTTCTGAATTTATGCGCTTCCAACAATGCTGCACCTCTGGCAGCTTCAACAATAAAAGCAGACCTCCTAAAAGTTAAACACAAAAACCAAGTAAGTAGGAAGAATGATTTGGCGTTAGAGTACCACACAGACATGCAGTTGTAACCGCAGCTGCAACACTTAAGTAAAGGGGGCTGTTTGAGTGATGTATGGCTAACCACAAACATGAACAAGTCTGCTACAAGCAGACCGTTGTATTTTACACACTCAGTGAGCTATATAATTATACCATGACAATATGATGGGAAATATGAAGTTTAATTCAGAATTCAACCAAAACGAACACAGCTGTATTTCTCCCTGTGGTCAATCAGAGAAAGCTCATTTCATCTGCTCATCTTATAGTTGTGTAATCACAAGAGACACAAGGCTAAAACTGTTATACTTAAATATTAACCTGTGATAATGGTTTCCCCACCAGGTCAGTTCTATCATGGGGTTGAATTTGAGGTGACAGACCTGCGTCCAGGCGAAGTCCCAGAGAAACCAGATGCTACCATGTTTGTGAAAGGACAGCAGCTCAATGTGACCAGGTATGAGCTCAAATAAAAGCTTCTTGTCTTTAACATGTTGCTGCTGTCTAATATTCCTAAGTATACCTGACGTTTCTGTGTCGGTCCACAGAGGCTGGCAGAGAGACTTCAGACGGGATGTGAAAAATGGAGACAACGTTCCCTGCTGGTTCATTCACAATAATGGAACAGGCCTCATTGATGGAGAAGCATCAGACTACACTGTGTCAGGCCTTTTTAAGACAGCTTAAAAAGGGTTATACATCAATGTCTACAACAGAAATCACTGAAATCTAAAACATACAATAAATAATCAAAACTAGCTGTATTTACACTATAAATGCTCTGACAACATGAACCAAAAGGCCAAAAAAAGTTCATACACAGCAGTGTAAGAACTCTCCTACAGTTTCCCAAGTGCTTTTACCACAGGAAATGAACTCTTTTCCAAAGAAAGGGAAAATAGTGGAAGCGACCGCAGCAACTGCCTGTGTTGAAATAAGTAGGACGGTGTTTCTCAGCATGGGCCAAGCTGGATTTCTTCATATTCAGATTTGTTATTTGTTTTTTCCAACTGTTCCAAGAAAGTATCAGGACAGACTTTTAAATTCACATTTGTTACTCAAGATACTTTTCCTATTTGACCTGACGCATGTCCGATAGCTTGTTAATTTTAGCCCCTTATTTACATGTTTTCTTGTGTGGAGAGCTGACAAAATATAAGGTGTCCTCTAGTGAAGTGAATCTAGTGAGTGTAATCCTCACGAAAAGTCCTACAAAGACTTGTTCATGTCAGGTCCACTGGGATTTGTGAATGAGATGAAACCAAATAAACGTTGATGTGCGGTGACAAGTGATATATTTCTTGTTTGTCACAGTCTAAACAGGAAACTTTGTTCTGATTTTTTTTATTTGATAAATGGTTAACACTTAATGATTTTAAGAAATTTATTCCCATCAGATCCTGTGGAGAATGGATTTTGTTGTTGTTGTTATTTAATACCCCTTGGTTTACATAACCATAGATCATGCTCTCTTGCATGCAGTAAATACCTTCCACCTACACCTGAAACCGAGCCCTGGTGAGGCAAGTCTGAACTGGACTGGCTTTTTTTTTTAAGAGGATGAAACCTTCCAACAGACCAACAGTACTCCAAACATATTCAAATTTATGGGAATACACTCACAATGACTCACAAAAACATAAACATGGACACAGAAGAGTAGAGAGACCCTCCTCCTGAAGGATGTGGGTGGAGTAAAAGTCTTGTGGGAAGACTTTATCCCCTGCATGCCCGGAATTTCCTCCCACTTGTTTGCTGCCATCTGGGTAAGAGGCTCTTCTGTTTTCCAAAGCATGCCTGGAGTGTGTAAAGCAATGCTGCTGTTGGTTTGTGTCTCCACCTGGCTGATAGCCCAGACCCACGGAGCCCTGGTTGTTTCTCACAGAGATGCTCTGACGGAGGTATGTGCAAGAAAAAGACTGTAAACAAATATCTGTTGAGTCATTTTCTATGTTGAGCTGACTTCTTATCAGTCATCGGCCATGAATACTGTTTATATAAAAGCCAGTTTATGTAAGTTGTATCTGCAGTTGGAACTCTTTCTTACCACGACATTTTTCCATGATGTGAAGTTCTTTGCATGTCTGGTAGCTGTAACAAAGATTTCCCTGATAAGGAACTAAAAGAGATCTATTCATGAATACCAAGGCTGTGCAACTAAACTGGAGCTGGCGGGGAACATGTCTAATAGATGCACAAGTAATGGATCTTGGATATTAAGTGTTCATCTGGTGTTGTTCTTTAAGTGTACCGAAGTAAAACTTACAAAGTCCAAATGTGAAGAGAAGCAAAGAACTGTGTTTTCCACACAGTGTAAGGATCCCCAAAGACCATGTGCTAGGTGAGTTACACAAAAGGGTGTGGACAAAACAGCAATATCCTGTCTCTCATTCAGAGGTTTGACCTGTACCCTGAATCCAAAACACAAAGTTGACATAAACTTTATCAAGCATGCTTTAAAATGCAGAAACTTCAAGCACAAACACATTTAAAGTCCCACTCCATTGTTTTTTTTTTTCTACTTAAGGTGTTATCAGTGGTCTCTAAAATTGTGATAATTAAGTTTTTCGCTGTTCTTCTGCAGAGCTCCAGTAGCTCATTAGCAATTCGCCTCCAAATCGTGGACGGACACAGCGCTGCTCTGCACCCTCCACTTTGTGCTAGTTTTCAGCCTAATATTGCCGGTGTAGTAGAAGTAGCAGGTAATATAGAAGCATAGACTGTATATAGAATGGACGCCATCTGCCTCCTCGCTGGGTGAAGCCACTCCGAGAACAGCACCCTCTGTTGATGGGCTGCAGTATAGGTCATAAATCCTGCCTCCTCCAGCAAAGCTTATGGAGCTGTGGACAAACTTTAGAAATTTATTACACAGAATATAAATTTTTCTCCCCCCTGCTTGCATCTTGACATGTAGTTACAGTAAGACTGGTTTGTGCTCAAGTCCTCCTTTTTCTGTGAAGCTCCATTTTTAAAAGTTATTAGGGGGTTCATGTTTTCTTTGATTGACACCTGATACAGCCTATGGGCGTTCAGGGATTGCGTAGCTCTCCCGGGGGGATACGCTGTTTGAGCTGAGCGTCATCATAGCGACTATCGGCGACTGAGCGGCCGAATGCGCGCATCGCTACTGCGTAGCACTGGTTTCAGGAAATGAAGAAAAATCCCGGAAATATCGAGAGCTTTTTGGCTTCAAATCCGTATACAGGTGGTAGGCGGAACCAAGTTGTCCATAGTATATACAGTCTATGTATAGAAGCTATTCAGCTCTCAGACACTAATGTCTTTGGGGACATGATGAAAGCTAATATCATAATTAGCTTTCTTGCGAGCATTGCAATCCACTAACGCACACGTTTTGTAACAGTCTGCTCTGCCCCTCTCCTGCTCTGCTGCTCAGCCACACCCCTCATCAGCTAACTGCTTCCACCTGCTGCTCTCACCTGCTCATCATCTCCAATCAGGCCAGTATATATGCAGCTTCTTTCCCCTCACTCTTTGCCAGATTGTCTTCGCTCTCATGCCTGACTCTCCAGCGTTTATCCTCGGACTGCTTACCTGGTATCGACCTGATCTGCCCCTGACCTTTGCTTCTCGCCTCAGCCCCGGTAAACCTACCTGCCTTCTGTCCTTGACTACGAGCTTTGCCTGCCTGGTTCCTGCTATTCGTCTGCCTGCAGCTGAATGTCACTCAGCCTGTTCCTGCTCTGTTGAGATCCCCCTTCTCGTCAGCTTCACCTCGCCAACTCACCTCCTCTGCCGACGTTGGTTCTGCCAGCTCCTCTGCAAGCTCTGGATCCTCACCCAGTCCTCACCTGAACCACTCTCCAAGAAATCTTCCCCCAGCTGTGAGTTGAGCGTTTTCCCCTTCACTACACTCGTAGAGCAAATTAAGACTGTGGACAATTCCCTGCTCACGAGTTCAAAACTCTTGCCTGACCTGTGGTCCACTGCTAATCTGCTCGCCTATCACCCGGAAGACCTGAGTTCGAATCCTGCCATACCCACCTGCTATACTCTGCTGCTTCATTGGATTTGGTGTTCAATAAAGACTGTGTTGTTAAAGTGAACCTGCTTGTTTGTGCTGCAATTGGGTCCAGTCAATACCCGTTACACGTTTGTTCCACGATCGTCTACTTCTCCAAGTCTTGCCTGCATAGCGGGGCTCCGGGGGCGGAGCTTGCAGTTGTGATAAGATTAGATAAAACAAGATAAGCCTTAAATAATCCCACAAGGTGAAATTCCCATTTACAGTTGTGCGTGATTATTCTTTGTGTATGTGTAAGCCCATGGCATTGTCTCCATCTCAGTCCTAGCCGTCTGATAACAGGAGACGGCCTTGAAGAGTTCTGATCAAGAAACAAAGTTCACCAGAGAAGGAGGGTGAGGGAGGATAGGGCCGAGCATCATTCTGCATAACATCCAAGAGAGGGGACATAACAGCCTTCCTAGGCCGCTTGATTTGGGACAGGCAGACTTTGCAATTTTCCATCTTTCCATTTTCCATCTTTTCCATTTCTCTGGTCTCTAATGGCATTGACCCGAACATCCGAATTTATTGGCCAATTCAGCTGAGCCGGGCTGTCAACTTCTCCAAGGTGGTATCCAACTTGCCAAGGCGTTCCTCAACCACAACCTGCCTGCGATTGAGTTCGCATGTCACTTGAGTCTGAGTGTTGACAGCCCTGCACATTCCCTCAGTCATTACGGGTAGCTTCTTAATTCCCAAAAGTGCTGTGATGTAGGAAATCTCGCTGTGTCTGAGCCTGTCGTTTACAGCAATTTGAATGCAGAAATACTCAGAAATGCAATTTCACACCTACTTTTCTCATGATTTGTCCTGTAGCATCAGAAAAATGCCATTTAAACATGTAGACAATAAGAAAAACATGATTTTCATAGGCGCTGGTCTTAAATGATAAGGAGCCGTCTGTTGTAAATAAGATGAGAACTAGATACTTATGACACTGCCATCAAAAAATGTAGGTATTTCTCAAATGTCTCATCTACAAAAATCATCATTGGGAATGTTTGGTATTTTTGGAGTTATGTGCTCTTACCCGCCAGTAGTGCTCTGATCAGCTGTTCAGGTCCACACGCTTCAAAAATCCAAAAATAAAACCAAACTAAATAAGTAACTCTAACAGTGCCCAGAAAAGAAAAAGTGTGTCTTAAAGATAATAACTCTGCCGTTATTTTCTCTTTTTTTAATTGTGTCATGCCACAACCTATGACCTGCATGATGTTTACTTCATCAAAACACATTGTGTTGGCTGTTGAAGGGGAAGACTGGGGTAACATTGCAGTGTTCATCAACCAACCTGCTGCTGCTTGTTTATTCCTGTTGGACAGTTTTTTGTGAGACCTTTGAATCTTCTCATCTTCAACTTTACCTGCTCTGAGTTGTTTGTCCGGTTTTGAGGTCCACACCTTGCTTCATTGACATGTCCCTGCACAGTACTTGCATAATAGTTCTTGGTGACTTGATTTAAAAGCTATCTTGTAAATGTAAGAGTATACAACTTCCAGCAGGTAATAACAGGTTCAACACCAATCTATATTTCCATGTCAGTGCGTAAGAACACCAGATCTCAGGCTCAGTGATGGTAAACAGTGATACATTTTGTGATCATTATTTTCAAGCACCATCTTTCCTTAAAGTCGTACTTTTGTTGTTTTTCAGGACACCAAAGCAACTTTTGGCACAAGGTCAATAAAGGTATTCAACTTCTATTACTTCAGTAATAATCAACATTTAAGCCTTTGCTCTTTCTGTTGTATTTTGATCTAATATTTCATTTGACCCTGTCAAGAATATAAATGGCATATTTTCTTTTTCTTTCTTCCACAGAAAAGAAGCCCAAATTCTGCAAATGTAAGAAAAATTTATGTAGATATAAAACTTTGATATTTGAATAAAGGTATGACTGTCGCCAGCAGAAAGATGATTATGTACCATTAGGAAATAACCAATGCAACCTGAAATTTAAAATCATGCAAACATGCGTCACAGTCAAGAGGACTAGTAGCCACAGTTGGGGCATTGTTAGTGCTTGCAAAATGAAGTCCACATTTTAAGCAGTCCACATCCACAACCTCATTGGTTCCAGATGCCGTTTGCTTAGCTCTTCTTTTCCTGGTGTCCTCGGGCATGAATTCATTTTCTCTTCTTTTTACCAAAGAGAACGTAGAGGAAGAGGAAACTGGAAGTAATTTGTCCATCTGCATTTTATTCTTTTCTGCTTTTGCAAGTATGATGAAAGTTTCATCTTTTTTAAACAGTATAGTGACCTCTCATCGTGTTACTAATTATGAACATCGACCAAACCCCGAGAGCCGACTGTATTCTCTGATATCATGCTGAGAGTGGAAAGCTTAAATACTGTTATAATGTTACGCTGCTGAAGTCCTGTTTGTCATACATATCAACTGGCAAGTACCTCAAAAATCATAATTAGGGTCACGGGGAAAACGCACTGAGGCACTGGCCCCTTTACAAAAGTTGGCATACTTTCACCTAGAGACTCCATTAAAACTTTAAAATGTAGACACAAGTACTTTCTATTAGTGTATTAATCCACGTTTTGATAGATATAGTAGTTTTTGAATACTCACTGTTCAATGACCATGATCATGTGGGTAGGAATTTTGAGATTATAATGAGTGTGTATTGCGAGGAATTTTCGTGCCAGAGTGGTTGACATCATCGGCTGGAGTGAGAGAAGTTGCATGAAATTTTAAAACTTTTCTCTTTCCAAGCTCCTCTCAGCCACGAATTACACTCTACATGTAGTTTTTTTTTCCACAGTTGTAGACACACTTGTTCTGTCTCTAATGATGTGTTCATCTAAGCAGAGAAACTTACAGAATTTAAATACTGAACCTCAAAGTGCGATAATGTCTCTCTCTGCTCCTCATTGATGCTAATACAAAAAGATTTTCTGAAAGAGGCAGAAGGGACTCCTTATTAGAATTCTCACGTTTGTCCAAACTATTTTCTGTACAAACACTTACATCATATCACATCTTTCAAGAAGTCCTCATAATAATCATAGTCTGCTTTTATCTGATAGGAAAAAATCACTCTTTTTCTTGTTTTGACTGCCTTAGCCTGTGGAGCGGCTATCGTTACATGTTGCCATGGCAACCTGTGAGTCTCAGGCCAGGCCCACAACTGAGACCAGTTCACTAATCAGGGAATGCTCTGATATACCTGCATCATTGAATCACTTTTAAAGCAATTTGATTAACAATAAAACACTGTCTCTCAATCAAAATCCTTATTAGGGCGACAGGGACATACACAGAAGAACCGGCCCCTATAAACTTAACCGCTGACACACTGAGGTACTGGCCCCTAAATGAAAGAGAAACTATAAACTTTACAGCAGGCCCCTGTACAATGATGCATTGGAGCTATTGTGGCTTGAAGAATTGTAGGACAAAGTATATAACAAAGTATAACACAATGTGTGGTTTGATTGGGATCAGTATGGTATTACTTTTCTCTATTGTATATAGATTTTTCACGGCACACAGTAAGTTGCGAAACGGCAGAAAATCTTGCTTTGAAGTCAATGGGATTAGCCACAAATAAAAGTAATTGTTGGCGTTTTCTATGTAATCTACTCTGACTCCATTTTACTTTTGTTGTATACATGAATACTTGAAAAAGGAATGTTTGCTGTAAGTGTGCTCCTTGTATATAATATTACAGTAGTATTAATAGAATTGATTATTATTTAATTATCTCTGAGGAATCTCATCAGAATGCACACACCCCAGCTGTAGCCCCTGTGGCCCTCTCAAAAATTTCCAGAGGGAATTTTCTAGTTATTTCACTAGTATTTTTATCCAGGTAATACTACTGGTAACCTGGAAGTGGTTGAAAGCTGCAGATAAGTTTAGTGGTAGTGTATAGAAAAGTTGAAAATTGTGAACCAACTTTCTACCATTTGCAAAAGACTTTACCAGCTTACTTGTAGCTATTGTGGTAATAAAAGTGGCTATGACCCAGAAACATTTCTTTGGCCTACAGAAGTAAACCAGACCACCGGCAAGAAGACTGTTGGCTGAAACATTTGCTGTAATCAGTGATGCATTTGACCTTTGTAAAATTAATCCGATGTGATGTTAAATATGTGCAGTCCATTTTCTTGACCTATTTGGGGGACTGGAGCCTAACCCAGGTTCTCCTCCATTTTTACCCTCCATCTTGCTGGTTTGTTGTAAGAACCATCCTGTTAGGGAACTTGCTGAATCATGTGAAGGTCTTTAAAAAAATGTAGTTGAATTATATCACTAAATTTCCCACTCTATCCAAACCTTCAGCTGGTGGAGGTGTACAGCGTAACAGTGGACTGCACTGTGACGTCTCGTTTCGCTCACACAGTCATGGCCTCAAAGGCGCTGAACAAAGCGAACACCTCCCAGGAAATTTTTTTCGAAGTAGAGCTGCCCAAGACTGCCTTCATCACCAACTTTAGCATGTGAGCCAAATCTTTCTACCTCTTACAGTGAGCTTATACAACAACTGTCATCACCTCTGATCATCGTCTTGTGTTTTCAGGGAAATTGAAGGTCAGGTGTACGTTGGGGTGGTGAAGGAGAAAGAGAAAGCCAAGAAACAGTATGAGAAGGCTGTTTCCTCTGGACAAACCGCTGGACTGGTCAAGTGAGTTGGACTGGAAACGATGTGAGAACATACGCTCATGGTCTGAATTTCACAACAGAGTAATACACATCTGTTACTGCAGGGCCTCTGGCAGGAAGATGGAGACGTTTTCAGTGTCTGTGAACATTGCAGGAAAAAGCAGTGTGACTTTCATTCTGACCTATGAGGAGCTGCTTAAGAGGAATCTGGGCAGTTATGAGCTTCTGACACGAGTCAAACCCAAACAACCAGTGCAGGAGTTTAAGGTTAAACACACCCTGCTCTTTATTTTAGAGAAGTCTCTGTCATAGTTTTCATAACTTTGCTTCACATTGCAGTTATTCTGCATTCATACCCGCATGTCTTTGTGTACACAGATTGTGGCAGACATATTTGAGCCCCAAGGACTTGCTTTTGTAGAGGCCACTGCATCCTTCCTCACCAATGATCTGCTCTCACTCGTGGAGAAAACTGTCACAGAAAAAAAGGTAAATTGTTGGACCAATTTCTCTCCTCTTGTTAAAAGACTTAAATGATCATAAATGTTGTCCACTCATGTCGATTGATATGAATGTCTTTCAGGCACACATCTCTTTCTCCCCGACTATGGCGCAGCAGAGGAAATGTCTGGGATGTGAAGGCACCATAATTGATGGAGATTTTATCATCAAGTATGATGTGAAAAGGGACAACAACCTGGGGCAAATTCAGGTAAGCTGGATGCAAAGACTCAAAACCTGAAGCACTAAAACATCCGTCATATTTCTTTTATTAGTTTTATTTCTTCAACTGCACGAGTTTGAGTGAGAAAACCTTACAGAGCCGATGACTGATACATCTGAAATGTTGCTGTCAAAGGTGTGCTTTGTGTTTCATGTTCTTTACGTGGATATTTGCCCTAACTAGATTATACTTTCCCTTTCAGATTGTGAACGGATACTTTGTGCACTTTTTTGCTCCTCCTGACCTACCCAGAGTCCCAAAGAACGTGGCGTTTGTGATCGACAGAAGCAGTTCAATGTCTGGTAGGAAGATTGAACAGGTGAGTGGCGTTGTTTGCTGAAGCGCTTCAGTATATGTCATTTACAGTCGGTAACTCTTTAATTGTCACTTTGGGAACTTTACAGACCCGGGAGGCTTTGGTTGCCATCCTGAAAGACCTCCATGAAGAGGACCACTTTGCTCTCATCCTGTTTGATACTGGAATTCAGACATGGAGGGACTCTCTTACCAAAGCGTCAAAGGGAAATGTATCCAAAGCTACTGCCTACATCAAGAAGCTAAGGGAACGTGGATGTGAGAGGAAAAAAGTTTTTTGCACCTTCTTATTCAGTGGCTTCAAAAAAATTTTATTGAAGTTTAAGTTTTGGAAAAGAATGAAGAGAGACTAATAATATCAATCATAGTTGAGTTGCTATCATTAAGCACTTTTTGAGGCTAGGATGACACCAATTGTTGAAAGTCTTCTTTCAAGCCAAGAAATGATCGAACTCAAACACTCTATAGAAAACATTACCATAAGAATATTTTGAATATTTAATTTAATGGACAGAAATGAGTGCAAGAATGACTGTAAACCAACACTGAACAATTAACACTTCACTTTTATTTCTGGTGAGGTTATCTCAATAACTGGTATTCTGTTCAATTTGTTACCTCTTTTCAGCCACCAATATCAATGATGCTGTACTGAGAGCAGTCAACATGCTGAAGGAAGAAAGAAAAAACAAGAACCTTCCCGAGAGGAGCGCAGATATGATTATTTTACTGACTGATGGGATGCCAAACTCTGGTGAGCTTGCTTTATTTTGATGAGTGACACTTAGTTTGTCATATGTAGACCAAGTGTGACCTAAATGAAGTTTACCAAGAAGTTGACATACTCAGGGAAGCTGTGGCTCAGTGGACCCCAAAACTGGCCTCGGTGGTTGTGCTCGTGATGTTAGTTAATACTGATGGGCACTTTATATAGCAGCCTCCACCATCAGTGTATGACTGGAGTGTGAATGGATGAATGTGACGTGACGTAAAGCCCTTTGAGTGGTCAGAGGACAACAGAAAGTCTATTTACTGAGATTCGTTTCAAACGGGGAGGTTATCTCCGTTCATATACATATAAAAGATTGTTGAGTGGTCTGTATTAGAAATTTTTGTACTGCAGGTCTGAAACTTAAACCAACTATTTTTGCAGTAAATAACATGTATGTCTGTATGTGTTTAAAGGAGAGTCTAACCTCCAAAAAATTCAGCAGAACGTGCGCTCTGCGATCGGGGGTCAGATGTCCTTGTTCTCTCTTGGATTTGGAAATGATGTGGATTATTCTTTCCTTGATGTGATGAGCAGACAAAACAAAGGACTGGCCCGCAGAATATTTGAGGGATCAGATGCAACACTTCAACTTCAGGTAAAGCAAGCGCTGTGCACAATATTAGCTTTTCACTCCTTTTCAGCAGCATTTATTTAAATTGTGCATCATAAGTTAAGATCAGAAAGTGCTTTTTCCCAAATTAAATATACAGAGAATAGTTGCTTTGCCTCATTAATATTAGGGACTTGAATGTTTAGGATTAGTGTATCGGAGGAACATATTCAGGAGTGTGCCTTTATTTCAGGGTTTCTATGAGGAGGTGTCCAGCCCTCTGCTCCTGGATGTGAACCTGCGTTATCCTGAAAATGCTGTGGAATTATTGACCAAAAACAGCTACAGCCAGTTGTTTAATGGCTCAGAGATTGTAGTCACTGGTCGAGTGACAGACAATGACCTGGATAACTTTTTGGTGGAGGTGTTTGCAAAGGGGGTAAGAAAAGGACAGCATAAAAACATGAATAAGACTGTAACATGTATGTTTTTGTAAAGGGGTATTACAATGAGGTGGTCTTAGATTGTCAGTAACAGCTGTTATTTGACCTATTTTCTTTCTGCAGCCTGAGGAGGATTTTTCAGCACAGGGAAAGGCCAGTGTGGTTGACTTTGACGTCATCTACACGGATCAGGACTACATCTTTGGGGATTTCTCTGAGCGTCTGTGGGCCTACCTCACCATCCAGCAGCTACTGGAGAACAGGTTCGCACATTAATTGCTCATAAAGTTTTATTTGTACCTTTATCCTACCAAGATAAGTTCAATCCAAAGCCAAGAAATGTAAATGTAATTGTTCTTTATTTATACAGCCCCTCACATCAATCCTTTCAGTGAACCAAAGTGCTTTACAATACATAGTAAATAAAAATGAATAAATAAAAATAATAAAAATCAATAAAAAAGAATAAGATACAATGCAACAAAATTAAGTGTCACCACAGCATAAACAAATTTGTTTTAAATCTAGATATAAAAGGCCCAGGTCAGAAATAAGTCTCATTTGGGTGGGGAGCTTATTCCAGAGCCTGGGACTAGCAACTGAAAAGGCTCGGTCACCCCAGTGTTTGTGTTTTGATCTAGGCACTTACAGCAAAAGTTGGTTCGACGACCTCAGAGCTCTACCTGGCTCCCGAACAGTTAAAAGCTCAGTTACATAGATGGGGGCGAGGCCGTTAAGAGCTTTAAAAACAAACATTAAAAGTTTAAAATCAAGCCTATAAAAGATGAGAAGCCAATGAAGGGAGCTAAGGACAGGAGTGATGTGCTCACGTCTGTCAGTGTTGGAGATGGGCAGCAGCATTTTGCACAAGTTGAAGGTGACTAAGAGATGCTCTGTTTCTTTTAATTTCGTATTATAATTATTCTATTATTGTATCTCTCTAGTGACATTGGTACTCAGCAGGAGAAAGATAACGCTACAGCAAAGGCTCTGGACATGGCTCTTCAATACAGCTTTGTCACCCCTCTCACATCCATGGTGGTCACCAAACCTGACACTGAAGATGGACCAGAGGGCCCACTCATCGCTGACAAACTCACAGAGGGTAAAACCACTTCTCATAGTTTGAAAGATAGCTGTTGGTTTGATTTTGATAAATATCTATAGGATCAGGTCATATCAATTTGAGATACCAAACTAGCAAACAAAAAGGTCTTCCTTTCGCTCTAAATGTGTTGACAGTTGTAAGATTCATTAAGAAAACTGTTGAATCAGCTGAACTTTCTAAAGAAACATAACTTACTCTATTTTCAACCTGATGGCTTGCTTCCCAGACCAGCGACAGAAAGCAGAGAGGGGCAGAGGTAGGGTAATTTCTTTCACTCCATTATTGTACATACTTTTTCAATCCGATGTGGGCGAATCAATCGTAACTGTCATGTTTGTGTATTTTTTTTTTTTTCATTTTTTTACCACAGGTTCTGTGTTCCTTGGACGCCCTTCAAGTAATTTGTTTTTCTTACAGCAGAAATTTTTCTTTTCATACTAACTTCAAACTGCTTTGTGAAGTTTCTTGGGGTGTATGAAATCAAGGTTCAAGTGCTTAATGTTGTGTTTTGGTTTACAGAAACCCGAGCTCATCATATAGTTCCCCAGTGTAAGTTTTTCATATGGCCGCAGTTTTACTGCAATTCATCATTTTACCATAGCACAGTTTTTACTGAACATGTTATGATTTCTTAATTTTTCTTATTTTGAGTCTTTATTATTGTGTCAAGACTGGCCTTATCAAATCTTTTGACTGACGTGTGCCACTTTTTTTTTATTTTTTTCAACAGCTGCTCTAAGCCGTGGTTCCAGTTCCTGTAATAAACTCTTTATACATTTTGACATTTTCATTTTTAAGTTGCTCTTGCTTCAACTTAAATAGTTTTTTAAAGTTTTGTAAATCAAAAAAGCCTAGACTTGTTTTAAACATCTTTTTTTCCTGTTACCAATTTGACTACAGCTCGGGCCAGGCCCCGTACCTTTAAAGTCCAGTCAGACGGTAAGATTTTCATCAAGCATATGTTGAACTTTCATTCTTCACAGTTGTGCTTTAATTAACTCTGTCACTTGTACTGATGTTCCCTTTGAAGAGCTTTTGTTGGTTTATGAAGTACCATACTTAAAAAAGTGCCTTCTTCAGTCTGCACTGTCCTACTGTTGAAGTAAATATGATACAGCGCTCACCAGGCTCTCCTTGCATTAGAGAAAAAGCTGTGAAAGAGGCCCTCTAGTGGGGTGAAGTTGTCCAAAATCCCTCCTGGCTGCCATTGTTGTGAAGAAAAGTTTTTGAACTGTTCGACTTTTGCCAGACACCATTAAAAATATGGAAGTCGAATTTGGACTGGAGGAAACATTGCTCAGTTCATTGTTTAGATTCGTCATACGCTTCACAACAGTGGTCAGCCATATCAAATACATTTTTGTAATCAATTTTTGATACATATGTATACTATTCGAACAGTTGGTATTTGATTTAGCTCGATTTTGGTTTAAGTAACCAATAGGCAACTGTCAAACATATAATCATACACTTCTTTTGCTTGAGCTGGACAAAAACAGAGGCACTTTCTTTCTGACATGGTACTGTAATGTTCTTTGTTCAGTGGATGGAGATCCTCATTTCATGATAGAGCTACCAGACAGAAAGGACGCTCTGTGCTTCAACATCAATGACAAACCGGGAACCATTTTCAACCTGGTCAGAGACCCAAAACAAGGTAAGCTGTGGATTATATGTTTCAGATATTTTCATATCAGTGTGCAAAAAAACTGAAACCTGCCTTTTGTTAGGTTTTGTTGTGAACGGACAAATTATTGGTAAGAAGACAGTTGCTCCAGATGTAAATGCCAACACCTACTTTGGCCGTTTTGGTATCATCCACCAGAATCTGGAAGTGAGGCTGGAGGTGAGCACTCAGGACATCTCAGTTTCCCACAATGGCAAGCAGGTCACACTGCTGTGGTCTGATACAGCATCTATTAAAGAAACTGAGTGAGTGACAATGCTGTACTACATTACCTTTGGTTTTCTGGATATAAACAAATACTTGTCACTTAAATAAGAACAGCTGTTGTTGTTTGGTATTGGTTATACCTTTTTGTGTTCCTCCTCCAGTATGGACCTAAGGTTGACTAAGAACACCAGCCTGTTTGTGATGCTGAGGCACTCAGTTAAATTCATGGTCATCAGACATACAAAAGTTTGGAAGAGACGCCACAGCCAGCAAGACTACTTGGGTTTCTACACCCTGGATAGCCACCACTTGTCTGCGTCAGTACATGGTCTGCTAGGTACAAAACCAAAGAATTTCATATCATGATGGATATGTTGGCCCCCATGTTTTCTTCTTTGATTTTTTAGACAAATATTTAAGGTAAAACTTTTCTCTCCAGGTCAATTTTACCATGGGATTGAGTTTGAGGTGACAAACATGTCCCATAAGGAGCTCTGGGACGAATCTGCCACCATGTATGTGAAAGGCCACACACTCAACGTGACCAGGTGCATAAACACAAACATCACACACATTAACAAAGATAAAAAACATGATATAAAGCAGAGCATTTTTCATTCACTCATCAATGTTCTTTCTGTGTTTGTCTTGCACAGACACTGGCAGAAGGATTTCAGCAGGGATCTGAAGAACGGGGAAAGTATTCCCTGCTGGTTTGTTGACAGAGATGGAGCAGGTCTCATCGATGGGAAAGCCTCAGACTATGTTGTGCCGGGGCTTTTTTAAGACTTCCCTATTGAAATTTGAAAGCTCACTGTCCAAGTGACATTTCACAGGGGCCCTGTCATCAAGGTGTGAGTATTGTGTGTTGAGAAAATGCAGATTACTGTACATTGCAGCGTGTCCCCATTCAAAAATCCTATCTAGTAAGAAACTATTCTAAAAACAAAATACACAAGACAACATTTAGACAGCAGCAGGAACCAGTTTATTTAAAATACTTAAGCTCACACCAGTTGTTTTACCTGAAAATGTAAATGGAGGCTGCAATCACAAGGTTAAAGCATGTTAAAGATAATCTACACAGATATGATGAAATCTTAAATTGTTTGGCAGGTAAAACTTCCTAACAGGTTCTGATAAAATTGGAGCCTGATGCATCCTCAGGTAAATGCTAATTTCTGTCATCTTATTTTTTTTTTTTACAAAATGGTTTGTGATAAATAATTACAGGCTATTTCTAAGAGTCAAAAGTTAACACCTAGTGCACTTTCTTTTGTCTGTGCCTGTTGTGACATTAAAATGAATGTATGTGTAATGTGCTTAACAGCAAACATGCATAAGGTAACATACAAAAGTTGAACTGCCTCTGCATCTGTGACTAACACATTAAAGAATAACAGGCAGCATATCTTCAGAACTATTATCCACTATTATCAGATAATATATCTTGTTTGGATTTGATAAACAATACCACTAACTGTGTTGTATACTTTGCACTAAATCATTTAACTTTTTGTCACATTAAATCAGTTTGCTATATTATTGTGTCTTCTCTTATTTCCAAAGTTAAATACATGCTACAGTAATGTGTACAAAATCATCGTACACTAAACCTTCTAAACTCTCAATCTGAATGGTTAGGAAATGCAGACTGAGCACCATTTTACGACAAGCGAACTGTAAGATAATACTATTCTGGAAATGTTATTCTATGGGATTTTATCACACATTGTGGTTTCAGTGAATATTCAAGATTATGCAGATTCAGATGCTAAAGATGATACAATTTTTTTTTACAATTTTAGAGGTAATAAAATGTGTAAAACAAACTCAAATATATTCTCTTGATTTTTATAATTATTTATGACACTTCTAAACATATTGTATGTATGTGAATAAAAAGCAGTGCACAAGAACAAAGGTATATTCTTGATTGTTACAGATTTCAGGGCTAGAAAAAGTTTTGATTTAAGTCTATGTATGTCTCACCTACTTTATCACTTTTTATGGAGCTCCGGACCAGCAGAGGACCTTACAATGTTGGTCAGGTTTAGTTTGGAGTTGGGGGAGGAGCAATGCTAGTTTTAAATGAGTAAATAAATTAATTTAGTTTTAAATAGATGCGCTTTTCTAACCTGATTTTAAGGTTGTCTGTTAGGAATGTTAACATCTATTTATTCTTCAATGTAAGTGAGCTCGTTGAAACTTGTTATACCGGTGCCACAGGGGGCAGCAGTGAGCTCCTAGCCGCTTGTTGCGCCGACAGCACAGCATGTAGAAGATGGCGAAGGTGGAGGGAGCGTTAAGAGTTGTAGGAAGTGTGATTTTGGAGGGAATCTAAAACGGATTTCATCTCTGAGGTGCTTGTCAAATGTTGCTTATGTTTGGTTAATTACAAGAGATTTAATAAAGCATTGGTCGGCCAGTGACTAAACTAGCAAGTGAAAGACCAAAAAAAACGTTAGTAGTTGTGGTCAACTTAAGCTAAAATTTCAACAAGCATCGCTTTGTCTGAAGTACCACAGTACACTGTTTCAATGGGCTGTTTCTGACTGAACTACAGCACTCCTGAAGAAAGAGGACCAGACAGCCGGCCAGGGTCGGACTCAGCACAGCTCGACAAGAGTGACGGTCTGCTTCTGTCCAGGAAACGTACAGGTGGGGCTCATTAAGTTTTCCACGCGCTCCAGATTTTGATAGAGGGCTTTACATGGAGCAGAAGGTCCAACATACATACATACATACACAGTACATAGGGGAGAGTGGGGTAAGTTGAGCCACCCCCTTGTTCCTTGGAAATGGTAAAAGAAATGGATCATGTGACCAAATATTTAGGAGATGGGCATCAATTCATGGAGTCTGTGAAGGTTAGAGGCACATAGGTGAAGGGGTTAGACATTTATTTCCAAAAAAACATTTTTCACTCTTGAAAGTGAATTTAGTCTGTCATAAATTTTATCAGAATTGTGTTCAGACCAAAAAAGATCATTTTAAATTTGTTTTATACATCAATTGTTGTATCTATGAGCTACAACATGGGGTTAAAAACCTTGCATAAGAGTCGACTATTTTAGCTCAGAGGACGAATAAAGTCATCATAGTAGTTCTGGGGTAAGTTGAGCCAGTAACTCAACTGAGAAAGTAAAGGAGTCTGATGAGAGGATCAGAGTTTCAGTTCAGGTTGTTGAAATGCGTAACTTTTTCTTTTAAAAACTACAGCTGTGAATGTTCTGAATCACTTAAAGACATTCTCATGTTAAAATGACTTTTTACAAAACAGCTTTTTAACAGTTATATGCAATATTAAAAAAAAGAATTATTGTACCAGTTGAATCGCGTATAATACATTAAAAAACACACGAGTGTGAAGAAGTGACTGTTATTTAGAGAGAGAGAAGGTGAGGGAGGGCTGGGGTGGAGAGTGGGGGGTAGTAGGGACACGGCTCAATTTACCCTTTATGGTCAACTTACCTCATACACGAGGTAAGTTGACTATAGGAGACCACTTTTTTTGGCATGCTATATTATCAAGACAGTTATGTTTACACTCATTCTGTTGGTTTGCAGGGATGCACAACATCTTAAAATATACGCAGATTCACTAGTTAGAGACAAAACTATGATTGACTTGATGTAGTGATCCGAAATATGAAAAATGGCTTATCTTACCCCACTCTCCCCTGTATATGTATGTGTGTATATATATATATATATATATATTAAAAGGTCACAGAGAATGCAAAATTATTTTATCCTTTGCACTATTCAAGCATTGGATGACGATGGGCCAGTATTAAAATATCACAACACCTAATGTAGGTCTTCACTTTTCAGTCTGTGTCTTGTGCCATTATGATATGAAGTTCAAAACCTATTTACATTGATATTGAAATTAAATATAGTTCTAATCAACTACATAAGTGAAGTCATTTTTTGTAGATTTTTTGTGCTCTTGAATTTCACTGAAATCCATGAAGACAATTTGCATATGGGTGTGTGTGAGAGAGTGAGAGCGAGCAGGTTGTACTGTAACAACTCAGCAGCTCTTATTACATGGCTGTGCGGTGTGTGCACTAATAGAAGTAGGGTAAGTGTGTTGACCCCAGTCATGTCGGAAGTTCAGGAGTTGAGAGGGATTTTCTAAAGGGTGTCTTTGCTGAAGTGTTTGTTCATGAGTGTCTGTTTCTTTGTATGTGTGTGTATGTGTGTGTTCGTGTAAGCTTTGCTGATTAACACCAGATGTGCAGGGCTCAGGGTGTCGGCAACAACTCGAGAGGGCCCCACTGTACTCTAGTCGGCCCTGGTTGAAGAAATTGTCAAAGCGACTTCTTCACACATGGCTGACATTAATATCTTCTGTGTTCATCCTCCAAATCCCCGAGAGGTTAGAAACATCAGGTCAGACTGAGCTATAGGCACGTTTAATAAGGTGGACATGAAGCAGAGGCTGCCAGATAATTGCAGGTATCCTGCTGTACCACTAGAGGGCATGAGAGAGCTGTAAAAATATCTCTAGGTCCTCTAAACCGGAGTCCCAAAGTTCGATTTTGCTGCTCTGTTGTTGTCTTTTCTTTATGCAAGGAAGTTTTCAGGTCAGATAAAGCCTTCAGAAATGTTTTTGTGTTGAATATTTGTCATACATTCTTTTTACATAAAAATTTACCTGAACAAATTCAACTAACATAACAGACAAGAAAATAGCTGAAGTCGAGTGGTGGAAAGTTCTCATAACTTTCTGTTTTCTTGTGATAATAATTGATCTCTGCAAAAACCTTACAGATAAAGTATTTGTATTTCAGAAAACAGCGAAAGGTAGCCATCAAATGCACCCAGAGCCTAAATGAAGTCATTACTTTTTCCAGTAGTTAACAGAAAGAATTTGAGTAACCAGTCCTCACATGCTAAAGTTTACTTTCAATATGATTTGACCGATGGCTGACTTTTTGCTGCTGATGGAAAAATGTTTTTGGACTGATTGAATGACTCATTCTATAGTTTGAGTGAAGGCTATGAGTGCAACAAAAAATCAAAGGAAATTAAATTTAGATGTTAAAAATGTAAAATACAAAGGTATGTAATTTCAGCTACAGAATATATATGAAAGTTTTGTCTCAAGTTAAGAAGTAGGCTCTTAAAATGAATGTTGAATTTTAAACAGCTATCTGTCATTAACTTTATTTAGATGTATGCAGGCAAGAAAATGCAAAAGCACCCACTCTGAGGCAAGTCTGTGGGTGCTCATGAGTTATTATTTCCTGTCAGTCTCTCCATTTTAACCCCACTTTCTTAAACCTACTCTTTTATCTTCACATCCAAGACCCCCTCCAGTCTCTCTACCTTTTGTCCCTGTGTGAATATTTCACATTGCTGTTGCCGTTGGTGCGTGATGCTGGGGACTGAGCCCTCATTGTGCGTATGCGGTGTGGGTGCTGCGGTATGTGACTTCCCGGCGTGTGGTGTGTCGTGACAGGCGTGTGGCTGCTGACGCCAGCCGGCCGCCTGCCTGCCTGTCTGTCTGCCTGTTCAGTTACACCTGACTGGCACAGACACTACCATGGCTACACTCACACACATATGCAAAAATGTACTTGGATCTATAGAATGATGCCTAAAAGTCAGAGAAAGAATCATTGAATCTCTGCCGCTGTGGGACAATCTTCAGATTTATCCTTTTGTTTTGTCATCATATATACTGACTTTATATTTTTGATACCCATCATGTATGTCCAGCCCTGTTGCAACAAACATATTATTGTCGCTCGATGGTAAAAATACTTTGTTGAGTTTGTTTTTTTAAAATATGCTGCATAGTCTGTTCTGAGATGCAGTGAAGGCCGGGCGATATTGCGGCGCGCTGCAGTGTAATCCGTGGTATTTAGTGTGTTCTCTCGGGCTGCTGAGGTGAAAAGTTGAACCTGGTGTTGACCTTCTCTTGAGAGAGGGCTTAGCTCTGAAGTCAGGCGCAGGCCAAACGCACAGGGAGGATATTCTCAAGTTCCTCTTTCCCTCCCTCACGTGCACCACTCCTCTGCACGGCCACCCTCCCCTCTCACACGGAAACAATCAGCATCTGTGATAAGATGTTATACATATTTCCATCATTTTATCTCATCAGTGTGTTCGGTTTGTTTGTCTTTCCATCATGACTAAATACTTGTGTCCTCCTGTCATGGAGCTGTTAATCACAATCACATTTCATCTAGGTGTAAGGAGGTGAGGACAGAATGAAGGAGTAAAAGACCGAGGGGCCTAATGTTTATCACTGCAGGGAGCTAAATTCCAGATGGAGAGATAATGTAGAGAACAAGTAAATAGATATGCAGAAATAGACAAAGTGGCGACAGGAATGGTTGTTGGGGTAAACTATACAAATTTTTCTATGTATCCACGAGGGGCCAGTTTAATGCAGGTTCGAGTACACAGGTTTGACTCATAAATCCTCCACAACAAACACTTGGGTATCACTGTGTTGTTTTTTTTAATATACCACCCAAAATAAGTAGATCTCAGTCCCTGCTTGTCACAGTTAAGGGCTGCTTAATTTCTTAATCTCTTCAGTACAATCGTTGAAGTAAACACTGAAGTTATCTTCCAAAAGAATGAGACGAACCTACCCTGTTTGTGTGGTGGCATTGTTAAGATTTTTGTTTATTTTTCTCTTTTATTGTTATCTTTATCGAGGACAGACGGTCGAACCGCCGTAGGATTTACATGCCTTATCATGTGTCGAATCGTACGTCTCAGACATGCTGATCCACACTCCATTTTGTTAAGGAAACATGACCCAGAATTCAAAACTAAGTCTGACATTCTTCCAGTCCAGTGGAGCAGGAGAATACATGGCCTAAAGATATGAGTCCGACAGTAGATGTTGAATTTTGCTGCACTCTGTTCTCCATCTGTTTTAGTTTTGGAGTGGTTGTGATAACCTCAGCCTGACCCCTGATTGGGCTAATCTCACCCTCATCTTCTCTCGCTGGTCAGCTGACAGAACGCTGCGCTGCAGTTGGTGAGTGCACCACTGAGGAAGAGGAATTTGTTTAGCATTGTGTTGGGGTAACAGTTAGCCAGTGTGAAGTTTAGTCTACTGTCTAAACCATAGCAAAGCTTCAAAACACAGAAACAAGAGGAATGTTTAGGATGAGAATTCAGAGGGCCAAACATGTTTGCTTTCCCAGGCAGTGGACTGTTAAATACTGTTCCCATTTGGTGTGAGCACAAGCACAACTGCATGTCAGTAAATACACAGTCCTGAATGTCTCTTAGGTTATTATATAATATATTTTGTATTATATCTTGTATTGATTTTAAATCTGTATATGAGGTTTTGTTTGAGTTCCTGGTTTGTAAAAGATGGGGATAATCTCCAGCCCAAAGCTGAGAAAATTTCCACAAACTAGCAATCAAATCAGCGAGTTTAGTTTCATCATCACTTGTTGACTCGGAGTTGAGAGACTGTAAGTGAAACAAAGCCGTAGCAGCTGAAGTTTTGAGTGATTTTTTTTGTAATAGACTGGAAAAGTTGCAGTCCAGTGCAGTAGCAGCTTCAGGCGCTCTGTTTGGAGTGCTTTGGTCCAGCCAGATTAGATCAGAGGACCACTCTGTTTGTTTGTTTTGATATGGGAGGGGCAAGGCTCTTGAGGGACACCCCCTCCCTCCCTCTGAAAACTACCACTCTGCTATCCCTCCCCAGGATTCACCTTCGGGGCACAGTCGACTGGAGCCCCCCTGACCTCTCTGTCACCCTCTCCTAAGCCACGTTAGCCAAGGCATCCTGGGAACAAAAAAGAAAATGAGAGAAGTCTCTGCTGTGTCTTAGCATCTACTGAACCAAATCACAACCAGACCTGTTCATCAGGGGTGTAGGCAGTGCCACCCAGGCAGGCAGCCCCTCTAGACCTGGTCAGCCCTAGAAAAGGTCAGCAGGATGACCTCTCTTTCATCTGCGTATGTGTCTGAGGCTGCAATCCAGTTTTTTAGTGTTCCTGTGAAACGGGCTCTCAATCTGACTTTAGACCATGATGGATCCAAAACTGGGTAAGATGGGTTTTCTTTGACTCAGACTCTCATTGGCTTAATAAATAGAGGAATAAAAATTGCAACTCACATGACTGTCTGTTCTCATGTGGTCTTCTGGGTCTCATGACAAGATCAAACCCGCCGTCCTCTTACCTTTTCCCCTGCCCTACCATGCATGGATACCCCCCCTCCTTCTCTACCTCTCCATGTGTCTGTTTGTCCGTCCAAGCTCAGTGGCAAGGAGAGGGTGTAGCAGACACACACACACACACACACACACACACACACACACACACACACACACACACACACACCGCCACCACAGGCCTCTGCTGACCTCTTCTTCATCTCCCACAAGGCCTTGGGGTAAGGCAGCATGGCACCAGACAGTTATTCAAACCCTGGGGCAGCTTCCCAACAGGTCAGAGACAGAAAGAAAGAAAGAGAGAGAGAGAGAGAGAGGTAGAGTAAGAGAGTGAGAAGGGTGTATGTGTATTCTTAGCTGATGTTTGGTTTGATTAAGTGGTGTCTTAACTTCAGATGAGGGATGTGGACGTCTTTTGAATGAAAAGAACTGAGACTTTGTGAAGTCTTTTAAATAATATTCAACGATTGTTGGACATTGTTTGCCAGAATTACATCCAAATTACTTTAAGAAATGTAGTAAAATGTAAAGTCGAAGAAACTAATTAGTTTCTTTGACTTTAATTATTGCTTTGTAGATTCCTTCTCAGTCTTTAAACCCATCCTTTTAAACAGGAAAATATGTTATTCAGCCATAAATTAATTTTGTTTTTTTTTAATATGTTTCATTTATTTTAATCCCATGAAACAGGAAATAAAAGCAGGGGGAAGCTGTGATTGGATTAAAAGTCGTCTGTGTAAACATTGTGACCCGTGTCTTTGACACACCTCCTTTCTCTTGAAGAAAGTCTCTTCATAGCGGGGACGCCGAGAGATGAAGGTCTCTTTTAAAAGAGGACACGGGATGGGGAGGCAGACTTTGGAGTCCTTCTAAGGCACGTGGGCCTGTATTTTGAGTCTGTTTTGTTCTTCTAAATCCTCCTTGGTTTGTGTTTGTCTTGGAGCTCTGCTTTGAGCGATTAGGGATGAGGATTTGAACAGCTCGCTTAAATGAAGACATTATTTCAGCCCTTTATTGTGGCTTTGAATAGTCTCCCTTTGTATCAATAAATGACACTGGTTTGAATATTAGCTCCATTGAAGGGTTGTTCTGAAGAAAAATAGACCAAAGTGTTTGCAGAATTTCACAGTGGCAGAAACTTGGGGCTGCTTTGCTCTGTGCGGGATGAGAGTTTATTGGACAAATGATGTCAGTAAACCATGCCACCAGAGATGAGCCATATCACCAGAGGCATCACTAGAAATCTGAGTTGTGCCATTAGACAGAGAGAAAGGCAGTATCTTTAGAGAGCGAGAAAAAAAGGGGGGAGAGACACAGAATGGATTGTTCCTCAACAGACTGACGGACCTTTTAGCCTTATCTTCCTGAGCTACTCTTACAGAAAACCAAGGAGAGGAGGGGAAAGAATGCCCCGCTCTTTCTCTCCCTCCTATTTCCCATTCTCTCATTTCTCCTGTCCGACTCTCCCTTCCTTCTTCATTTCTTCTTCATCCTTTGTCCATCAGTCTTTACCCGGTGTTTCCTAAAAATCCTCTTAACCCTTGCACCCTTTCCATTGTCTCCCTTCCTCAATATCTTACCTTGATGTTTTAATATCTTGTTCCTCGCCTCACCCGCAACCATCTTATCCGTCTCCAGCTCTTCGGCGCGCTCTTAGAGCTCATTGCTCCTATAGCTTGTTAAAAGGTAGATTTGTAAGCTGCCAAGGCGTCTCAGCAGTAGCCGGCTGTTACAATTACACTTTGTTAAAAATATCCTGCTCAACATCTCTGGATATGCATGACGGCTTTTCAGGAAGGGGGGGCGCTATATAAACTAGGGCCCAGTAGCCTTTGCAGGAACATCCTTTTTGAATTTGTTTACATGTGCCATTCGCTGCACATTTGGATTTACTTCATGTCATCTTGTTTTGGTTGAGCCCCTTGCCCAGATCCTGATACACACACACACACACACACACACACACACACACACACACACACACACACACGCAACAGTATTTGGTTGTGATGACACTAGGAGTCGTCCCTCTCCTCCCTCTCTGACAGAATAAAACGGATGGATAATTAGATATCAAAGAGAGGCAGGCAGGGTGTGGCGGAGCGCTCGGGCCCCTACGATGGTAAAGCACTTATTAATGAGATAGGCCTTATCTGCTCTCCTCCCAGGAATTCTGCCTTTGATCGGCCCCGACTCCGGACTTAATACATTTTTGATTGATAGGCCGAGATGACAGAGAAAGGCGGCGTGGATGGGGTATGCGGGTGAAGGGGAGTGTGTATATGCTTTTTGAAGGAGGGGGCTAAGATGCAACTGTAACGATGCCCTTCACATGATTAAATAACTCCTGACAATAGTGTTGTGCCTTATAGAGTTTGATACATTAAGATGAACAAACGCACAATTTGTTTGCAGGGTAAATAAATTTCTGTTACACAAACGTATACAAAACATTTCACACACGCACATTCAGATTCCTCTGCCCACATGGACATAAATTCACAGAGACAACCTGAACAGACAGGCCTATTCAGTCACCTTAACCCCAACCATAACTCACACACCAGGGCACCAGAAAATCTTTTCTCGAAGACAGAGCGGCGGAGGGGCAGGCCCGAGGAGGGTGGCTGAGATAAGGCCCTATCCTCAGCTGGAGATGAGTTATAGCCCACCCAGGAGGATGTGGCTACCAACGACCCACCCGGACAAGCCGCTCAGCTGGCTGGGATTGGTAGGAATGGTGCTGCTGTTAGTAAAGCAACGGGTGACCTCGTGGACAGATAACAGCCCCTCTCTCAATAACACCTTGACCAGGGGGAGGAGAAGCGGCGTGGAATCACTAAGCCTCTACACACACTTAATCTAAAGGCCACACAAACGAAATCCGCACACATCATACCCCTCCGCCCTTGCTCCTGTTCTCTGCCTGACAAAGAGGTGACTGAGCGTAACCATTACCGCGCCGTGTCACCTTGTTATGAGTCTCTGTCAGGGTGAGGCGTAGGCTAAATTAAAGAAGCCATAACTGCTGCTCCGTCAACCGCCCGTAATCCCCCATTTATTACCATGCCAACAGGCGGAGGGATAAACCCCCCAGTCAAGTGGACAGATCGATCAGTGTGACAGGCACATTTCAGGGCTTCAAATCGATCACACTAACAAAGACAGGTGAAAGAAGAAGTGGGTGTTGATTTTTTTTAAAAGAGGACCACAGCTGTGTCTGTTCATGAGTCAGGAGAGCGGGTCTAAATACAGACTCAGTTATCTGAACTAAACATTCAACTTTATGGATTCATAATACTGTGGGTCAGTGGACAGGTGTCTATACAAACAAAAACAATTACTCAAGATGACTTTTAGCAAGCCTGAGTAGGAAAGGGTCTGTGTCAGTGGTCGAGGAACGACAACTTTTTTTTTTCAGATTTTAAACTCACATCAGTAAAGTTTGAATTTTGAATACAGATTGGACTCTACGGCTGGACGCAGCATGAGCGTTTGACTCCATGAGAAACATGATGAAACGAAAGGCAGTGCTGAACAGAGAAGGGGTGGGAAGTGAGACAGCGCGAGGAGGGGGTTAGATGATAAGAGTGGGAAGAACTGATAGAGAGGGAGAAACCGTGTAGAGAAAGAAAATGATTAAAAACAGCAATCACCCGTTTGAGACTGATAAACCAACCAGTCGTTAATTGGAAGCGTGCAACTCGTGGGGATATGGTTGGATTAGGTTCACTTCTTTCTTTTGCTCTGCGTCTTTTCTTTCCCGCTCTCTTTCTTCTTTTTCTCCCTCAAATGTCTGGGAGACACATTTCATTATCAACAGTTAAAATTATTACAATTCATGTCATATTTATAGTTTCACATTTGCCGACCCATGGGGGAGAATTTAACGGACACTTTAACAGAGTTTGTGCACTACTACTGTACGGCTGAAACAAACTTGGAAACACAAAATATCATTTTTTAGGGAAGAAAATGAAGAAGAAAAAGAGTCTGAGATGGAGAGACAAAGAGTGGTGAGGTAGTAGCTGTCATTTGAGTGATCTTGGATTCGGGGTATATAGGAGATAGGAGATGGGTGGTGGTCCATAAACAAAGGGCTGACAGCTAACCCATCACCCCGGCAGGTCTGGCTTGTGCTGCCTAGATAAAGCAGAGCTGCTGCCTCCTGTATCAACACCATCCATCATCCATCTTTGCCTTCTCATCCGCCCCCTCAGCCCTCTCACTTCCCTGACTCCCTACACCTGCCCCTCTGCCAGCGGTGTGTGTGCCTTCACCCATCAGAGCTTTACAAAACTTAGAGCAACCAAAACTGTCCCTATTTATTGTTTTGTTTCTCGACATGTGAGGAAAGTTTTCTAAGTGAATATCTGTACTTGGGTTTGTGGCCAGCCGTCCCAGCTGTGGTTTCTTGGATTGTTACCACTTGGACCCGTCCACTCTTGTGAGGAAAGCCATGCATCTCAAACTTTACTTTTGAAGGAAGAGCATTAATCAATGATATGTCAACTTTTTGACAGCTTTTATCACTTGCTCACTCATTCTTGGCTTGTGGTAACTCAAAGGTCACTTTCCAGTGAAATTAACAGCCTGTTTTTGTCTCCCTTCTTTTCTTTAACTTCTTTGATTCGGTGGAAACTATTCAGGTTTGCTGCTGCATTTGGCTTGTCAAATCAGACAAAGGAGGGTTCTGACTGAAGTTTGGCAAAATAGCATTTCCAAAACTAGCCTGACAAAATATTAAACTGCAATTTGGGAATTTTTAGCCCTCTCAAAGTGACCCTTCAGGCCCGCATTGTCTCCTCATCAATTTGCTTTTTGTATGAACATCTCGTGCCTTTCTTTGTCACTCTTGGGGAATGGAAATTATGCAAATGAAGATGAGCACTCTGAAGAAAAAATGTTGACATCTCCCATCCT